TGGACCGTCTCTGCCTCTTCCTGGTTACCCCAGTGATGACCATCGGCACCATCATCATCTTCCTGATGGGAATCTGTAACCACCCTCCACATCTGCCCTTTAAAGGAGACCCATACGACTACAGAGAGGAAAACCCACGCCTGCTGTGACACACAACACAGTCACAATACTCTCCAGTGTTTCCCATACGTTCAGTTATTTGTGGTGTCAATATCAATGCTGACCGCCACAGATGGATTTTTTTTTTTTTACTAGGCCTATTTAAAATCGTATTTGATTGCAGAGCACAGTAGCGCATTTGCGCTGCACATTCTCAACATTCTGCTTGTCGCTTCTTCATTATATTTGTGTGACAACTTTTCCAGGTACACAGCTGTGTGGGTGTGTTTTCTTAAATGTGAAATGAATAACTACATCAGTATGTTACAATTTTGATTTGATTAGCGTGGTTTGAATAAACATTTACACTCATCTCATTTCAGTTTTTGTTCTCGTTCTGACTCTCATATATAAGAATACATCATTCAAGTTTAGCTTTGGGATAAATAATCCAGTCCCTCACACATTATAATCAGTTTTAAAATACTACTTACACAGTTTTCAAAATTCCTAAGGTGGGAGATTCTAAACGGTCAACTAAACAAGAACTTTGATGATGTCACATCGGTCTTGGTCGTCGGAGAAGTGGAGATGAGCAGACAAAAACATAATTGGCAGACTATACGATTATGAAAATAATCATTAGTTGCAGCTTTTATTCAATTGCATTTCCTTTGCGCTTTCCACCAACTGCTCTTTCTCCCGCCTCCCAGACAGTGGGAGGTGCCCAAATAAATATGCCTCCTTCGAATATCATGCTGTCATTGTGTCCGCTCCGGTAAAAGTCTCTGTGATTGTCATACCGTCCCCAGGACAAATCGGTAACCTTGTGGACGAGCTAGACACACTGCTGTTTTCTGTCCCAGAGTGTGGCTGTCCGTTACTCATCCTCGGTGACTTGAACATTCACTTAGAGCATGCCTGTGTGAAAAGCCCATGTCGTTTATGAGTACGAGCAGAGCAAGCATACGAGCACACACCTGGTTGCAATCCTAAAACAGCACCGCTAGTGGCCGCTGAAAGCCTTTGATGTTAGCATTAGCTGGCTAGCGTGGTAGCTAACAACGAAAATAAGCTCCTCAGGAATTTTTAAATAGAATAAACTTTTTCACTGCTGTCCTTCATGAGAATGTCTGAACTTATAAAACTTTGTGAAACATCAAAATGTGTAGCTGAAACATTCTGTCTTGTTGCTGCAGTTGTTAAATTGTTAAATTTAATTCTGTTAAAGTCTTAAATTTAATAAATGTTAAGCCTTAAAAGTCATTAAATAGTCTACTTTACCTGTCCCACTTTCTGTGGAATAAAGTTCTTGAAAGAAGTGTCGTCTAACCCAAAGGAAACCTAAACTAATGGTTCCTGGAATAATGTGTGAGTAATAACCAACCATATTCCCTCCTAAAACTGACCACTGCACCGGACAAAATATTTATCACTGGCCTTTATACTTAACCGGCAATACTTTTTTGAATAAGCGAAACTTGATTTTTCCTAAAATAAGAAATAAATGTCATAAGGATGTCATAGAAAGACTATATCAATAAAAAGGTGTGTGTGTCTGCAGAGACTATGTAGAAGGACAGAGCAGCAGCAGAGCAGTCCAGATACACTGATGATACTCTGTCACATCCAGAGGAACACACGGGGATGATGGTGGACTTGACATTGTGTCTGACAGTGGAGCTGATCTCAGAGCAGTTCAGACTGCAGCACTGTTGTGATTCCTCTGTCAGTCACTGCTGGATGAAGCTCTCCTCTCCACTCTACCTCCCAGTAACATGGCCCAGTCAGAGCCGCTCCACACACAAGCTGATGCTGCTGCTTCAACCTCTCTGGATCATCAGGACACAACTGAACCCCTCTCAACACCACCACCTTTCTCATCACTCACTCTCTGACAGAGATCACTTCCATCTGATGAGAGAAGGAGACAGAGAGCAGAAGTCAAAAATCAGCTTCATCAGCTGTCAGTCAGTGATGCAGCACATCCAGTATAAAGACCAGCAGGGACTTCAGTCCTGTTCAGATCAGAAGTGGAGCGGCTGTGTAGCGTAGCCAGCTTCCTTTCAGCTCTCATGTTAACGTATTGGAGTGAACACACTGAGACCTGCAGAGACATTGGGCATCAAGTCTGTTTACTCTGCAGAGTTCACTCAAGTACACAGTGGAAATAAAGTACTGAGAGTCCCTGAACGCATCATGACTGCAGAGACAGAGAGATATTCACTGCTCACTGTAAGGATGGATTTACTGCTGTTAGGGCTCAAAGCTGTTAAAAACCAGCATCTCAGTCACATTTGAATATTTGATTTACTTCTGAAATATTACAGGACAAATATGTAAATATGGAGTCTGTTCTAAAAACATTTGGACAAAACAAAAGACACATGGACAATCTTGAAATATTACGACTTCCTTGTAAAAATTCACTGTATTAGACTTTATTTTCATTACATTATTATTTCTCGTGAAGATTACAACATATTTACTTAAAAGAGACATAACGACTACTTCTCTATTTCCCACTTAGGCCCCATCCACACTGCTGCATTTTCAAATTCAAACGGAGACCTTTTGCTACGTTTGCACCTCCCGTCCAGACTAAAACGGCAAAAACAAAGACATAAAACAGAGAAGTTGGAAACGCTGCCGACCCCGTTTTGCATTTCAAAACTCTGGAGGGCATTTTAGTGAAAACGGGCCAAAACGAGGACTTTGGAAAGAATGACACAGCTGCTCACGCTCGGCTCTCTGATTGGGTCGTATAGTCATGCAAAGCAGAAACACAACGCTACTGACCGGTTTTTGTCCTAGTATTTTTATTAAAATATTCTGTACCGTGCAAATAACACTTGTACTGTGCATGTCGCCGTTTATTTTGCAATGACTCCCAGTTTGTTTTCCGCTGCCTCACTCCCCTGTTACATTCAGAAACATCCCAGCTTGTTATTGGTCCATGCAAAAAAAATTTGATCTGATTCTTTGTCTGCTTTACTTTATTCTTTCGCCAAATCTTCTGTAACTACGGAAGAGACCAACTGCTTCATGTGTACATCAACGGTCACAAGCTGTGCGTTTTCAGTCGTAATGTAGAAGGAGATCAACTCCAAAACGCAGCTAAAACGCTGGTGTGGACTGAGATCGTATTTGTTTTAATTCTCCGTTTGTAAATTAAAACGGAGTAGTGTGGAAGGGGCCTAAGGATAGTTCCTTAGGCCACATGCTGTACAGTATTTGTGGACAACTACATCCTGAAGTTCATTATCAATGTCTACAATGAATGCTGTGACAAACCTTTTATTTATTATTTATTATTTATTTAGGGTACAAGAAATCCAGAATAAAGCACAGTGGCACTGGGGCTGATAAAGTACAATTAATAAAACTATTTACAGTTCATCCTGCACTGCAGCTAAGGGACAGGCTGGAGTAGAAAACAAGCCCTCAGTCTCAACTAATACAATAATCAAATATAGCCAGGCTTAAATGTTTTATGGGCTAGAGATGAACCTAGTATTTATTTTCAACACACATTACACAAGATTAATAAGGTGAGTAGAGAGTTGTAAAAAATCTTCAGTGTTCTCCACTTGTCATCCTGTAGTTACCCAGTATTATTAGGGGTGTGGGCTGTATAACAGTATCCATTGTTCTCCTATAGGCCTGCTCTATAATCACATAGTAACAACAAGCTATGTGCTGTTCTCCCTTTCTCACTCTGTATTTACACATAAACAAGAAGGCACGTAAGGGAAAATATAAAAAGGTGTTTCTATTGTTTTGGGTTATTTTCTGTGTTGCTCTCCTTCTTTTTATCCTCCTCTGACAAAGAAGCCCCATCATGCTACCTCCTCTTCTGTGGTTTTTGGCAACAAAAGGAAAAAACAACACATAAAATAATTGTTACTGGTTAAGTGCAGCAAAGTTAACTTTAAATCGACTCCACCACCACACATTAAACATGGCTTATTAACAATCACATCTAATATATGCATAAAATTTGGCTGTCAAGATTTTTTTTATGTTCACAATTATTAGCTTAGCCTATGACATTTTAAATTGGATAAATTAGCCAAGTGGCTAGCAGACTTTCTCGCTCCCCATAGCTTAACAAATAACATATTTATAGTATATCTTTCTCACCGCTGGTAAAGTCGCTGTATCTCCCGACACAACACCACTGTTGAATTTTCAGCCTGAACATACGTTTTGTTAAAACAGCAGCTGACTAGTGAGAGCAACAAGCTGGCGGACTGCGAGTCGTTTTCAGGTGGCAGAAGCGTAGCTCTGCTACAGGGCGCATGACGTAAACACGTAAGTGCGAGCCCAACTGAAACCCATAGACATTGCATTTCAGTGCCCGCAGTTCCAAAAAAAACTGCCTTAACATGAAAGTCAATGAGAGCGATCTGGGCGATTTTCAACCAGACAAATCGGCCCAAAAGGGGCGGATTCCACGGAACACGACTTGACGCTGACTGGACAACGATTTTCAAAGACAGACTGTCTGTCAAAACAGCCACAGCTACTAACAGTGTGGTAGAAAGTGTGAGAAAAATCCCTGCCTTTACCGGCTTGGTGGTGTGTCGCCCGATCGCTCTAATGAACAAACCGCCCCTGTAAACAGCATGGTCACTGGGCTGTTCTTGAACACTCATCCTCGGCAATGATGCTAGATCTATAAAAACACTTGTTCCGCCCCACACACAGCTTAGTAGTTGGCTAATTTAGCTAGCAACTCAGCCTAAAACGTATTCCTTTAAGGACGACAGCACAAGTATTTTAAAACCAAAGTAAGCAAATTTACACTTCTGGTAAATGGCAGTGTTACACTTGCAGACTGAGCGAGCACTCATTGGAAACTAATACCCCTTCATTTTGAAAATACAACATGATTCCTATGAAGTTTTATTCAGTTGACTTTAATCGTGAAATACAGTAAATATTTCTCTGTGAAGGAGTCAGAGTCGAGAACGGTTTTCCAGCTTTGTCTTAGGCTCAGAGTCTAATGAAAATGTAATTAACTGTAACAGAGATAATGATCAATAATGTTGTAACACAGTTCACACAGTAATCAGAGTATGATGAGAAAAGAGGCTGAAACATGCTGAGACTTCAGGTTGTTCAGACTTTCTTACTTGTGTTTTAAACATCACTTAAGACATATACATGTTTACTTCTTGATTCAGTTATGTACACACACGTGACAAAATATGTATTAAGAAATACATTTTGTGATACCACACTATTCAAATCTACAGTATATATTATACTTACAATATTAAATTATGTCTTAAAGTAGCCATGCAGATTTGTACTACAGGTGAAGTATATTAAGCAATGAATTATAGAAAGCGTGTAACAAACAATGTGTTTTGCCTAACAATTACCACTTTTTTTTAAATTAACAATATACAAAATTAAATATTAGATGGTAACTTTCCTCCAGAATCCAGACATCATCTGTCTCTCTGACAGATATCACTTCCACCTGTTGAGAGAAGAAGACAGACAGCAGAAATCATAAATCAGTGTTTACAGAGACTCCCTTCATCAGCTGTCAGTCAGTGATGCAGCACATCAAGTAAAAAAATCAGCAGGGACTTCAGTCCTGTTCAGACCAGAAGTGGAGCGGCTGTGTAGCGTAGCCAGCTTCCTTTCAGCTCTCATGTTAATGTATTGGAGTGAGCACTCTATGACCTGCAGAGACTTTGGGCATCAAGTCTGTTTACTATGCAGATTTCACTCAGTACACAGTGGAAATAAAGTGCTGAGAGTCCCTGAACGCATCATGACTGCAGAGACAGAGAGATATTCACTGCTAACTGTAATGATGGATTTACTGCTGTTTGAGCTCAAAGCTGTTAAAAACCAGCGTCTCAGTCACTTTTGAATGTTTCATCTACTTTTGAAACATTACAGGACAAATATGTAAATATGGAGTCTGTTCTAAAAGTATTTGGACAAAACTAAAGACACACAAACAGATATATATATATATATATGATGTTAAAGGTCCTACATGTTCATAAAAAGACTGAACAGCTAAACATCATCTGTGATTACTGGACTTCAGGTTCTGGTCTGTAAAAAGACCACATGGTTACTAAATGTAATGTTGGTTCTCTGAAATAAGAACCAGTGGTTTACAGGCTTCAGTCAGACTGATCTCAGAGCTGTGACAAACTGATAAATAGTTTAGTGTTGAAATGAGAGAACAAACACTTTGAGATCAGATTTGATGGTACGACAGTTTGATGAAAGAGGACCACTGTCTCTATACATCTTGTAATGCTGTCTGCCGGAATCCAGCTTTATTTCCTGTAAACATGAACAGTCGTCTTCACATCATCACATCATAGCTTAAATTTTACTAGTGGCCAGATTAATATTTTTGAGTGTCACAACCCCCGTAAAGCCACTTCTTTCACATCAGAATGTGATCTATTCATGGATCACATTTGAAAAGTGTACAAGAGCCGCACAATTATCAATTTACCCCCATTCAAGTTAGCAGAGGGCTAAACCAGAAGTTAGGTTAGGTTTAGGTTTCCAGCAGAGGTCAACACAGTGGACACTATGGCGCTACCACCAATTAGCGTTTTAGTGGTGAAATTGCATAACAATGCAGACACCAGGACAAGAGATGGGTATGACTGCAGCCTGGAGCCTGAATACCATTGCCACAGGTGTACCACACTGATGCACCTAAAAGTTTTTTGCAATCCGCCATTATTTGAGGAGGAGAAGAAGAAGATTGTAGCAGCAGAAGCAGAAGGAGGATATGGAGAGTTAAAATCGAATAGTAAATTTGTAAGCACCTTTGTTGCAATCAATTGAAAAAAGTTTAAACTCTTAAATTAACGATTTTAGCCATACATATAGTTCTGGATGTTGTTGTTGTGTCGCTACGATAAACGTATGTTTATTTGATGAAACCTGTGATGACATTACCATCTACAACAACAGCATGTAAACGTTGACGTTTGTTAGCAAATATTAGCTAATGTTACCTAGAGCAACTTATGTTAGCAGACTTTGGTGGTGTCTTTCTGTGATTTACACATCATGTACACATCATTTTCTTTTGTTTGAAATAAGTTTATACCATGGCCACGCAGTTTTGTGTATCGTAGCCTACTGTGTTGAGATTAGTCTGTAAATATCTACATGTTACGTCAAATGCATGAGCAGAATATTAAAGCCTGTCATCATTCTCCTCTCACAGCTTCACTGAGAAAAGCTGAAACCAGCATAGACTGACTCCAACTCTCTACTGACCTCAGAGTCTCCAGTCTACAATGTGGACTCTCCACAAGATCAGACAGCAGCTTCACTCCTGAGTCCTGCAGGTTGTTTTCACTCAGCTCCAGCTCTCTCAGATGGGAGGGGTTGGACTTTAGAGCTGAGGCCAGAGAAGCACAGCTGATCTCTGACAACCTGCATTCATCCAATCTGAATAAAGAATAAATGATGTAACTTTAGAAGACAATGTTACGGTTTGAAATCGTTCAGTGTTGAAGAAGGTTTAGATGGTAGAAGTTTAGCTGAAATACATTTAGTTATTGTATTTATGTACTTTATTTAAACTTTATTTGAACATTAATATGATGTGAAATATAAGCTATAAATCAGGAGGTTAACAGGTTCAGAGTGAATTATCCAGTGTAGATTTTTCTTGTTACATTAAGGTTTTAAATGTGGAGCTCAACATTGCTCTGCCACAGTCAACGGACTAAACCACTGAAGAATAAAATAGACTTTAGCATTAAGATACTCAGTGTGGATCAGTATATTATCAGCTTTATGTCTGCAGTTAAGTGTCACCATAAATTTCACATAAAATGAATCTCAGCACAGAAGTAAAAAATGGTGTCTGACCTCAGAGTCTCCAGTCTACAGTGTGGACTCTCCAGAAAACCACAAAGCAGCTTCACTCCTGAATCCTGCAGCTTGTTTCCACCCAGCTCCAGCCCTCTCAGATGGGAGGGGTTGGACTTTAGAGCTGAGGCCAGAGAAGCACAGCTGATCTCTGTCAACCTGCATTCACCCAATCTGAATAAAGAATAAATGACGTAACTGTAGAAGACAATTTTCCTGCTTGAAATTGTTCAATGTTTAATAATCTGTTCAGTGCTGAAGAAAGTTTAGAAAGTAGAAGTTTAGCTCAAATTCATTTAAGTAGTCATTGTATTTATATACTTTATTTAAACTTTATTTGAACATTAATATTATGTGAAATATAAGCTTTACATCAGGAGGTTTACAGGTTCAGAGATAATTATCCAGTGTAGATTTTTCTTGTTACATTAAGCTTTTAAATGTGAGCTCAACATTGCTCTGCAACACTCAATGGACTAAACAACTGAAGAAGAAAATAGACTTCAGCATTAAGATCCTCAGTGTGGATCAGTATAATATCAGCCTTTTGTCTGCAGTTTAGTGTCACCACGACTTTCACATAAAATTAATCTCAGCACAGATGTAAAAAATGGTGTCTGACCTCAGAGTATCCAGTCTACAGTGTGGACTCTCCAGAAAACCACACAGCAGCTTCACTCCTGAATCTTGCAGATTGTTTCTACTCAGCTCCAGCTCTCAGATGGGAGGGGTTGGACTTCAAAAAGAGGCCAGAGAAGCACAGCTGATCTCTGACAAACTGCAGCCCCACAATCTAAATAAATAATCAATGATGTAATTTTAAAAAACAAAATCCCTGCTTGAAATCATTCAGTGTTTAATAATCTGTTCAGAGCTGAAGGTTTAGAAAGTAGAAGTTTAGAAAATGGAAGCTCCAAACACCTGAACCCAACAGGATTCAGGTTAAAACTGTAAAATAAAAAAAGGTAAAAAGATCTCATGAATATTAATGACAACATCCTGCTACTTTAATATAGACGTAGTGAATCACCTCTCTCTCTGCAGAAAGACGTCAATGTTTATTTTATTTTATTATTTTTACATTAGTTAGCTGTTGTTGTTAGCAGCCAAGTTGTGTACCCTTCATTATCCGGAGCTAACATCATACCATTTTTTTATTCACAAATGGTTTCTGTTTCGTTATATTATTAAACACACACTTTCCCTCAATATCATTCCTTAATCTTAATACAACTGTTGTTTGTTTGAGGGGCCAAAGGCACTAAAGTGCTGCTCCCCCAGGTGGATCTCTCTTGATGTGAAGTCTCAGCATATCCTCATGCCCTTCATCCCTCTTTAGTTTGGGTTTGGCTCTGTTACAATACTCACACAAATACTTCTCCATATCTCTCCACTTCACCTTATTTTATTATTAACTAAATACATTTAGCTTTTTAAACTTCTGTGTGTGTGTGGCTTCCCTTTTGTTAAAGCCAGAGCCAGGTTTGTAGCAATCAGTATTATGTGTGTGTCTGCAATTTAGTGTCACCACAACTTTCCCATCATGTTAATCTAAGCACAGATGTAAAACATGGTGACTGACCTCAGCCTCTCCAGTCTACAGTGTGGACTCTCCAGAAAACCGCACAGCAGCTTCAATCCTGAATCCTGTAGCTTGTTGTCACCTAGCTCCAGCTCTCTCAGATGGGAAGGGTTGGACTTCAGAGCTGAGGCCAGAGAAGCACAGCTGATCTCTGACAAACTGCAGCCCCACAATCTGCATAAAGAATAAATGATGTAACTTCAGAAGACAATCAGTGTTTCTCTATGATTTTTTACAGCAGCGGGGTCAGGCCAAAATCCCGCAGTCCCACCCTCACAAACCCCATTTTTCTCTCACTGTGCTGGCTTTGACTCTGTTTTGCTATTGCCCTCATCTCTGCTGTGTCTCATGTTCACTCATGTCAGTGGTAGCACTGGGGGCGCTGTGTTATTAAGATCTTTTCTCAAGTAAAAGAACTCAAATAAAAAAAACACTGCAGAAAAGGTTAAAATGTAAGCACATTTTGTCATCAGGAAGAGTCTGTAATCATGTGGTGAATGAATACAATTTAACAACTCAATAACAAAATGTTACAAATGTAATCAATATAATGAATTCGACAATCAAACCAAATGTGCATATCAAAATGTAGGCCTATGTGAAATTATTGACAAAATTCAAAATTAGCGTATTGTTGCAAAACTTGTACCGTGATTTGTCTCGTATTAAATAATTTGTTACATGATCAATTTTTCCCATGGATCTTCTGCAGGACAGCCTCCATATGCTGCTCGACGCGAATCAACAGAATTTCTGACTCCGCCAACACAGCGACTAAGTGTTCAACGAGCTCTGGTCCGTTTCTGCCGGCGTGGTTGCACTTTTGAGAGTTTGTTAAAATGAAAAGCTCTAGCTAGCTCGCTGACTTTGATATGATAGCATTTGTTTGTGTGCCTGTCCTCGGGGAAACCGATACAGCGAGACAGAGAGCAGAGGAGAGAAACAGGGTTCTCGTGAATGAAACCAAAACATAGCTGTGTAGTTTTTTTATTGTTTTGTGGCTTAAGTGCCATGAACAAGATGACTATAACGCAGGGGAAAACCTGGATTTTTATTAATTACAACCACATTTTGGCAGATTAAACGATATTCTGCATTTAACAGCTGATTCCATTTATTTTTAACAAATTCTGGATTTAGGGCCCTAGCGAAGTGTTTCATCTGTGTGTTTCAGTTATTTCTAGGAAATGGCTTTTCTTGTTGATTATCTCTAATTTGACAACACCTTCTCATTCCTGACTCTTCACATATGGACGCTTGGTCAATGCCCTTTGGCATCGCTTTTTAACACCCTGAGTACTCCTTTTAAGGTCATTTTTTGGCGTTTACGGCTCCACGGCCATGTTAGCAATGGTTAGCAACAATAAAAATGCAACATCCGGTTAGACCTTTACAATAAAATGTTGGTGTTGTTAAAATTGTGAATGTTGCCATGGTTTGGGTTAAAATAACTATGCACGTCAGTAAACACGTAAGTTAAGTAACGTTACTTGCGTAACTTATGCAATTTACATAACCTACCTAACTTAAATAAGAATATTTAATGTTGACTTTTTGTTTCACAGTGCAAACAAAAACCATCTCCTGGTTGAAAGTCCTGATTCTGGCCCTCCATCCACGCCAACATCTCCTTACCTGGTCTTTTCTGTTAAATATCATGCATCTACCTGTTTCGTCCAAAAGTTATGCTACAGGGCTTCCCTGACTTTGCTGAACTATGACGCTATAGGGATCCCCAGTGCGTTATAAACTGAGGCCAACGGGTCTTGATCCTGCGTCCATATGTGACGAGTTGGAAGGGAGAACGGGTTGAATTTACAAATTTCTGTTTAATAAAATTATTTAAAAACATTTAATCTACATGATAGGGTCAGTTTAAAATATCACACTTGCTTGCTGCAGCCTACTATTGTTTTGCTACCTTTTAATATGGACATGTAGCCAACCAAACCACTTGCTGAGTTATGAAGGTCACTGCATAAGATCTGCCTTCTCCAACAGCACAGGTACCCAGTGCTATTGGTTTGGTTTCAATCTGATTATTCCTAAAGTATCTATGAATATAATCTTTACAACAAAAATATTTATTAAGGCAATAACAAGGGAGCAGCCGATTGTTTAATTGATTAAGGAAAGCCTACAGCTTAGACTCATCACATATGGATGCTTGGTAAGACCCCATGGAGTTGCTTTTTAACGCCCTAGTTGCCTTCTAGCATAGTTTTTTAACATTTAGGGCTTCAAGATCAAGTTAGCAATAATAAATATCCAATGTCCGGTTAGACTTTCATAGTAGAACGTTAGCGTTGCGAAATATTGCCATTTTGAAACAGCAACAGTAAAGGTTAGGCGCTACAACTACTTGGTTACACTGTGCAGCCCTCCTCCTCGTGCATGCTCTCATTCAGTAAAGCTCATTATCTTTAGATCGGTGTCAAATGCTTTGCAAACACAATAGCAGCAGCAATGAAAACTCTGCCGTGCCTCCTCCTCCAAAAACAGTGTGTAGTACAAAACACATGCGGGAACATGTCCCAGCTCCACATGGAGCTTCGTGCTCATTATGTTCAATGCCATGGCGCTCGCATCAACGAGTGGCAAAGAGGCACGATGACAAACAGTCATAATTTTTGATGGAGGAGGCAGTACTAGCCTCTTATACTCTTATAGATGTTGCGAAGCGTTGGAGGTGCGTCTTTAAGAGGATGAGTCTGGGTGAGAGGGACCAGAGTCTTGGCGAGCCTCCCACCGTGAAGAGCGAGCGAGGCCTACGTAGGCTGAAGTTTAGAAGTGTATCCTGTGGGTTTTGGTGGGTGGGGCTTAGCGGAGTGATTTTAGCAGCGGAGAAAGACACTGAAGACTTTGCATTTATGTTCATTTGTTACCAACTGCTGCTTTTTTTACAACAAGCTGCTACTTCAATAAAGACGTAGTGACTTCACCTCTTAAACTCTGCAGCTCCACCAGTGGCTCCATCTATACAAACTCATGTTGTGCAGCCAAACACAAATGAAAACACACAGAAACTGATTTGAGATTTGACTCAAGATCCCAAAGTTTCTAAATATGCCAGATATGTCAGGATGAAATTTGGGGAAATGTAAACAAAATACATATACAATATTTCTTTTAGGAATAGCAGAGTAATGAAATCACATCATATTAATCTCAGTACAGAAGTAAAAATGGTGTCTGACCTCAGAGTCTCCAGTCTACAGTGTGGACTCTCCAGAAAATCACACAGCAGCTTCACTCCTGAATCCTGCAGCTTGTTTTCATTCATCCTCAGCACTTTCAGATGGGAGGGGTTGGACTTCAGAGCTGAGGCCAGAGAAGCACAGCTGATCTCTGACAAACTGCAGCCGCTCAGTCTGAATAAAGAATAAATTATGCAGATAAAAATAAGGTTTTAAATATGTAGCTCAACATTACAATCAAAAAGCTTTTTCCTAAAATCAGTAGAGTGACTTTGTCATTGTTGTTGTTATAGTGGGCAAATGTGGGCACAACATCCATCCATCCTTCCATTGTCAACTGCTTATCCTGCATACAGGGTCGCGGGGGGCTGGAGCCAATCCCAGCTTACATCGAACGAAAGGCGGGGTTCACCCTGGACAGGTCGCCAGTCCATCACAGGGTGGGCACAACATTAATACAATATTTGTGAAGATACACTGAAGTTAAGAAAAATCAAAAAGAAATACAAATATTATTCAAATTCTACTACCGGAAATAAACTCAATTTAAAACAAACTTTAGTTCAGAGGATAGTAAAATTTATGAACATTACTTTAACAACTAACAGCCGACACAGTCTTTTGTGACTGCAGACTAAATTTAGTTCAAGAAACATGAAAATGTGAAGAAAAGGAAGTTTACAACTTTATAGATTTAAGTTATGTATGAACATGGGTTAGGTTCAATTGTAAATAAAACATGTAAGATCTACAATAGTAAAAGAGAGTCTGTGAACAGACCCCAAAGTCTCCAGTCTACAGTGTGGACTCTCCAGAAAATCACACAGCAGCTTCACTCCTGAGTCCTGCAGCTTGTTGTCACCCAGATCCAGCTCTCTCAAATAGGAGGGGTTGGACTTCAGAGCTGAGGCCAGAGAAGCACAGCTGATCTCTGACAAACTGCAGCGACTCAATCTGAATAAATAAAAAAATATGGAAATAAAAGTTCATTTTAGAATCCAATCACCTAACACATGCTTCACGCTCCTGTATGTGTTTGGGGGGGGGGGGGGGGGGGTGTTACTGGTAGATATACACTAGGCAAGAGCAGAATACATGAACTGACCCTAGATTCTCCACACTACAGTTTGGATTCTTCAGTCCAGCAGACAGCAGCTTCATTCCTGAATCTGACAGGTTGCTGTAGCTCAGGTCCAGCTCTCTCAGATAGGAAGGGTTGGACTTCAGAGCTGAGGCCACAGCTTCACAGTGAGTCTCTGTGAGTCCACAGTCAGAAAGTCTGTGATGATAGAAAATATATAACTTAAAGTACAATAAAAATATATCAAATAATTATAAAATTTGATTATAAAGTAACAAAACTATAGATTTTATTTTGCTCACAAAGCACATGAACATGAACAGCTGTAACTCATCTGATCAGTTGATCAGCCATTGATCAAAACGTTTGTGGTTTGACACTCCTCCTGTTCACATGTCAAAGTGTCCTTGAGCAACATAACGACTGTAGACTGTCATATTTGATTAACAGGATACTATGACGTGTTTTCTTTTAACATTGACATGACAGACATGAATATCGTCATCTGAATATTGTTGTCCAATCAGCATCAAGTCGTGTTCTACGGAGTCCCACCCATTTGGGCTGATTTCAGTCTGGTTGAAAATCGCCCAGATCGCTCGTATAGACTTTCATGTAAAGGCATTTTTTTTGGAACTGCGGGCACTGCAATGCAATGTCTATGGGTTTCAGTGGGGCTTGCACTTACGTGTTACGTCATGCGCCATGTAGCAGAGCTACACTTCTGCCACCTGAAAATGACTCTGCAGTCTGCCAGCTTGTTGCTCTCACTATGATCAGCTGCTGTTTTAACAAAACGTATGTTCAGGCTGAAAATTCAATGGTGTTGGGAGATGCAGGGACTTAACCAGCGGTGAGTAAGATATAGAACTAATAATACATGTATAGAACTATAAATAATAAATATAAATTGTTAAACTCTGAAGACAGGAAAAGTCCGCTAGCCACTAGGCTAATTTATGCTGTGTAAAATTCCATAAGCTAAGCTAATAATTGTGACTGTAAAAAAATCCAAAGTAGCTAAGCTAATAATTGTGACTGTAAAAAAATCCTTAGTAGTTATTAATAAGCCGAATTTTATGCTTATGTTAAATGTGATTGTTATTAAGCCATGGTTTACATGTGGTGGTGGAGTCAATTTAAAATGACCTTTACAGCACTTAACAATTATTTTATGTGTTGGTTTTTTCTCTTATTGCCAGAAACTAACCTGTACCCCATTAAACATTTAAGAATAGCTATGGTTGATCAACCTTCAAATACAGTATATGTGACACCGTTACATTACTGTAGCCTATTACTTGAGACGGGTCCATTAGCTGCAATAAAAGATTAACTGTAAAATATTTTATTAATTGCACAATATCGGCCCCAGTGCCACTGCGCTTCAGACTGGATTTGTTGTACCAAAATAAAATGTTTCTCGCAGCTAAATCAGATGATTGTGAAAGTCATTCTTTGTTTAAATTAAAGTAGTTGCCTTTACATCTAAAGGTCTTTGAGGGGGAACAGAAAAAGATCTGTTTATCTTCACTGGGGACTGTTCATAAATTGTAGACATTGACAATGAACTTCCGGATGTAGCTGTTCACAAATACTGTACAGTATGTAGCCTTAGGAACGATCTTTCTATTATAGCTGACTTAGACCATTGAACTTATCATCTTAGCCATCGTCGCAACAATTGCTGCTCCTGAGAGATTTGGCAGGAGACGCCACTGTGTGCTTGGTGTGTTATGTGCATCTTTGATAAACCTTATTATGTAACTTCATTTGCTTTCATCTCCCTCTAAGTTCATTTAATGACTCCTAAAGTTTTATATCCATACCTAGCTTTTTGAAATTGCCTTAACTTAAATACAGTGTTTCCCGCATATACATTATTTGGGCGAACTGCACAGGTATAAAAACCGCTGCCAAAGTACAAAAAAAAAAACACGTCATAGTATCCTGTTAATCAAATATGACAGTCTACAGTCGTTATGTTGCTCAAGGACACTTTGACATGTGAACAGGAGGAGTGCAAGTTTCAAACCACAAACGTTTTGATCAATGGCTGATCAACTGATCAGATGAGTTACAGCTGTTCATGTTCATGTGCTTTGTGAGCAAAATAAAATCTATAGTTTTGTTACTTTGTACTTTGTTGACTTGTTGTTTATTTATATTTTCTTGTGCTTCTATAACTGATCACAGCTCTCTGTGAATCGTCTTTGTTCCGCTCTCTGCTCGGCTTCATATAACATATGGAGCGTTTCAGAATAAGAGCATTTTGCCAACGTGTTCAGATTTTGTTGATTTGTTCAGTTGTCCTAGATTTTTGTGCTTCCATCATGGTTAAGTAGACCTTGTAGTTAAATTGTTCCATTGTTGTCCTTTTTAATTGTGTTTATTATTGATGAACATTGGGAGTCTGCACAGGGTATTTTATTAAGAAAATCAACCCGATTCTCTATGTCTGACTTCCAGCCTGGTGTGTCTGCTTTGTGTTGCTTGACCCCAGGCCCCATGATGAAGCTCTGCCCCCACTCTGCTGAAAGTCTAGCTCCACCACCAAACAGGCCTATTAGATGCAGTTGGTCGTCATGTGTTTTGACAGCATTTCATTAAATACGAAATGAGCAAGATTTTGTAAATGTAAAATAGACGTCTAAAACTTTACAGTCAGTTTGAACCTAGACTAATTTTCCACTGCAAAAAAATAATTAATAGCCTACTGTGTTGGACTGTGACTGATAAACTGGTAAAGTCACGGTCCAGCGTAGTAGGCTATTAATTATTTTTTATGCTGGCATTCTCCTATAGCCAATTACATTCGAAACCTGACGGGACAAAATGCCGGTGGCAATAACTGAAGATGAACGGATGGAGCAAACAGATCAGCATACTCAGAGATTTTACTAATCCCGCTTTCTGAATCGGGTCGCTGAGCATCAGGTATACTAAGATGTTTTGTTTACCTTGCTGTGTAGCAGGAATGTAGCAGGCGCGAGAAGTGAAAACACAAAATGGAGTTTAACTTATATGGACTCCAAGTGGAATAGATTTGAGGAAGAACCAGAGTGTAAGTCAAGGCTGTTGCTAAAACGCGGAATGGAGTTTATTTATTATATGAGACCAGGTTGGGCATACCTCAAGAATGGATTTGACTGACGGCGATCTTACAAGTGAACTAACAGATGCGCTAAATCTGTTAAAGTGAATGGGTCCAATTTCATTGGTCCTGAAAAGTGGGTGAGTCTTGACACATACAGTACAATGGTTCTGACGCGATACCAATGCTTGTGTCGCTAATTTGATAGCTATCAACACAAAAATCATGTAGACATTTGTTGTTTTAACATATGTAAAATAATTTAAACAAGCAGATTTAATACTTATTTAATAAAACTTTTATACTGTGGAAATTTTATATTTATATTGTGTATCTTTATTGTAATACTGATGGCTTCAGGTTTATATTGCTTTACAGTCTTGTTAATCATGTGTAAATTTACCGGGCCTTTCTGCAGTTCCTCACAGCTGGAATCAGTCTCTGTCGTCCTTGCACTGATGTGTTGTACTTCTGCAGGTCCAATTCATCCAGAACCTCCTCTGACATCTGCAGCATGTAGGCCAGAGCTGAGCAGTGGACCACAGACAGTTTTGTTTCAGATTTGTTCTCTGACTTCAGGAACTCTTGGATTTCCTGATGAACTGAGTGGTCGTTCATCTCCATCAGACAGTGGAAAATATTGATGCTTCTGTCAGGAGAGGTTTTTGTGTTCATCTTCTTCAGGTTGTTGATGGCTCTCTGGATGATTTCTGGACTGTTCTCTGTCTGACCCAGCAGGCCTCCTAAGAGTCTCTGGTTGGACTCCAGAGAGAGGCCATGAAGAAAGCGAACAAACAGGTCCAGGTGGCCATTTTTACTTTCAAGGGATTTCATCATTGCTCCCATCAGGAAGACATCCAGGGTTGAATCACCATGTTTCTTCCCCACAAAAGCCTCCAGTAGCTCTGTGTTCCTGTTGGTGTAACAGTGGAACATGTAGACTGCAGCCAGAAACTCCTGAACACTCAGATGAACAAAGCAGTAGACTGTTTTCTGGAAGATCACACTCTCTCTTTTGAAGATCTCTGTACAAACTCCTGAGTACACTGAGACCTCTGTGACATCAAGACCACACTGCTCCAGGTCTTCTTGGTAGAACATGATGTTTCCTTTCTCCAGCTGTTTAAACGCCAGCCTCCCCAGCTTCAGTAGAACCTTCCTGTCAGCCTCCATCAGCTCCTGTTGACTCGTCTCATGTCCTTCATCGTACTTCTGCTTCTTCCTCTTTGTCTGAACCAGCAGGAAGTGTGAGTACATGTCAGTCAGGGTCTTGGGCAGCTCTCCTCTCTGCTCTGTAGTCAACATGTGCTCCAGAACTGTAGCAGTGATCCAGCAGAAGACTGGGATTAGACACATGATGTGGAGGCTCCTGGAGGTCTTGATGTGTGAGATGATTCTGCTGGACAGCTCTTCATCACTGACTCTCCTCCTGAAGTACTCCTCCTTCTGGGCGTCAGTGAAGCCTCGTACTTCTGTTACCCTGTCAACACATGAAGGAGGGATCTGATTGGCTGCTGCAGGTCGGGAAGTTATCCAGACCAGAGCCGAGGGAAGCAGATTCCCCTTGATGAGGTTTGTCAGCAGCAGGTTGACTGATGACTTCTGTGTGACATCAGACACAACCTCATTGTTGTGGAAATCCAATGAATGTCTGCTTTCATCCAGGCCGTCAAAGATGAACAACAGTTTACAGACAGCGAGCTTCTCTGCTGGGACCTTCTGTAATGTTGGATGGAAAACATGGAGCAGCGTGAGAAGACTGTGCTGCACATCTTTGATCAAGTTCAACTCCCTGAAGGACAGCATAATCATCAGACTGACATCTTGGTTTTCCGAGCCCTCTGCCCAGTCCAGAGTGAACTTCTGCACTGAGAAGGTTTTTCCAACACCAGCGACGCCGTTTGTCAGAACCACTCTGATGTGTTTCTGTTGGCCAGGTAAGGCTTTAAAGATGTCCTGGCACTTGATTGGAGTTTCATGGAGGGTCTCCATCTTGGAAGCTGTCTCAAGCTGCCTCACCTCATGTTGGGTATTGACCTCTTCACTCTGTCCCTCTGTGATGTAGAGCTCAGTGTAGATCCTGTTGAGGAGGGTTCCTTTTTCTGTTTCATCACTTCCTTCAGTCACACATTCGAATCTCCTCCGCAGACTGACCTTATGTTCATCTAAAACCTCCTGCAGACCGCCACTCACTAGGAAAAAGTTTTTAGACAAAAAGAAAATGTTACAATCTGGTAATTATTTTCATTACCATTAAAAAATGATAAATATAAGAATATAGAGAAGTAAAAGTTATAAAGTCGAGTTTTGTGGAACATTAGAATGCTCCCTTTTCTCTCATCCTCTGACTGTGTGCCGGTTTCTATGTGTTTGATTGCCAGCAGAGGCTCAGCTTGTCTGCAGTTCGTCATCTGAACAGCTCACTGTGGCTTTTCCTTCATTCCTGCAATATTTAAAACTAATCCACCAAACAAATACTACAGAAAGTGTCCATATTTTGCTCTGTAGAGCTTTTTTTATTCAATAGCAAAGCTAACAATGAACTGCAAATCACTTTGACAAATACACTCCTGGAAATGGGAAAAGCTCTAATATGAGTAAATTAACAGTAAACAGAGATCTGAGCCTTCAAACAGGAACACAGAGAGTGAGAGTAAACTGCAAACAACAGAGATTCAGTTTGACTGACGGATATAAGATTCAAGGTCATTCTACAACACAGGGTTGTGCCAAAATTCAAGTTGTAGGGAAAATTACTACATCGCTACAAAACAATTTATCCCTCTGGTCGCACAGACATGTATTGATCCAGTCAGTTTAGCTCCAAATGTGGTTTTGGTTTGAGGGAGGACACCATCTCAGGTGGGCGCCTGAAAATGACCACTAGCTCAGTCAGGGTTTTTGAAGCTGTGACTCACAAAACCTCTGTGGCACATGTAAGTTAGTAATATGTAGCAGAATTTTAGGGCGCTTTCACACCTAAAAGGACGCACCAAGGTCTGAACCAGAGTTCATGTTTTAATATATTTTGATATATTCCGTTAGTTTTGGTTTGTTTCACACTGCAGTTACCTATGCATTGCACTTGCGTCATCATCCATGTGGGCTGCGTCTCCCTATACCTACTTGACATTGATTGGTTGAACAGTTCCACAGGGGGATTTGACCAGAATGAATGAACGAGGAATGTATAGATGCATATTGTTGGTTAGGAGTTAGGGACAAGGGGACATTTTCCAAATTGCCAAATTGCTCTAATACCAACAAGGCCAATTTCAAAGAAGGTCTTGCCCATTAGCTTTAAGTTCATGGTCTATTTCACTCAATTTGATTATTAAGCACAAAAGTTTAAATTAATTTTATTTTCATTATTTTATATTCATGATTATATCACAGTTATATTCCCCCGTTTACCTTAAAACAAGACAAGGAGAGAAAAAAAATGCTCTTCAATGATTGAGTGATTAGAGAAAAGTAAAATCAAAAATTAAAGAAATAATTGCAAGGGATATCACAAAATCAAATTATGAGTTAAATATATTTACTTGCGTACTACCTTTGTCAAAGTATTGGTCATATTGTGTACAGAACTGAAATACTATATAGAGTATATGGCTGTGTCAGTTGTAAACCGAAATGTGCACATCCCACACAAAAATAGTAGTAATCTCTTAAGGATTAGGACAACTGCACCAACTCCAGCACCCAGAATAAACTCATTTAAAATGACTCTCTTCAATGTGAGATCACTTTCAAGTAAGACTAGATTTTATGTTTTTAACTGAATCCTGGTTGCAGATGAATGACTATAGCCAGCTAGCTGAACCGTGTCCGCCTCAATATGATTGTTTTAGTCAACCGAGGGTCAGTGGTCGTGGTGGTGGGCTAGTGAGCGTGTATAGGAAAAATGTCATCAAGTACGCTGTGATGAATTTAACTCCTTTGAAGTTCTCACTCTTAAAGTGAACCTGCAACCTATCATATTTGTTATAATTTATCGCCCCCCAAAACCGCCTGAAGGATTTTTATCAGAAGTTCCTGAATTTTTATCTACTCTGGTTTTAAATTATGACAGATTTGTTCTTTGTGGCGATTTTAATATTCATGTTGATGACCCCACCAATGTTAATGCAACTGACTTTTTAAATATGGCCACTTCTTTTACCTTCAAACAACATGTCAAAGGGCAAACACATAACCGTGGTCATACACTGGACTTTTTACCCTGGGTGTCAGCATTTCCTCTGTGGAATTAGTGGACATGACCATATCTGACCACAGATGTATTGTTTTTAGCTGTGATTCGCCTGTTACTCATGTCGCCTCACCAAGCTCCGTGTGTTCTCGCATCTTTAATGAACAAAGTGTTTCAAAGTTTTGCGCATTCTTTCAGAGCCAAAGCCAACACCTGTCTGATTCCAACACCAACAATCTGGTCGATCACTTCAATCATATCTGCTTGTCATCACTAAATATTACTGCTCCTCTAAAGGTTAGGCCTACGTCTAAAGCTAGTAAACAACCCTGGATAAATGACAGCATTCGCAGCCTAAAAAGGGAATGCAGGAAAGCATAGCTCCGATGGAAATAATCCAGTCTCCAAGTCCATTACCTCAGTCTGAAGGATTTATTAATTAACTACTGCTTTTGACACCATTGATCACAACATCATGTTAGACAGACTGAGGCACTGGGTGGGGATCTCTGGTACTGCCCTAGAATGGTTTTCATCCTACATGTCAAATAGGAAGTTTTGCGTGTCTGTAAACAACTATGTCTCTTCGTTCTGTCCAGTTAAATATTGTGTGCCTCATGGGTCGGTCTTAGGACCCATTTTTTTTTCCTTGTATCTGCTTGGACATATTATCCATAAACATGGTATTTCTTTTCACATTTATGCTGATAACACACAAATATACTTGCCCATCAGATCCACAGACCCTGGAATGCTGAGTTCACTTACCGACTGCCTTTGTGAAGTTAAAAAATGGATGTCAAATAATTTCCTCCAGCTGAACTCAGACAAAACAGAAATCCTGGTCATCGGGTCCCAGCAGATGGCAAATCAAATACTGCCATCTGCTGGTTCCCTAGTAAATCACATTAAGCCTGTTGCAAAGAACCTTGGTGTTTGGTTTGATAGTAATTTAAATTTCGAGCAGCACACCACAAAGCTTGTTCAATCATGTTTTTATCAACTTAGAAAGCAAAAATTCGATCTATGTTAACTTTTAAGGACATGGAGACCATTTTACACGCCTTCATCTCATCACGCCTGGATTATTGCAACAGCCTTTTCACCTGTTTAACCCAAAAATCTACTGATCGACTCAGACTGTCCAGAACTCAGCTGCCAGGCTTTTAACCAGAACAAAGAAATATGACCACATTACTCCTATTTTAGCTTCATTACACTGGCTCCAGTATGTTTTAGAATTGACTTTAAAATTCTATTGATCACTTGTAAAGCTCTTCATGGCCTCTCGCCTTGTTATATTTCTGACCTTTTAGTCCCATACGCACCAGCACGTACCTTGAGATCCTCGGGCAGAGGTCTGTTGTCTGTTCCAGAGTCTCGACTGAAAACTAAAGGGGACAGAGCGTTTGCTGTCAGGGCCCCGAGGCTCTGGAACAGCCTGCCCGAGGAAATCAGGTCAACTGAGTCAGTGAACTCTTTTAAGTCCCTTCTTAAAACATACTTTTATAGGAGAGTCTTTCCCGATCTTATTTGACTTATTTTATCCCTTTTATTTTATTCTATTTTACTAATTTTATATTTATCTTAAACGTGTATTTTAGTCTTTTCAATGTTTTCATGCTTTTATCTTGTATTGTATTTTTGTATTATTGTCTTTGTTGTTGTTGAAAAGTGCTCTACAAATAAAGATTATTATTATTATTATTATTTTTATTATGAAAATGATAATAATAATAATATTATATTATGAAAATGATAATAATAATAATATAGCGTCTTTCAAATAAGAAGCTACGAGATGCTGGTTTGCTTGTTCTTAATTACTGTACAAAATACAGGCTACTGTGGGCAGTAGCCAACACCAAAAACAACTCTGCCGTCACTTAGCGCTACGTGTTAACTTCTACTCTCAACTCACTGTATCACCTCTCTTTTCTCACACACACCCTCTCTTCGGCCTAGCAGGAACAATAACAACCATCCTTCTTAACTCTCTGCCAATCACAGGTACGAATACAGTTGATTGACAGGCTTCTAAACATATCGCACATTCACTGACATTCTGGAACATTGGAAAACACAGTGCTTATGGTAAAAAACCCTTTCTGCCTTAGTAGCTGACAAGAACAATCTTACCAGTACATTCAGACTCCACAATAAACACCAGCTAGTCATCCAGTCTGTTACACTAAGAATAAAAAAAGAGCCATCAGTATAGGATATTGTATTGTAACTATTTTTGCAGCTGTATCGTATGACTTGTGAGGAACTTGTGGATGTCAATAATCTTTTTAGTATAAAGGGATACACAACATTCAGGTGACAAATCAAAATATATTACATAATATAATGCAGTAAGGCTCCAGGCATTGTGTGTTGCTTTTAGATATGTTCATCATGTAGATCAAATTTTACAAAGTTTTTTTTTGTCATTATACAATACGGGGTGGTGGTGGTGATCGCGCATAGATAAGATGCTTGCCTTTGGTGTGGGAGACCTGGGTTCGATTCCCGCTGTGACACATCCACCACTGTGTCCCTGAGCAAGACACTTAACCCCTTGTTGCTCCAGAGGCGTGCGACCTCTGACATGTATAGCAATTGTAATTCGCTTTGGATAAAAGCATCAGCTAAAGTGTCAACACCTGAGAGTCGGCAGGATCCACAATGGTGGACCGAGCTCCCCACTGACATCAGGGCAGCACAAACTGCACACATCTTCCGCCTGAAAACTAAAAAACGAAATGCAGCACTCAAAGTTGTTCAGCTTATTTGATGAAGTTGATGGTTACATTTTTAAGATGCAGTCTTACTTTGTACAGAGCTGCTCTGACTGGCTGTCTGCAGTCCAGCTCTTGTTCTGGATCTTTCTCCACACCGGGGACAGGAGGAGTCTCCTGGTGAAGCAGACTGGTCCCAGTATGAGGTGATGCACCGTCTGCAGAACCAGTGTCCACAGCTGGTAGAGACCGGATCCTTCAGGACGTCCTGACACAAAGCACAGCAGGACGGCTGCTCCTCCACAGAAACATGACTCCTCTTCTTCTCTCTGTGAAGACAATTCATTAGAACTAAAATGATTTGTTGCTTGTTGTTGAAAACTATCCAGATTTGTCCGACACTGTGTAGAAGCTCAGACGGTCACAGAGAACAGTAAAAGTGTTGTTACTTTTCTGTTGAATTCAGCTTTCGGTCTGTAATGAAGATGTTTGTTCCTTTCAGTTCAACTCTCCTGCTTTCAACACTAATTAACTGCTTTTTCTATCCGACTGTCTAAACATTTAATGATCTGCCTGTAGACAAACTCAACACTTGCTGCCACTCAAAGCTCCGCAAAAGAGAGCTGATTATATCCTTCACTTCACTTTACCAGCTTAGAAGTAGTATAAATATCTGGGGTAGATCAGCAGCCTAAGACACACAGCATGTAATAGTGGTGTCACAGGTTCAAATCTAGACTGTTTCCTTTAGGTCTTCTGTGATTCTCTACTGATCAGAGACAGACCGAGACAACCGTCACGTGAACACAACTTTCCCTTTACTACTCTGGGGAACATCTTCAGATCTCTGTCCCTCTCCTGGTTCTCTATGCTGCTGCTGCTGCTGCCACCAAATACCTCTGTTAATATTCTGCATTTAGAGGCTTTGCTCGTCAATCTTCAAAGTTTCTACTACCACTTTTCTTTATGTTTTCTCTCCATGTAGTGAAGTGCATCATGTTCTTGATTCTTCCCCACATCGTTTATATACATATATCCCATCATGCAATTAAAGTAACACTTAATAATGCAGAAAATTAAAAACAATAATAATTATTACTTATTTATTTAATTACTTAATAGTTTGAATATGTTCTGTAGAAGATGCATTTAAATGTGAGTTTAACACACGTTGTACCTGTTTGCTATTGTGCAAAACAAGTTCAATAACATTTAAAGATTAAAAATGTAGGAAATAAAATAAATGGTCCGTGGATGTCATCTTTAGGAACAATTAACGTTGGATAGTCTAAGCTTAAAGGTCCACTGATGTTTCAAGGCTTTAAACTGCAAGCTTTAAATCATTAATAAGTGGACCTTTAAGTTCACATTTTCTTCACCATATTTTACTTAAGTAGCCAGTTAAAGGGTAAACTAAAACTGTTAACATGTTACCAAATGCAGATACAGGAATAAGGGGTCTGAACTCTAGGACAGAGCAGGTACAGTTAACGCCATATATGTATTAAAAAAAAGGCTCAACAAAAACATCTGGCAACAGAACAAGCAGGCAGTCCAAAGAATATACAAATCCAATAAACCAAACAGAGTCCAGGCAGCGGGGAAAGGGATAGGCGACAAAATGGCCAAAACAAGCCAGGGAGGGTGGAGGGAGGTCTGGGGCCTGTAGCCCACCAAGAAGCAAGTTCAACATACGCAGGATATCTTTTCATTATCTGGCTTCACTAACCCTAACATTCACGATCAGGATAAGCGGTCACACAAAGCTATCAACTTGGTTAGTCTATCCAGGGCGTCCTAATCCGTGAGTGCATTCATATAAATGTTAGCAACAGATGACCTTTCTAGGTGACTGACAGATACTAGGAGGAAGATGATACCAGTGGTTCCCCTTCGAGGGAACTCGAACTGCGTCGGTTACGACACTATGGGAACGCCTCTAGGCGAAGCAGGTCTGAACGTGAATGAAATCACTCCAATCCTATGGCTTGTTGCGAGAACGGTAAGGTGTGACGGAATAACCGGAGGAGTATAAAGCACACCTGTACACACTCATCATTAGCTTTTTTCTATTCAGCAGGCGCTCTGTATGTTGTTTGAAGAAAGCTCCAGTCCTACGAGCAGTATGTCTTACGTGAAGAAGAAGTCTACCAGCATGTCCGGCAACCAGATGTCTGGACCCAAGGCAGCTGAGGCTGCCAGGCGTAGGTCCCTTCCCTCTACGAGCTCCTACGGAGAGGAGAGGAAGCAGAGTGTCGCAGCCGTCTGAGAGACGCGATCTGAGGACCGTCATCCAGTCCCGACGGAGCTCTGGGAAGACCGGGGTAGGGGAGTCTTTCCCCCCCACCCCCCCCCCCCACCCCCACCCACCCCCCCCCCACCCCCACCCACCCCCCCCGGAGGCCGACCGAGGTCCCCTCCGCCGTGGCAACAGGTGATGTTATCCCGCCGTTTACACGTTCAGGACGCACCTGCCACCATCGAGTCCATGCCGTACTGCCTGCCCCGAGGGTCTGCAGTCAGGCGGTGTCCCGACTCACTCACCGTGGATCTTCGGCGGCTCCCCCCTGCCGTTCTGGGGCTTCAGGGTCCACCAGAAGATCACACGAGACACCGACCACCAGCCCCGAGGGGCTGGTTCCGTTGGCAGACTTTGCAGAGGCTTGGCGGAGCCTGACGAACATTTCTCCGTGGGTCCTGCGCACTGCCATAGATGGGTATCGACTACAGTTCAAACCCGCCCTCCAAATTCAACAGAAGAGAGGGGGTGGTTTGGACTGTGGTCCGCCCGGAGCAAGGTCCGGTGTTGGGACAGGAAGTTTGTACTCTGCTGAGGAAAGGGGCCGTGGAACGTGTCTCCCCCCCAGACAGAGACGCCGGTTCTACAGCCGGTACTTCATAGTCCCCAAGAAGGACGGAGGGCTGCGTGCCCTATTTTGGATCTGCGGGTTCTAACCGTCTCTGAGGAGATTCAGGTTAAAGATGCTCATCATCCCCGCCACCGTGACGCACATCCAATCTGAGGATTGGTTCGTCACGATAGATCTAAAGGACGCCTATTTCCAGGTCTCCATCCGTCCTTCTCACAGGAAGTTCCTGAGGTTTGCCTTCGGGGGTGTGGCTTACCAGTATCGGGTTCTTCCATTCGGCCTGGCACTTCCCCTCGCACATTCACCAAGTGTATGGATGCAGCACTGGCCCCGCTGAGGCTCCGGGGCATCCGGATTTCAACTTCATCGACGACTGGCTCATCCTAGCCCAGTCTCGAGAGTTGGCGTTCGGCATCGAGATGTCGTTCTGGCTCATCTGCGGCGTTTAGGGCTGAGGCTCAACGCAAAGAAGAGCGTGCTGGCGCCCACCCAACGGGCTACGTTCCTAGGGGTTGCATGGGATTCGACAACGATGCGGGCACAATTGTCTCCGGCACGTGTCGACACCATATTGGCTGCCGTGAAAGGGGTGAAATTAGGCCACGCCATCACTATGAAACACTTTCAACGAGTGTTGGGTCTCCTGGCGGCTGCGTCCAGCGTAATACCATCTGGACTGCTGCACATGAGACCCCTGCAGTGGTGGCTAAGGAACAAGGGTTTTTCCCCGAGGGGAAATCCTCTCCGTCTGATTTGGGTTACGCGCAAGTGTCTTTGTTCCCTATCAGTTTGGAAGGAAACTTGGTTCCTGTCCCAGGGGCCCGTGCTGGGAGGGTCTTGTTGCCGGCTGGTTATTTCGACAGACGCCTCCCTCACGGGCTGGGGCGCGGTCATGGACGGCCGCTTTGCAAGGGGATCCTGGCAGGTGCATCAATCCGAGTGGCATATCAACTGTCTCGAGATGTTGGCGGTGTTCCAGGCTCTAAGGAGTTTCCTGCCCGATCTCCAAGGCCACCACGTCCTGGTTCGTTCCGAAGAGAACAACACAGCGGTGGTGGCCTATCTGAATCACCAGGGCGGTCTGCGCTCGCGCCCTCTGGACAGACTGGCGCGTCAGATCCTCCTGTGGTCCCAGCAGAGGTTACTATCGCTCAGGGCGATGTATCTCCCGGGGACGCAGAATCAGGGAGCAGACCTGCTGTCGAGGCAGGGGCTGAGGCCCGGGGAATGGAGACTTCACCCCGAAGTGGTGGAGCTCTTGTGCGAAGAGTTCGGTCCCATAGACGTGGATCTGTTTGCGTCTCAAGAGACTACGCACTGCCCGCTATGGTTTCTCTCGTTCCTCCAGACCCAACGGGGCGCCATGGTACATTCGTGGCCGAGGCTACGTCTGTACGCTTTTCCCCCAGTTGCTCTGCTCCCGGGGTTCTGGAGCGGGTCCGCCAGGACAATGTCGGCCTACTGCTCGTAGCCCCGTTCTGGCCAACCCGGGTGTGGTTCTCGGACATCATGTTGCTCCTGGACGGCCCGCCAGGGCAGGTCCCTCTGAGGAGAGACCTGCTGTCCCAGGCCCAGGGCCGGGTTCTTCACCCTTGCCCCGCCATATGGCGACTGTGGGTCTGGCCCCACAGTACCTAGAGGCGGGTCTAACAGCCGGAGCAGTCGAGACCCTCCTGAGCTCCAGGGCCCCGTCCACACGGAGGATGTACGGCCTGAAGTGGAGTGTTTTCTCCACTTGGTGTAGGGAGCGGTCGGTGGACCCTGTTACCTGCCCGGTGGTTCAGGTACTTGAGTTCCTCCAGGACCGGTTCTCTGCTGGTCTTTCCCCTTCCACCCTCAAGGTGTACGTGGCAGCTATTTTCCACACCCCTCTGAGGGAGGGGTCCTTGGGGAAACTTCCCTTGGTTGTACGTTTCCTCCGTGGTGCCCGGAGGATGAGACCTGCGACTCGGTCCAAGGTTCCCACTTGGGATCTGGCAGTGGTTCTTGGGGCGGTGGCTGAGGCCCCCTTCAAACCCCTGGAGTCAGCTGAGGCTAAGCACTTGACCCTCAAGATGGCCTTTCTCCTTGCTATCACCTCTCTGAGGAGGGTGGGGGATCTCCAAGCACTTTTGGTTTCCCCGCAAAGCCTGGAGTTTGCCCCGGGGAATATTAGGGCTATCCTGCACCCTCGTTCAGGCTACATCCCTAAAGTGCCTTCTTGTGCGGCAGGGTCCACAGTGCTGCAGGCATTTCATCCTCCACCTCATGTGACGGCGGAGGACGGGAGACTTCATCTGCTCTGCCCTGTCAGAGCACTGAGTATTTACACTCTGAGGTCCTCCCGTTGGAGGAAGGCTGACCAGCTGCTAGTGTGTTTTGGGTCTCCCAGGGCCGGGCTCCCTGCATCCAAACATACTATTAGCAACTGGATTGTTCAGACTATTTCCCTGGCCTATCAGGTGCGCGGTTTGCCTTCACCTGTGGCTGTGAGGGCTCATTCTACCAGAGGCATGGCGGCCTCTCGAGCCCTCCTTTCCGGGGCCTCTTTGCAGGATGTTTGTTTAGCGGCTGGCTGGGCCACTCCGCACACATTCATTCGGTTTTACAGTCTTGACCTTCTTCGGCACCTGGCACTCGTGCGCTCTCCTCTTAGTCGTGCCACTTTATTGCACACAGGGGCAGGCGGGGTTTTCGGCACGGTTTAGTGGGTATCTCGTTCCCATAGTGTCGTAACCGACGCAGTTCGAGTTCCTCGAAGGGGAACGTCTCGGGTTACGTATGTAACCCTGGTTCCCCGAGAAGGGGAACGAGACACTGCGTCGGCCCGCCGCACCTCTCTCCCGCCTGAAGCGCCTGCTTCATAGTTTAAGCTAATGATGAGTGTGTACAGGTGTGCTTTATACTCCTCCGGTTATTCCGTCACACCTTACCGTTCTAGCAACAAGCCAATAGGATTGGAGTGATTTCATTCACGTTCAGACCTGCTTCGCCTAGAGGCGTTCCCATAGTGTCGTAACCGACGCAGTGTCTCGTTCCCCTTCTCGGGGAACCAGGGTTACATACGTAAACCGAGACGTTTTTCTTTGTCACAAAAGGTTTGTTAAATTTTAGTTACTGAATACATTTGGGTAGAAAACTGAATATACAAACAAAAACATCAACAGAAATTATGGCATCAGCAGAGGTAAGCGATAATGAGACATATAAATGAGATAATAGCAGTATCTTACTTTGAGTCTGAGGGTCCATCTTCATTTCTGAAGAATAGAGGATTTCCTTTGGACGAGTCACTCTTCATAGACAGACAGCTGGATACTGGAGACTCTGCTCCCTGGCTGTTGGACTGAACTCTGCAAACACCAAAACATTTTATTCATATAATATGAAACCTTGATAAATTATCTAATAAAACCCATTTAGGAAACTCTAAACACACAAACTGCTGCTGGTGTTGATACTTATGAGGTTTCAAAGTTTGTATCAGTCCTCTTAGATCAGATTACAGTTTTTCTAGGTGACTGACAGCTGTCACAGATACTTAGAGGAAGATGGCACCAATGATTTTTCTTTGTCATAAAAGGTTTGTGAAGTTTTAGGTACTTAAAACATTTTGGTATAAAATTGAATATACAAATAAAAACATCAACAGAAATCATGGCATCAGCAGAGGTAAGTGATAATGAGTCATATAAGAATGAGATAATAGCAGTTCTCCTACTTTTTGTTTGAGGGTCCATCTTCATTTCTGAAGAATAGAGGATTTCCTTTGGACGAGTCACTCTTCATAGACAGACAGCTGGATACTGGAGACTCTGCTCTGTCCTCCTCTTCCTCCACACAAACTCTCATCTTCTGAACTTCAGTCAGTCTGAGAGTTAAAAACAGTAACACTGACTTTGAGCTCAGAACACAAGAATCAAGAAGAACAAGTTTGTTCAAGAGTCACAAACAAGACTGCGAGAACAGGAAGTAACAAACACAAAGACACACAGACACACAGTAAACAGTTTAATAAAAACAGTCAGAACTTTTCTTTAAAACTGTGCTTGTGTTCTTGGTTACTGCAGGTTTAATGTGCTTTATTCAGCCAATCACAACTTTGTGTCCATAGATGAATGTTGAGTTCACTCTAACATTTCACAAGGGCCAAATCTAACCCTGGTGGCCAACAAAGCCAGGGGGCTTGTTGGCAGCGCATTGAGTCAATTTGTGATCATCTTCACAGTGTTCTTGCTGTAATTCTCTATTTTGTATTTTATGGACTCTTCTTTTATGTGTAATATGATTAGGATATAAAAGTACTACATATTAGGTCAATTGTAAGAAATATGGAAACGGGGAGAGTGGTAATAATCAGAGGAAAACCCCAAGATTAAAAAGGTAAATTTATGAGAAAAAATAATTACAAATCTACAAGTAAAAAACTTCAATATTCTCTGATATAATGGATTGTTAAACCCGCTTTGTATTTTTGGACACGTACTTATCCACCTTTCGTAGTACAAGTTAATGGGGAAGTTACAACCAATGTCACAAAGTTACTCCTGTAACTTCGTAGTAAGACCCATGGTCTGCATCAAGCCCATTATCTCCACTTTATCCAGGGCTTACATCCAGTTCCCGCCAGATCGCTGAGTTATACAGTTGTAGAGTCACGTACCAACCAAGTAACTGAAGCTTGTTATTCTGCTTGCCTTGTTTACCTGCTAACTCAAAATTCTCTGTCTTCAGATTCACCTTCACTGGATTTCCGCTCAAGGCTGCCAGCCAGCTCACCTTTCTCTCTGGATTTCACTTCTAAATGTTAACCCTGCTCCCCAGCCAGCTAAACCTTCCAGTTCCCTCTACCAAGTCATACTCTGAGTTCAATCCCAAACCCCAGCCACGTGTTGAACAATAATGATATGAACTGATTCAAGAAGCATCTGGTGGATCATAACAGCTGATCTGAGGAAGAGCCAAACAACTAAATAGTTTGAGGATAAATATGAGTTAAAGAATTACACATTTGAAGCAGATTTTTCAGATTTAGAATTCTTCTACATCTTTACAGTGATGTCAACGTGAGGGAAACAATATCTGCACTAATAGTTCTGCATCATTAATATAAATCTTTTAGCAGAACGTTTTGTATTAAACCTCAGTGCATCATCTTCCATCAGCTCAGTTTACAGTAAATACAGTCTCTTACTGTGTGTCTGACAGTCCAGCTTCATTACTGATTTTCAGATGATTTCCTTTGGACATCTGGATGCTGCAGACTCTGCTCTGTCCTCCTCTTCCTCCACACAAACATTCATCTTCTGGACTTCAGTCAGTCTGAGAGGTAAAACAGTGACACTGACTGTGAGCTCAGAACACAAGAATCAAGAAGAACAAGTTTGTTCAAGCGTCAAAAACAAGACTGAGAGAAGAAACAAAGACACACGCACGCACACACTCAGTAAACAGTATAATAAAAACAGACAGAACTCCACCGGGTCTCATGTCATTAAATCTGTGTTTATTTTCTAGAGTTAATGCAGGTTTAATGTGTTTTATTAGGTCAATCACAACTTTGTTCAGATGAATCAAAGTGTTGAGTTCACTCTAACATTTCTTTCCTCTACAGTCCACAGGGAGAAAAGTGACACAGAGACTTTGACAGTAAAATAATAAAAATGTTGTATTAACACTCACCCTGGCTCAGCCTTCAGGTTTGCTCCTTCTGCTCTGTCATCTCAAAATGGAGTCTGACTAAACACTTTCAGCTTCCCTGTTCTCACCTGGATCACCTGCTCAGTGTTGCTCCTCCCCTCAACAAGTGAGTTTATCTGTGTGTGTGTGTGTGTGTGTACAGTTTTTGCTTATGTCATTGTTTACAAACAAGATCGTTAAAATGCTACAGAGTGAATAAATAATGGTAAAGATATGTATAGTAATGAAAGTTTATGATAATAATTGTAATGTTAATGATATTAATAACAATAATAAGAACAATAGGACTAGCAACAATAATTGTAGCAGAGGGTGTCGAGCAGGAACACGGGGGCAGCAGGTGACCCGCAACCACAGATCCAACTCCACAGCTCCAGAGGCAGAAACACCTGCAGAAAGTGATAGGAGGAGAGAGAGAGGGACGAGAAAGCACAAAACTAAGTGTCTCGTTCCCCTTCTCGGGGAACGAGACACTGCGTCGGTTACGACACTATGGGAACGCCTCTAGGCGAAGCAGGTCTGAACGTGAATGAAATCACTCCAATCCTATTGGCTTGTTGCTAGAACGGTAAGGTGTGACGGAATAACCGGAGGAGTATAAAGCACACCTGTACACACTCATCATTAGCTTAAACTATGAAGCAGGCGCTTCAGGCGGGAGAGAGGTGCGGCGGGCCGACGCAGTGTCTCGTTCCCCTTCTCGGGGAACCAGGGTTAGGGAAGAAGTCGAGTTAGTAACATGCATTAATGGGATGAGGTTGCGTATAGAGGGAGAGAAGTAGGAGGAGAGAGGAGCTCAGTGCACCATGGAAATCCCCCGGCCGTCTAGGACTATAGCAGCATAACTAACCTCACCTGAGCCAACCCTAACTATACGCTTTATCAAAGAGGAAAGTCTTAAGTCTACTCTTAAATGTGGAGACGGTGTCTGCCTCCTGAACGCAAACTGGAACGTGTTGCCACAGGAGAGGAGCTTGATAGCTGAACGCTTTGGCTCCCATTATACTTTTGGAGACTCTAGGAGCCAAAGGTGCGTTTGGGAGTGCAGTGGTGGTTTAGTAAGGTACTATGAGCTCTTTAAGATAAGATGGGCTCTCTCTCGTTTTCCCGACCTCCTACGCGGGATTCGCAGGGGGCTGCAGACACTATCAGTCTCACACATAGAAACAAACAAATTTAGGTTGTCCCTGGTAGAATTATTATTATTATTATTGCTTTTCCCTGTTGTCCCCACCTTCCATCCCCCTTCTCTTACAGGTCTTGTCCTTTCTCTGTGCTGTCTGTTGTATGTGTATGTGTATATATATATATATATAAGTGAAGAGGATTGGTCCAAGCACAGATCCTTGTGGAACTCCATAACTAACTTTGGCGTGCATTGAAGATTCATTGCTAACATGTACAAACTGAGATCGATCCGATAAACAGGACTTAAACCAGCTTAGAGCAGTTCCTTTAATGCCAATTATATGTTCCAGTCTCTGTAGGATCTGATGGTCAAAGGTATCAAATGCAAATGTCCCCAGTGTAAGTGACACCTATGCACCCACCACAAAGCAGTGTGCAATTTGTAGCTCCTACAGCCTCAATTTTGCAAATAAAACATGATTCCAGTGAAGTTTTATTCAGTTGTCTTTTATTATGAAATACAATAAATCTTTCTCTGGAAGGAGTCAGAGTCAAACGGCTTTCCACCTTTGTCTTATGCTCAGAGTCTAATAAAGACTTAATTATCTATGACAGAGATAATGATCAATAGTGTTGTAACCCAGTTCACACAGTAATCACAGTATGTTGAGAGAAGAGCCTGAAACATGCTGAGACTCCAGGTTGTTCAGACTTTCTAAATATGTTTCAAACATTTCTTTCTATATAATAATAAGAACAACATGCATGTTTCCTGATTCAGTTATTTGTACACACCTGTGACCAGGGCCGGCCCGTGGCATTGACAACATAGGCGGTTGACTAGGGCGCAAAATGTCAGGGGTCGGGTTAGGGTACCCACCTCTGTCTGATTAAGGTCAGTTGAAAAACTGAATAAAGCTTTGATTGCATCCAGACTTTTATTTTCTTCTTTCTGTCAAGTAAATCTGTCATAATATGAGAAAAGGTTGGTATTGGTGGTAATAAACTGAACTTCAGAGAGGTAACTTTATAAATGCAATATCAACTTCTACTATTAGAAAGATGTGGAAATAAACTGCAACACACCATTGTTCCACAGAGTGGAAAACATCAATAGAAAGATCAATTTAAATATGTTAATAAACATAACTTATCAGCAGAGGCACTTTGGGTTCAGAACATCTGAATTAAAATAGTCCAGGTGGAGGAGGTGGTTGAGTGTGGAGCAGAAGTAGTGGAGGAGTCTCAGTGTGTCTGCAGAGACTGTGTAGAAGGACAGAGCAGCAGCAGAGCAGTCCAGATACACAGATGATACACAGGGATGATGGTGGACTTAACTTTGTGTCTGACAGTGGAGCTGATCTCAGAGCAGTTCAGACTGCAGAACTGTTGTCAGTCACTGCTGGATGAAGCTCTCCTCTCCACTCTACCTCCCAGTAACGTGGCCCAGTCAGAGCCTCCACATACAAGCTGATGCTGCTGCTTCAACCTCTCTGGATCATCAGGACACAGCTGATCCTCTCTCAACACCACCACCTTTCTCATCACTCACACTCTGACAGAGATCACTTCCATCTGGTGAGAGAAGGAGACAGAGAGCAGAAGTCAAAAATCAGCTTCATCAGCTGTTAGTCAGTGATGCAGCACATCCAGTATAAAGACCAGCAGGGACTTCAGTCCTGTTCAGACCAGAAGTGGAGCGGCTGTGTAGCGTAGACAGCTGCCTTTCAGCTCTCATGTTAACATATTGGAGTGAACACACTGAGACCTGCAAAGACTTTGGGCATCAAGTCTGTTTACTCTGTGCTGCAGCTCAGTTTCAGGATCTTGGCAATCTTATAGCCAAGGCCATCTTTATGTAGGCCAACAATTCTTTTTTTTCAGATCCTCAGAGAGTTCTTTGCCATGAGGTGCCATGTTGAACTTCCAGTGACCAGTATGAGGGAGTAAGAGCGATAACACCAAATTTAACACCTGACACCTTGTAACTGTAACGGGTCACATGACACCGGGGAGGGAAAAGGGCAACTTTGGACATTTTCACTTAAGGATATACTCACTTTTGTTGCCAGCGGTTTAGACAGTAATGGCTGTGTGATGTGCTATTTTGAGGGGCAAAGTGTAATTCTCTCTCTCTCTCTCTCTCTCTCTCTCTCTCTCTCTCTCTCTCTCTCTCTCTCTCTCTCTCTCTCTCTCTCTCTCTCTCTCTCTCTCTCTCTCTCTCTCTCTCTCTCTCTCTCTCTCTCTCTCTCTCTCTCAGAGGTTTACAGTAGGGGTAGAGATTTCTCATCAGGAAATGTTGGTAGATTTGGTAGGTTCTAGCCATTTGGGCACAGCTCTACAAAGTTGCGTTCAGATGTTCAGCTGTGTTCTTCTGCGGGCTGTTCAAGTTGTGACCAACAGCCTGTTCTGCGTTTAAAATGGTGAAATCTAAGGTGCGTTGAGACTGAACTGCACAGTCCCAGTAAGATGGAATCTGGTCTTTTCTAGTTCGATTTGGGCCACTTTTATGTGAGGTCCATATCCGATACAGGTGGGATTTTTTGAAACAGGACTCTGACATTACTCCGGAGCGACTATGTCACATTTCTGCGCCAGACGGAGCGAACGAAAAAGCTCCACAAGCTTTGTCAATACTGTTCTATTAAAATTCATGCCAATAAAGCGAAATTGAGAGAGAGAGTGTTATGGGGCATATACGTTATACAGCGCCAGAAACAGTTATGAATGTAATGAAAAGGACAGAAGGTGTGAACATTTCTCATAACTCAGGAGAAATGTGACACCAGGAGGAAACCGGGAGAGGGCAATGACATACAAGAGTCTCCCGTGAAAATCAGGAGGGTTAGCAAGTGTGAGCTAACCGAAGCTAAATTTTGTGGCTTCCTTGTTTATTTCCATATGAAAGCGTGCTGCGTGTGGCATGTTTTATTTCTTCTGCATATGCAGGTCAATTGCAGATCTTGGTCTGATATGGGACACATTTAAACAAAGTTAACTGTTAATCAAATAAATCTGATCTGGACAATAAATCGTAATTGCGCAATTAGGGTACATACACATTAAGTATTGACGTAGCCTAATTAGAGTTTAGGAAAATGTTCTTGATTGACGGTTGCTATGGTTACACACACCGTTGGCGCTGCGCTCAAAGTCATTTGTCAGTTATGCAAAATTACCCAAAATCTCCTAAATTAGGTTAAAGATTATTATGTCACTGGATCGAGATTGTCACTGAAATCATGCCTGCATGTGTGCTGACTCAGCAAGGATGATATTATACGAGAAAAGTTGATCTACAGGAGAAACATATCTGAAAGAAACAGAGAATGCCTCACTGCCTTACTGCATTATATACTGTTATACTATATTTACTTGATAAACACCTGAATTTTGCAAATTATTTTTAATAAATAAAAATAATTCCACCATAAACTGCTGCAGAAAATGCATACATACATTCATATAATTGAGAATTGAAGATTTCTTAAAAATAATAATAACTCAAAGTCTTGACTCGTCATATCTTGTGAATACCGGATCTTTGCTTTCATATTGTGTTTCGTACAATACTGCTGAAACCAGCATGGACTGACTCCAACCCTCTACTGACCTCAGAGTCTCCAGTCTACAGTGTGGACTCTCCACAAGATCAGACAGCAGTTTCACATCTGAATCCTGCAGCTTGTTGTCACTCAGCTCCAGCTCTCTCAGATGGGAGGGGTTGGACTTTAGAGCTGAGGCCAGAGAAGCACAGCTGATCTCTGACAAACCGCACCAACTCAATCTGAATACAGAGTAAATGATAAGACAGTGTTCCTGCTTGAAATCCATACATGTTTAATAATTCATTCAGAGTTTAGTTGAAAATGAATTTTTTGTTTATGAATTCTTATCATCATTTATTTAAACAAAAACATAGTGTGGAATATAAGATAAAAAGAGGTTCAGAGTGAATTATCCAGTGTAGATTTTTCTTTTTATATAAAGATTTTAAATGTGGAGCTCAAAATTGTTCTGCCACAGTCAATGGACTAAACCACTGAAAAAAGATACTCAGTGTGGATCAGTATAATATCAGCCTTATGTGTACATTTTAGTTTAAATTTTTAAAATAAAAATGGTGTCTGACCTCAAGGTCTCCAGTCTACAGTGTGGACTCCCCAGAAAACCACACAGCAGCTTCACTCCTGAATCCTGCAGCTTGTTGTCACCCAGCTCCAGCTCTCTCAGATGGGAGGGGTTGGACTTCAGAGCTGAGGCCAGAGAAGCACAGCTGATCTCTGACAAACTGCAGCACCACAATCTGAATAAAGAATAAATGATGTAACTTAAGAAGTCAATGTTCCAGCTTGAAATCATTCAGTGTTTAATAATCTGTTCAGAGCTGAAGAAGGTTTAGAAAGTAGAACATTATTATTCAATCTATTTATGAAATTTTATTAGAACTTATTTAAATTTAAATGTATACATTGGGTACATTAAGCATTAAATTACTTAGTTAAAATAGTATAATAAAAAAATGATATTTACACATACAGGAATTTGAGTAATTAAAATAATAATTGAATTGGCATGGACGCTTTCGCCGTTTTTTTATACATTTACATTTTACATTTACTCATTTGGCAGATGCTTTTATCCAAAGCGGAACAACATACAAGCATCAACAGAGCATCAAATACAGATCTACAACTGACAATACATACTAGTAAGAGCAGCAATAAATCCTAGTAAGATCTCATGGTACATATCACATCAATGGGGTAAATACCTAGGGAAGGAAGTAAGAGTTAACAAAAAAGTGCAATCAATAAAAAAAAGGTGCAATCAATACAAGATAAGTGTAGGGGCATAGAAGAAGAATAGCACATGTGCTAGGAGTTGGAGGTGTTATAAGAGGAAGTGTTCTCAGAAGAGATGAGTTTTCAAGAGCTTCTTGAAGTTAGAGAGGGACGCCCCTGCTCTGATGGCGTGTGGTAGCTCGTTCCAACATCGTGGTGTCACAGATGAGAACAGCCGGGACTGGGATTGCTTGGTGTGAAGGGATGGCAGAGCCAGGCGGCGTTCGTTGGAGGAGTGTAGTGGCTGAGAAGGAACGTAAGTTTGTATTATGGAGTTTAGGTAGATGGGTGCAGACCCAGTAGTCACTCTGTATGCAAGCATTAGTGACTTAAATTTGATTCTGGAGGCCACGGGGAGCCAGTGGAGGTCACTGAGTAATGGAGTGACACGAGTCCTTTTGGGCTGATCAAAAACCAGACGCGCTGCTGCTTACATATTTGATTTGAAAGAGAAGAAATCTGCAATCATGCAATAGGAGCTCTGCCAATCATGAATGGGTTTACATAGGTTTCGATCGTGTCACAAGCATGAAATAGTCGCTCTGTTGTTTCTACTTTTACATGGGTCTGCCGTGGTGAAACAACAATGGTGGCACGCTTTAAATGTTCCTACCACAAGGAATTGTTGGACGAAGATAAGAAAGGAAACACTAACACCATATTTCATAAGCATTTAGATAATTTGACCAGCTCTTATCACGGCTGCCACTTTGATAACTAAACAAAGACGCAATTTTCTGTCAGGCAGTGCGGAGGACGCAGTGCAGAGGACCCGCTGCTAGGCGAAGCAAAGACATTTGCACAAGTTGATAATGTTCAACCTGAATGAAAAAGTTGCATGACACTGTGTGGCGATAGCCTATCAGCATTGAGATTGTCTGGATGTCAAACAGCTTTAAAGCAGTGTTTGGAGAAGGACAGGCAGAGTGGGGGGACTGAATCTCTGCTGGCCAACAGACAGTTGCTCAGTGACCTGAGCTGTTAAGGAGAGAGCGACTAATTACCACCCGTAGTCAGACTGGACTCTGCTCTGATAATTGCAACGTTTACTGGCGGAAGGAGCTCAGAGTTAATTACTTTTATTAATTTAACTTTTTACTAAAATATTTGTGATTAAAATGCTAAATTGTTTTCACTTGTGCTTCTTAACAGCATGACAACTTGTGTTTCTGCCTTCAACTTTTGTAAGCATCCGTGGGCACTGTGAACTGTGAACAAGTTAGCGTAGCACAGGTCTGTTTTATCCAAATTCCATTCAGAACAAACATTTTAAAAGTTTCTGTCCTGCTGTGTTGCTGACAGACCTGATGTTTAATAACTCAGCAATCAAGTTTTGGTAATTCCGGCATCATTTATTGCAATTAAATCACAGCAAAATGTTTACTTTGGTTTCATATCACGGTAGTTATTGCGAGTTTTCTTTATTCGCATTATCACATTGTGTGTGACCACTCAGCCGTAGTCCATCTATAAACTTCCAGCTAGAAAAGCGATGCCAGGATTAAATTTGTGTTTGGTCTGAATGCATTGTTTTCTTCTTGCAGGAGCCTGGGTGTGTAGTCAAAGCAGCAGCATGCACCTGAGAGGAGTAAGGGGCCAATGGCACAAAAGGGCTACCCTCACATGTGGTGATCTCAGAGTCTTCTCTTGAGGCTTATGTTGTAATGGCTGCAACCACAGTACTATGCCCCTCCCTGTGTGCAGACTGGAAGGGGTCGAGACAAGGAGTTTCTTCTTATTTAAGTAAGTTCACTATTACTCTCTCAAAACACTTAATAACCACACATTAGTCCAACATGTCTGAAATCCTTTTCGCTGTTCGATATGAGATGTTAGATACTGGAATGATTATCAAATTCTTCCAGAGAGCTGGAACAGTATGACAGCTGAAAGATGAGGCACCAAGCCTCAGACAGTTCAGATGAGCATGTTTTTAGCAAGAAGGCAGGCATATGGATTTCTTCTTACATACTTTTCCTATCGCCTGAAATGGCATTAAAATAGTGTAATTCCACTATCATCCCTAAAGAAGAGTCGTTCTGTGTATCATATCTTAGAAGTAATTTAAATCATTTGTACTGTCCCAGTCATTCAATGACAAACTGTGTTTTGTTTTTAACTGAATCCCACAGTTTCTTATTGACCACGGAGCAAATGTTCTGTTTAATGGCCTCACGGTACTTTTCTCTAACCTTCCTTAGCAATGTGTACTGCTGCCGCTCCCAGTCGATCTTTGTTTTTGAAGTCCAGCTTCTTTTATTGATGCAGGCTTTTACCTCCATGATGATATGTGAGTTTTTGTTAGGGAAATGTAAAATATCCTTTTGGGAGACAACATTATCTACAAAGAATTGAATATAGTCAGTAACAGTTTCAGTAGCCTCATTTAGATCCAAGTTGTGAAAAATGCACCAGTCAGTGCTAGAAAAGCAGCCTCGCAAAGTCTCTACACTGTCCTCAGTCCACTGCAACACAGTCTTATGTTGGGGCTTGCTGATCTGTCTGTGGTTATAAGATGGACAGTCAAGCAGACAGAGTTTGAGAGAGGTGGAAGTGCACGTTTGATGTTTCCAAAACATTTGTCCAAAACTTTATTTTAACTTGTGCCACATTTGACATATTTACTAAATCCCAGTAAAGCAGTCTCAAATAAGTGCCCCTGGAGTGCGCTGGAGTCGGTTATGCACACATTCAGCTCTGGAACTGTTTTTTATTTGTGTTTTACATTATATTATTTCTCTGCATATAAGTGAAAAAATGTCTGACCTCAGAGTCTCCAGTCTACAGTGTGGACTCCCCAGAAAATCACAGAGCAGCTTCACTCCTGTGTCCTGCAGCTTGTTTTTACTCATGTCCAGCTCTCTCAGATTGGAGGGGTTTGACTTCAGAGCTGAGGCCAGAGAAGCACAGCTGATCTCTGACAAACTGCAGTTCCACAGTCTGAATAAAGAATAAATTATGTAATTTTAGAAGACAATGTTCCTGCTTAAAATCATTCAGTGTGTGAAGAAGGTTTAGAAAGTAGAAGTTTAGAAAATGAAAACTCCAAACACCTGAATCAACAAGATACAGGTTAAAAACAAAAAGAATAAAAAAAGCTCCCATTAATAATAATTACAACGTGCTGCTTCTTCAGTAAAGACATTGTAACTTCACTTCTTAAACTCTGCAGCTCCACCAGTGGCTCCATCTATACAAACTCATCTTGTGCAGCCAAACACAAATAAAAATCCTCAGAAACGGATCTAAGATTCAACTCAAGATCCCGAAGTTTCCAAAGATGCCAAATATGTCAGGATAAATTTTGGGGAAATATGAACAAAACACATGTACAATATTTATTTTAGGAATAGTGGAGTAATAAAGTCAAAGCATCTTCAGTTTAAACTATTCTGGCATTGTAAGCATCATATAGTTTCATAAAATTGTATTATTTATATTATTCATTGTTTTAATGTATTCTTATTAGAATTTGAACAAAACCATGATGTGAAATATAAGCTGTAAATCAGGAAGTTAAGAGGTTCAGAGTGAATTATCCAGTGTAGATTTTTCTAGTTATATTAAGGTTTTAAATGTGAAGCTCAACATTATTCTGACACAGTCAAAGGACTAAACCACAGAAGAAGAAAACAGACTTTAGCATTAAGATACTCAGTGTGGATCGGTATAATTTCAGTCTAATGTCTGCAGTTTAGTGTCACCACAACTTTTACTTCATATTAATCTCAGCACAGAAGTAAAACATCTCTGACCTCAGAGTCTCCAGTCTACAGTGTGGACTCTCCAGAAAACCAGACAGCAGCTTCACTCCTGAATCCTGAACCTTGTTGTCACTCAGCCACAGTGCACTCAGGTAGGAGGGGTTGGACTTCAGAGCTGAGGCCAGAGAAGCACAGCTGATCTCTGACAAACTGCAGAGACACATTCTGAATAAAGACAAAAATATGTAGTTAAAAAAAAAGTTTTATCTAGTCAGATGTTTTCAGTGTTCAGGTTTAGAATGTGTATCTCAAAATTATATTGATCCTTTACACAGCTACGTTTGAATAGCTGCGTTTATGTCTGTGTCCTTATAAATTTATAGTCGCAGGAAAAAGTATGTGAACCCTTTGGAATTACCTGCATTTCTGCATAAATTGGTCATAAAATGTGATCTGATCTTTGTCTTGGTCACAACAATAGACAACACAGCCTGCTTGAACTCACACCACACCAATGATATGCAATAATGTTTTTGTATTTTTATTAAACTCACTGTGTAAACATTCACAGTGCAGGGTGGGAAAAAGTATGTGAACCCTTGGATTTAATAACTGGTTGACCCTCATTTGGCAGCAATAACCCCAACCAAACGTTTGCTGTAGTTGCAGATCAGCCCTGAACAACGATCAGGAGGAATTTTGACCATTCCTCTTTACAAAACTGTTTCAGTTCAGCAATGTTCTTGGGATGTCTGGTGTGAACCACTCTCTTGAGGTCATGCCACAGCATCTCAATTGCACTGACATTAGGAAAATGCGTATTTTCTTCTGCTGAAGCCATTCTGTTATTGATTTACTTCTGTGCTTTAAATGGTTGTTCTTTTGCATCACCCATCTTCTGTTGAGCTTCATATAACAGAGAGATGGCCTTACATTCTCCTGCAAAATTTCTTTATAAACTTTGGAATTAATTTTTCTGTTGATGATACCCTTCCACACCCTGAGGCAGAGAAGCAGCCCCAAACCATGATGTCCCCTCTACCATACCTCACAGTTGAGATGAGGTTTTGATGTTGGTATGCTGTGCCTTTTCTCCTCCACAAATAGGATTGTGTGTTCCTTCCAAACAACTCTTTGGTCCCATCCGTCCACAGAATATTTTGCAAGTAGTGCTGTGGAACATCTAGATGCTCTTTTGCAAACTTCAGACATGTTTTTGTTGGAAATCAGTGGCTTCCTCCTTAGTTTCCTCCAATGAACTCCATTCTTGTTCAGTGTTTTTGACGTATTGAGCAATCTGAGCTGTGCTTGTGCAGTCATCTTTGTAGGATTGCCACTCCTAGGGAAAGTAGCAGCAGTGCTGAACTTTCTTAATTTATACACAATTTGTTTTACCATGGACCGATGAACATCAACGCTTAATAGAAATACTTTTGTAACCTCTTCCAGCTTCATGCAAGTCAGAAATTCCTAATATCAGGTCTTTTGAAAGCTCTTTTGTTCCAGGCATGGTTCAGATCAGGCAATGCCTCATGAGAATAGCAAAATTAAAACTGGTGTGTGTGTGTGTGTGTGTGTGTGTGTGTGTGTGTGTTCTGAAAGATTAATATCAGTGAGTACACAATATTTCTGAATACACTTTAAAGTTAAAAGAAATCAAAGAAAGTGTCTACTTCAGCAAGTAACCTTGATCAATTGAAACACGTATTAGTATCTTCTGTATATAGATGTGACCCTTTACCAGAAAGTATAAACATTAATTTACTTTAACAACTAATAAAAACTTTCAACAGTTTCTTTAAGAAACAAAAGTCTTTTGTGACTGCAGACTAAACAGTACAAAAAAAAAAAGAAAAATAATAATTTATAACTTTCTGGATGTAAGTTAAGTATGAAAATAAATTATGGTATTAATTGTTAATTGATCATATAAGATCTACAATAGAAACAGAGAGCCAGTGAACCAACCCCAGAGTCTCCAGTCTACAGTGTGGACTCTCCAGAAAATCACACAGCAGCTTCACTCCTGAATCCTGGAGGTTGTTTCCACTCAGCCGGAGCTCTCTCAGATGGGAGGGGTTGGATTTCAGAGCTGAGGCCAGAGAAGCGCAGCTGCTCTCTGTCAAACTGCAGCACCTCAATCTTAATGAAGAATAAATTATAGATAAAAATCCATTTATAATCCAGTCAGATGTGTCCAGGTTTTAAATGTGTAGCTCAACATTACTATGTCCTAATCAACCTGAACCTTTATTGACTTTGTCATTGTGTTATTGTGGATCATCATAATGTCAGCCTTCTAAAGACATCATCCAAATGTCAGCACAACATTCATACACCTATTCATGTCAACACAGATTAATAACATGCTATTGATCTCAGGCATTAGTCATGTAAAGCAGTACTAGTAAATTATTTAATATCAGATTATCATATTGACTTATTTTGTTTTTCTGAAACCTGGCTTAGTCATTTAATTCTTTGAGAAACCGGCCAAGGAGGTAAAATTGCGTCTATCTACAACTCAAGCCTATTCATCAACTCTAAACCTACTCCAATTCATTGAAAAGCCTTGTTCTTAGTGTTTAGCACACAACCTGGAAGACACTTCAGCCAATTCTATTTGTGATTGTGTTCAACGCTCAATATTCAGAACTTTTATCTGAATACTAACAGATAAAGTAATAATTATTGTTTATTTTAATATTCATTTGATTCATTCAAGTGATTCCTTCAGCATTTAATTCAATACCATGTCTCAATATTACAAAGGACTCCTGATGAAATTCGAAATATTAAAGACAAAATCAATGGGCCTCAATGGGCACCAATTTATTTTCAAACTCTGGAACTTTAGAAACAACTATTAAATCTGATATATATTTAGACAGCTTTTCTCCCACCAATATTCACTTACTAACATCAATGATTTCTTCATTTAGGCCATCAATCTGTCTGTTGGACCTTCTGTAATGAATTTGAATTTGATAGAGCAGAAAAAATGAACTGACCCCAGATTCTCCACACTACAATTTGGATTCTCAAGTCCAGCAGTCAGAAGCTTCACTCCTGAATCATGCAGGTTGTTGTGACTCAGGTCCAGCTCTCTCAGATGGGAGGGGTTGGACTTCAGAGCTGAGGCCACGACTTCACAGTGAGTCTCTGAGAGTCCACAGAAGGACAGTCTGTAATGACAGAAAATTTCAACTTAAAATATAATAAAATCTGATATTTGTTAATAAAAATAGGTATTTTGATCACAAAACATATGAACATTGCATGTCCTTGAGCAACATAATAATATAACATAACACAAATCACTGCTTTAAACAGAAGTGTCTGCCAAATGACTGTAATGGTAACATGTCATTTTGTGATTAAGAGGGTGCTGTGATTTGTGTTTGGTAAACTTTATAATATGATGTTCAATGAGCTGTAAAATCACTGCAGGTTGTAACTGCACTCGTATGTTTTTACCTCAGTCATATTCTTGTGTGTGTTTTGTGCATCTTGATGCATCTTATTGTGCCACTTTATCTGCATTCATCTCCATTAAGTAAATTTAATCATTCTAGATAGATAGACAGACAGACGTAACTGGAAAGAGTGGTGGAAAGGTTCCTCTGTGAACATGGCTTCCTGCCAAACAAAGTTATCTAGCTCCACATTCAAATGTGAAATGTTAGTGTGAAATCTCAGCAAACTTCGTAAATCACAGAGAGTTGAGGCAGAGCAGCCGGGGGGCACGGGGAACTGTAAGACCTATCAGTTACAATGTTGCCTTTGGAGACAAAGTAGGCAGCAAGGCAGCATATCATCAGTCATTGGCCTAAATGTCGCTATATTATTTTAAAGACATCTGGGCTTACCGAGCCTTTCTGCAGTTCCTCACAGCTGGAATCAGTCTTTGTCTTCCCTGCACTGATGTGTTGTACTTAGTCAACTCCAACTCATCCAGAACCTCCTCTGACATCTGCAGCATGTAGGCCAGAGCTGAGCAGTGGACCACAGACAGTTTCGTCTCTGCTCTGTTCCCTGACTTGAGGAACTCTTGGATCTCCTGATGTACTGAGTGGTCGTTCATCTCCATCAGACAGTGGAAAATGTTGATGCTTCTGTCAGGAGAGCTTTTTGTGTTCATCTTCTTCAGGTTGTTGATGGCTCTCTGGATGATTTGTGGACTATTCTCTGTCCGGCCCAGCAGGCCTCCTAAGATTCTGTGGTTGGAATCCAGAGAGAGGCCATGAAGGAAGCGAACAAACAGGTCCAGGTGGCCAGTTTTACTTTTAAGGGATTTCATCATTGCTCCCATCAGGAAGACATCCAGGGCTGAATCAATATATTGCTTTTCTAAGAAGTCCTCCAGTACCTCTGTGTTACTGTTAGTGTAACAGCTGAACATGTAGACTGCAGCCAGAAACTCCTGAATGCTCAGATGAACAAAGCAGTAGACTGTTTTCTGGAAGATCACACTCTCTCTTTTGAAGATCTCTGTACAAACTCCTGAGTACACAGAGGCCTCTGTGACATCAAGACCACACTGCTCCAGGTCTTCTTGGTAGAACATGATGTTTCCTTTCTCCAGCTGTTCAAACGCCAGCCTCCCCAGCTTCAGAATAACCTTCCCATCAGCCTTCATCAGTTCCTGTGGACTCGTCTCATGTCCCTCATTATACTTCTGCTTCTTCCTCTTTGTCTGAACCAGCAGGAAGTGTGAGTACAGGTCAGTCAGGGTCTTGGGCAGCTCTCCTCTCTGGTCTGTAATCAACATGTGCTCCAGAACTGTAGCAGTGATCCAGCAGAAAACTGGGATTAGACACATGATGTGGAGGCTCCTAGATGTCTTGATGTGTGAGATGATTCTGCTGGACAGCTCTTTATCACTGACTCTCCTCCTGAAGTACTCCTCCTTCTGGGCGTCAGTGAAGCCTCGTACTTCTGTTACCCTGTCAACAAATGAAGGAGGGATCTGATTGGCTGCTGCAGGTCTGGAAGTTATCCAGACGAGAGCCGAGGGAAGCAGATTCCCCTTGATGAGGTTTGTCAGCAGCAGGTTGACTGATGACTTCTGTGTGACATCAGACACAACCTCATTGTTGTGGAAATCCAATGAAAGTCTGCTTTCATCCAGGCCGTCAAAGATGAACAACAGTTTACAGACAGCGAGCTTCTCTGCTGGGACCTTCTGTAATGTTGGATGGAAAACATGGAGCAGCGTGAGAAGACTGTACAGCTCATCTTTGATCAAGTTCAGCTCTCTGAACGACAGCAGAACCAGCAGACTGACATCTTGGTTTTTCAAGCCCTCTGCCCAGTCCAGAGTGAACTTCTGCACTAAGAAGGTTTTTCCAACGCCTGCGACGCCACTCGTCAGAACCACTCTGATGTGTCTCTGTTGGTCAGGTAAGGCTTTAAAGATGTCGTGGCACTTGATTGGAGTTTCATGGAGGGTCTCCATCTTGGAAGCGGTCTCAAGCTGCCTCACCTCATGTTGGGTATTAACCTCTTCAGTCTGTCCCTCTGTGATGTAGAGCTCAGTATAGATCCGGTTGAGGAGGGTTCCACTTCCTGTTTCATCAGTTCCTTCAGTGACACATTCACATCTTCTCCTCAGACTGATCTTATGTTTTTCAAAATCCTCCTGCAGACCACCAATCACTAAAAAGCAGAAATTTTGACAATCGGGTGATTATTTTCATTACCTATAAAAAATATCAATAATAATAATTTTTAGCGAATCAAAAGTTATAAAGTCCTGGTGGGGGATGTTTGGGCATCTTGAGCAAAGTGGTTCCAATCCTACCTCTCTGAGCATTGTAAGTGTTTCCCTACAATGTGTCGTGGCAAGAACAATTGTCCCTGCTCTTACTGCCTCTCCACAAGGGTGCCCCAAGGCCCCTTCTTTTCTCAATTACACCACCTCACTGGGACCAATAATTCGCTCGCATGCAGGGGCAGACCGGCCATCGGCTGATTTTCAGTCCCAGTACACCTCTGCTTGCATGGCTTCTCTCACCACTGCTACGCAGATGATACGAAACTCTACCTAACCTTTCCACCATACAACCCCACCGTCTCTTGGACAAACAGTATCTCACAAAAGTGAGTACACCAGTCACATTTTTGTAAATACTTCATTATATCTTTTCATGTGACGACACTGTCTATATGACACTTTGCTACAATGTAAAGTAGTGAGTGTACAGCTTGTATAACAGTGTAAATTTGTTTTCCAACTAAACTGAGTATGAGTACACCCCTAAGTGAAAATGTCCAAATTGGTCCTAATTAACCATTTTCTGTCCCCGGTGTTATGTGACTTGTTAGTGTTACAAGGTTTCAGGTGTGAATGGGGAGCAGGTGTGTTAAATTTGGTGTTATTGCTCTCACTCCCTCATACTGGTCACTGGAGGTTCAACATGGTACCTCATGGCAAAGAACTCTCTGAGGATCTGAAAAAAGAATGGTTGCTTTACATAAATATGGATATAAGAAGATTGATAAGAAGATACAAGAAACTGAGCTGCAGCACGGTGGTCTAGACCATACAGCAGTTCAACAGGACAGGTTCCACTCAGAACAGGCCTAGCCATGGTTGACCAGAGAAGCTGAGTGCACGTGCTCAGCATCATATCCAGAGGTTGTCTTTGGGAAATAGACATGTTAGTGCTGACAGCATTGCTACAGAGGCTGAAGTGATGGGGATACAGCCTGTCAGTACTCAGACCATATGGCACACACTGCATCAAATTGATCTGTATGGCTGTCTTCCCAGGAGAAAGTCTCTTCTGAAGATGATGCAAAAGATAGCCCACAAACAGTTTGCTGAAGACAAGCAGACTAAGGACATGGATTACTGGAACCATGTCCTGTGGTCTGATGAGACAGACCATTCTCATCTCAGGGCGTCCAATACCAACCATTTCAGAAAGTGGCAAAGCATAGTTATTTGACGCTAAAGCGCTAGCTAGCTATGTTCATGTTAAAGGTGTTGACAGCCCCCCGAAACTTACCATAACTGGAAATGTTAGTGCCTAAACCTGAGTCAATGACTTTATGCATGTCGACTGGCTAACCCTACAGCTACACCCTCCTTTGTGTTGTATAGCAATGTATGTAGTGGTGGGGTTTTAATACGGATGTATTATTTGACCTTTAGCATCAAATAATTACGCTTTGTCACGCTGTCTGAAAGTGTCGGTAATGATGCACTGAGATGAGAATGCGTTGCTTGAGACCAAGATAAACTTATTTGGTTCAGATGATGTCACATGTGTGTAGCTGCAACCAGGTGAGGAGTACAAAGACAAATGTGTCTTGACTACAGTAAAGCATGGTGGTGTGAGTGTGCTGGTCTGGAGTTGCATGAGTGCTGCTGGCACTGGGGAGCTACAGTTCATTAAGGGAACCATGAACGCCAACATGTACTGTGACACACTAAAGCAGAGCATGATCCCCTCCCTTCGGAGACTGGGCCGCAGGGTAGTATTCCAACATGATAACGACCCCAAACACATCTCCAAGACGACTTGGACTGCCGTGCTGCAGTAGCTGAAGGTTCAATTCAATTCAATTCAATTTTATTTATATAGAGCCAAATCACAACAACAGTTATCTCACAGCGCTTTTCATAAAAGAGCAGGTCTAGACCGTACTCTATGATGTTATTTACAGAAGCCCAACACTTTCCACCAAGAGCAAGCACTAGGCGGCAGAGGCAAGGAAAAACTTCCTTTTAAGAGGCAGAAACCTCGAGCAGAACCATGGCTCAGGGTGGGCGGCCATCTGCCCCGACCGGTATACAACATTCTTGTCCATCTTGGACTACGCTGATATTTTATATATCTATTCAACCTCCCAGTGTCTTCATGCTTTGGACACTGTGTTTCATAGAGACTTGAGTTTCATCACAAACTTAAAATCTCTCACTCTTCACTGTTTGCTGTATTCTCAGGTCGGGTGGTTCTCCCTCTCCATTCGGCGTTGGATGCATGAGAGATACTGTATCTGCATGGATGAAGGCTTGCCACCTTCAACTAAACCTCAAAACTACAAATCCTCAACCATCACACCAACCAGGGTGGTGAGAAACTTGAGGGTCATCATCGCTTTGCATTACACAACAAAAGAAGATTCAGGCCCTACCTTAATTAGTATGCTACCCAGCTTCTGGTACAGTCCATGATTATCTCTTGCCTCAACTATTGTAATGCGCTCCTAGTGCATCTTCCAGCTTGTGCGGTGAAACCCCTACAAATGTTTCAGAATACAGCAGCGTGTCTGGTTTTTGATCTGCCCAAAAGGACCCATGTTACTCCATTACTCAGCGACCTCCACTGGCAACCACGGCCTCCTGAATCAAATTCAAGTCACTAATGCTCACATTCAGAGTGACTACTGAGTAGACAGTTGTAGTCCAAATAGCTAGATATGAAAAACAATAATTTTTATGGTGTGGTGAACACAGAGAGACTTTTAAAAACAGAGCTTCTCTTTCATCAACAGAACAGACACGTGTTGATCCAATCAGTTTAGCTCCTTTGATTTGAAGGAGAAGACCATCTCAAGTTTGCCTCTGTAAATGATCACCGGCTCAATCAGGGTTTTTGAAGCTGTGACCCCGCAAACCAGATAAGTTACATGCAAGTTAGTATATTATGTAGCAGGATTTTAGTCATTCATTCTTTAGCACTACGTGCTCATGTAAATTTTCACACAATGTTTCTATGTACTATTTTTAGAGCCTGTTCCTCACCCAGGAGGCTCTTGTCATGTTGTGCCTAAAAAGCTGCAACTGGTCTGTTTGCATGTGTCATCAGAGCTGTCCTGGATCCACAACGTTGGACCAAGCTCCCCACTGAAATCAGGACATTAGAAATTGTACACATTCTTCAGACGGAAAATCTAAATGTAGCACAAGAAGCTGTTAGGCTTATTTGATGAAGCTGCATGATTTTTGAAATTTTTGGGTTGTCTCCACATGGTTTGATGAACTTATTTTAAGTCTCTAAACAAATATAATGTCATGAAATGTAGCAAGTTACATTTTTAAGATAGACATCTTACTTTGTACAGAGCTACTCTGACTGGCTGTCTGCAGTCCAGCTCTTGCTCCTTCTCCACAATGGGGACAGTCTCCTGGTGAAGCAGACTGGTCCCAGTATGAGGTGATGCACTGTCTGCAGAACCAGTGTCCACAGCTGGTAGAGACTGGATCCTTTAGGATGTCCTGACACAAAGCACAGCAGGATGGCTGCTCCTCCACAGAAACATGACCCCTCTTCTCTCTGTGAAGAAGTTTCATTAGAATTAAAATTATTTGTTTCTTGTTGCTGAAAAATATCAAGATTTGTCCAACACTGTGTAGAAGCTCAGATGGTCACAGAGAAAAGTGAAAGTATTTTTACTTTTCTGTTTAAATTCATCTTTGTGTCTGTAATGAAGATGTTTGTTCCTTTAATTTCAATTCTCGTGCTTTCATAAACACTTAATAGATTTCCTATCTGACTTACTAAACATTTTGTGATCTGCTCCTTCACAGTAAAGCCTACATCCAAGAGATCTGATTATGTCCTCAGTTGTTTGTCACTTTTGGCAGCTTAGCTTGAGTTAGTTAGGTTTAATGAGTCTGGAAGTGTTGTAAATACTTGTGGTAGACCAGCAGTCTAAGATACAAAGCATGTAGCAGTGATGTCACAGGTTTAAGTCCAGACAGTTTACTTGACTGTACGTCATTCCCTTTATGTCTTCTCTTACTCTCTACTGATCAGGGACAGACTGAGACATCAAAGCAGCAAGTTTAACACAACCGGCACATGAACACCACTTTCCCTCAACTACTCTTGGAAACATCTTCAGATCTCGGTCACTCTCCTGCAGCCTCCTAGTCCTCTTTACCTGCTGCTGCTGGCACAACGGTCACCTAATAACTGTTACCATTCATTTAGAGGCTTTTCTCTTCAATGCTTTCAAGATTTTTTTACAAAGTTTCTCCTAGCCCTTTTCTATACGTTTTCTCTCCATGTTGTGAACTTTTGTGAACCTTATGTTGTTCAGGTCAGGTGTTAGCCAAAAAGCCAAAGTAAGAATGCAGAACTAAGGATGATAGGTGTTCTTTCGACATTTTTTGGTATTTGATGTTGGGTCGACGGGCTGTTCAGGACTCTGCTACTGAAAGCAAGGACTATAAATACACACACACGCACACACACACACACACAGAGTGGAAGTTGCACATACATACATACTGTCATTCACTCAGCAACACAAGTGTGTTTAAGTAATCCACCAGTAATAAACCTTCACCCGTTTTGCTGTCAACACATTACATTGGCGTTTACTGATTTAGCTGATGCTTTTATTTGATCAGCTCCCAGTGTGTGAATGGTAGATTCTCCTCACTCATTACAGCTGTCACAGGCGTAAGGTTGCTCTTTCTGGAATTGAAAATGCAGTATTTCACTCTTCTCAGGGTTAAGGAACTCAGAGTTGTCAGAAAACCCGCTTTATGGACTACACTTGCATTAAGCGTCTCAGAAGCAGCTCCTGTGAAGCTGAGAGGCTGACAGACAGCATGACCTGTTAGCCTTAGGTCTCCATACAAGGGTACGAGCTTAGGTTACATTCATCTGGAAATCTAAAGATATTGAACAATATTGACGACCTGTCCAGGGTGTACCCCGCCTTTCGCCCAATGTCAGCTGGGATTGGTTCCAGCCAATGATAGATGGATGGATGAACAACACTGCAAATTTGGCAATCACACAGAGATAAGAATCATAGTTAAATAGCTAACATCATTTTACCTACTTATTAAACAGGCAAGAACTTTCCTCCATGTATATTTACTCATTTAGTCACTTTTATCCCTCAAAAGAAAGAAAGAAAGTGGTCCCCATAATCCCCAGACCTGCTGCATGAAAAATTTTGTTCAATCTCGATATGCCACACCTGTGAAGTGGATGGATTATCTCAGCAAAGGAGAAGTGGTCACTGACACAGATTTTGACAGATCTGTGAACAGTATTTTAGAGAAATAGGCCTATTGTGTACGCAGCAAAATTCTTGGAGTTCAGCTCATGATGAATGGGGACAAAAACAAAAGTGTTGTTTATAATTTTGTTCAGTGTATTTATGTGCATGACAGCATGTATGTGCAAGCAAAGTATTCAAATTTGGCCTAGGCGGCTTCTCAGAACAGTGTTTCCCTACATGCATTCAGGAGCAGCGGTGCGCAACCGCCGCTTCTAAAATTTCCCACGATCATTAAACTATGCGTTACAAATGTTTTCACTCGCACTCTGTGTGAGCACGGCAACACTCAATGCTGGGCTCGCTTCCTCTCCTTGTTCTATGCAGAACATACGTGACAGATGGTGTTATAGGAGCAGCGTAACTCTGAATCAGGAGGTGCGTAGCGAGTCTTTGATTGTCTGAAAACTGGCAGTAAATGTACGGTGTCTGTTACACTGTGTTAGCTTCTCAAGACCAAGAAAACTCTGCTACCTGCTACCTGCTGGAAAAGTGAAGCCGGTTAGCGCTTCATGATGCACAGCTGAGCAGGAAAGCTTCTACAGCAGCTACATAGCTGCTATGTAACTTCACATTAGCTCATTTTATAGAAAGTAACTAGAAGCTGTATTTTATTACTGCTTACTTGTCCAATGTTGAGAACATTAGGTACAAACTTAGACTAAACTGACATAGCCTGCAGCCCTGTCCTGTACAGACTGATTCAATTATTTTTCAGTCTCAAAAAGTGGTTTTAGAAAAGAAAGGACGGTGGTAACTGGAGGAGTTGAGGTTAGTAAAGCTAATTAGTGATGCAAACTAGTCAGCACAAGATAATAACTTGTGTGCACATTGTGGATCATAACTGCCAGAGAAAGTGTCACAAAAAGTTTCTCTTTGTGTCACAAAAGGTTTGTTCGATTTAGGTAGCAAATACATTTTGGTAGAAAATGTAATATTGAAACACAGAAACAACAGAAATCATGACATCAGCAGATTTACTGAAAATGAGTCATAAATCAGTTAGCAGTTCTCTTACTTTGTGTCTGAGGGTCCAGGTTCATTACTGAACTTCAGAGGAAGACCTCTGGATTGATCACTCTTCATAGACAGACAGCTGGATACTGGAGACTCTGCTCTCTGTCTGTCAGACTGAACTCTGCAAACACAGAGATGTTTTTATTCATATTGTATGAATCAGTGGTAAAATCTATGATGAAAGTAATTTAGGAATCTCTAAACACAAAGAATGCTGCTGCTGTCGATGATTAGGAGGTTTAAACGTTTGTATTAGTTGTCTTAGATCAGATTACAGCTTCTCTGGGTAACTGAGAGCAGAAACACAGCAACAAAAAGATTGTTAAACTTTAGTTAGCAAATACATTTTAGTAGAAAATGTAAAGTAGAAACCAACGTGATATCATGGAATGGTGTATAAATTGCACCACGCTTTTAAGGACATTTCGGCGTGCCATGTCAATGCATTTTAAGGTTTTCGCATGTCATTTCACGCCGTTTAGACTGCATTGACTTCTGTTGTGAAGAAACCACGTCACAAAGGAGGTTAACCCTATTTGTGTAGCTGTAGGGTTAACCGGTCGACATGCATATTTAATTAATAATGGTTAAGGTTAGCAGTAAAGTACATCGGGATGTTCCCATAACGTAGCGTAACATAGTAGCTAATGCTAACACTATGTAGCTAAACAGAACTAACATTATCAACGATGTAGAATGGTAACTTATGTAATGTGACATAAATAAAAACAAAAAACTAATTATGTAATTATTTTTCACTCTGGAACCTAACGCCGGTCTTCTGGGTCAGAGATCAACTTACTATCCACCTGACCACCCCGCCAACACCATAGTGTCGGACTTTCATGGCTATTTATATCCCACACGCGCTGCTTTTACCTGGGACAGTAGGCGTAAAATGGCATGAAATGCAAAAAATGCATTGGAATACCACGCCAAATGACTTAATATATCAGCGTGTTATTCATATGCCTTTTGATGATACCAGCCTGTAGAAAAACAGAAATTGTGACATCGGCAGAGTTACCGGATATTTGTCATATAAATGAGTTAGCAGCAGTTCTCTTACTTTGTGTCTGAGGGTCCAGGTTCATTACTGAACTTCAGAGGAAGACCTCTGGATTGGTCACTCTTCATAGACAGACAGCTGGATACTGGAGACTCTGCTCTCTGTTTGTTGGACTGAACTCTACAAACACAAAATATGTTTTTATTCATATCACATGAATATGAGGTTTAAAAGTTTGTATTAGTCCTGTTAGATCAGATTACAGCTTCTCTAGGTGACTGCTGTCACAGATACTAAGATGAAGATGGCACAGATGATAATTTAACATATAAATCAGTTAGCAGTTCTCTTACTTCGTGTCTGAGGGTCCAGGTTTATTTCTGAAGAGTAGAGGATTTCCTTTAGATGAGTCACTCTTCATAGACAGACAGCTGGATGCTACAAACTCTGCTCTGTCCTCCTCTTCCTCCACACAAACTCTCATCTTCTGGACTTCAGTCAGTCTGAGAGGTAAAACAGTAACACCGACTGTGAGCTCAGAACACAAGAATCAAGAAGAACAAGTTTGTTCAAGAGACACAAACAAGACTGAGAGAAGAGGAAGTAACACACACACAGTCTACAGTACAATAAGCCAGCACTCCACCTGGTCACTTTTCTTTAAATCAGTGCTTGTGTTCTTGCTTTTTACTGTATAAGTGTTGTTACTTGTGAATTCAACTTTCAGTCTGTAGGGGAGACCGGGGATAGTTGTAACATTTGACAGAGCTCTTTCAAGCCAGTGCATTCGAATGTGATACAAACTTGTTACATGTATCTGCTTTTAAATGGTTTAGATTTTATCTCTGAAACACAGAAAATGCATGGTTTAGTCTCAAACACAAGGGGTGAAAAGTCACAATTCACCCCATAGTCTAGGTTGGTTGTAACGTACACTGGGCTAAAATGTAACATTTTGTAATAAGGAATGTGAGGGTAAATATGAGGGTAACATACTGTAAAAATAAAATTTGACAAAATGTCCATATATGTGCCAACTAAGACCCCATCCAGTACTGCGTTTACAAATTAAAACGGACCTCCCGTCCAGACTACAACGATGAAAACGAAGACCTAAAATGGAGAAGTTTGGAAACACTGCCGACCCCGTTTTGACCCCTACAGGTCTTAACATTTAAACATAGTAATAAAACAATTTAATATTACTGTGTGTGTGACACATGAAATAAAAAGAAAACTAAACATTTTCAATGCTGTAATAACTATCCCAAACTCTTGCAGCCATGAACTAGCTTACCTTACAGCTTACAGCTAAATCACAAGTACTAGCTACTTTCATTAAAGATATCTACATGAACACAAAACAAACATGATTTAAGTTTGATGAGTTGAACTACGAAGCGGGCAATGCTATAACAGGAAGCTAAAAAAAACCTTTATTCAGCCGCTTCATGGTGAAAGTCATTAAGAGAGCTGATTATGTCCTTCACTGTTTTAAAGTTACTTTGAGTTCCTTAGGTTTGAACTTAGGTTAGATTGCACATGAACACAATGTGTGTAGTATTTAACAGTACTAATAACCTGTATCAATGTAGAAGTATCACAAATACCAATGATATTAATTTGATTCTGTGTTTTATTTGGTTGACCAACAATCCTCACACAACCAGGACTATGTCATCTATTCACCTGCAATCACAGCTAATGTTTCCTCATAGGAAGGTATCAAATCCACCCTCATTATATGTAGCTCTTTATCCCAATTAACTTTGGTAGGGTATTTTTTTACAGCCAGTGCTTTGATTCTGGGGTTTCTGTGTGTTTCTCCTGGTTTCCCTCTCTCCCTTCTCTGTCATGGTTTAAGGCTATGTGTGTGGAGCAGCACACCTGACTTCAGTCATCTCATCGACCTGGTTAAATACTGCAGACTCTGCTCTGTCCTCCTCTACATCCACACAAACACACCTTCTGGACTTCAGATGTCAGTCTGAGAGTTAAAAACAAATAACACTGACTTTGAGCTCAGAACACAAGAATCAAGAAGAACAAGTTTGTTCAGTTGTTTCACAGTCACAAACAAGACTGAGAGAACACACACACACACACACACACAGTTTAATAAAACCAGTCAGAACTCCACCTACTCTTTTTTCTTAAAATCTCTTGTTAAATTTCTTGGTTACTGCAGGTTTAATGCGTTTAATTCAGCCAATCACAACTTTGTGTCCACAGATGACTCAAAGTGTTGAGTTCACTCTAACACTTCTTTCCCCTACAGTTCACAGGGAGAAAACTGACTCAGAGACTTTGACAGTAAAATAATAAAAATGTTGTATTAACACTCACCCTGCCTCAGCCTTCAGTTTTCCTCCATCTCCTCATGTTTCCTCCATGTCGACTCAAAATGGAGTCTGAACTGACTGAACTCTTTCAGCTTCAGGTTCCCTCCCTGCTCTCACCTGGATCACCTGATCAATCTTGCTCCTCCCCTCTTCAGGTGACTTTATCTCTGTCTGTGTTGCTAGAGATAGATAGATAGATAGATAGAGCAGCCATCGTGTACAAATAAGCCATTTATGTGGTACATTAGTAAATATGTGTGTGTGGGCAGCCTTTCACACAATTGTTGAACTAAACCACATGACTGGGCAATTCAAATTTGGCTATGAGTTTTAAGGGTTAAAGATAATCGATTAACAAACTATTGGACATCACTGATCGCAGAATGCAGGGTTTTAGTCTCACTGCTTGTCGTTTCTCCCAGCCGGGTTGCTGGTCGGCGGCCTCACGCTGGCGGAGTTCCGTGCGTTCTCGGTTAGGATTCGGGTGTCGGTGGGAGCAGTGTAAGTTAGCTCGACGAATAAAGCTTAAAAGAACTTGGTCGTTCTTGAATTAAAATTGTGTAACTTAACGGTCTGATAACTTTTAACAAACAAAACCAAAAGAAAATTAAAAAGCAAGTAAGTTGCTGGAAACGACGGAAAAGCCGAGGTCGTGGCACTTCGCGAGTGTGGCTTGAAAAGAACAAAAGAGTTTGCGTCAAGCTGGGCCGAACTTCTTAGGGCGTTGCTGGGAGACGGGGCACGCTGAGCGCATGCTGAAGCACGGGAAGCGGGAAGAGGCCAAGAGATCGTCGCTGCTTTGTTTGTTGGGGGGTGGTTCTGGCTTTGTTTCCTTTGAGAGGGAGGGCTTTGTTTCCAGTTTCCCGAGAGACTGTCTTTTAATGTCTATTCTAAGACCTATTTGCGCGTATTGTAATCAAATGTCTTCCCACAATCAAACCTTAATTGTCAAACGGTTATACTGTTCTTAGTTTTAAGCATTTGATAAAAAGGAAAACAATTGTCAGTAGTTAAACCTTAAGGTTAGCATTTCCTAGGAATCACATCAGATGAGAGGAACTTAAACAGCTTCCTGGATAATATTGATTGTTACACATAGAGAATATAAATGCTGTAAATGCTCTGTACTTGTATAGCGCCTTTCTAGTCTTTTCGACTACTCAAAGCGCTTTTACACTACATCTGCATTCACCAGTCACACACATTCATAGCCTAAGTGCTTAAACAGAAACTAACATTCACACTCACTCATACACTGGCGGAATAGCCGCCAGGGGGAAATCGGGGTTCAGTATCTTGCCCAAGGACACTTCGACACGCAACCAGGGGGAGCCCGGATTGAACCGCGACCTTCCGATTAGTGACCAACCCGCTCTACCTCCTGAGCCACAGCCGCCCCATTATAAGCAAATTACATGAATGGCATCAGATCATGAACAGGTAAATACAGAGTGACATTTATACATTAAAACGCCATTTCAGAACGATGACATGTAATACTTATTTTGTCCTCTTGGGGAGCTCTGGTTCCGTGAAGATAGCTTTGATTATGTCTTCAAAACAATCATTTGCTCAGGAGCAGGGAAATTTAGTTTTTTAACATTAAATTCGAACAGGAAAATTAATCAAGTAGTATGTTTCTTTATCATATCATTTCTAAGGAAGTGTCAGAAAGTGTTGGAAACAAAGCATTGGTTACAACATAACTTGAAAAAATGTGATGTGAAAAATGGATCCTTGCTGAAAATTAAATTATTTATGATTCTTGTTTTCAACAACAACATCAACAACAACAACATGGTAACATAACTACTCTAAATGTAGTGAAGAGACCTCTTAAGTAACGTAAGATTATTAATTAAACAAGGTAATGCTTTGAGTTTTGAGGAGACAGTACTCCTTGTTTACACAAAGGAATTCAGGGGTGTCCTTCTCTGGTGTTCTGGAGTTCCTCACCAATTCATGTCTGGGCGTGAAGAGGAGAATATCTTTTGATGTGAGGTAATTAAACAAAGAGGGAGGTCAGTTTCCATGGTTACGTGTGTGGGGGGGCAGTTTAGGGTTTCCTGCCCTCTCTTAAAAAGAGTTCTGATAGGCTTTTCAGGAGAAAGCTAATTTCTGGTTAGTGTTTCTTTCATTTTAACAGTCAGGCACCGAGCCTTATCTAGCTGCTACACCAGGTGGCAAGTTTTACGATCAAACTGCCCAGAAACAGAACTTAGGGAAAGCAAACCTTTCAACCCCCTCTCTTCAGCTGTCTCACCCCCCCCCCCCCCCCCCCCCCTTTCTCTTTATTATAATAAATTATAATCTCCTGGAGATATTGTTATGCAAATCTATGTGTCATCTACATAATAATGGTAACACATTTTCATGTTTTCAAGAGAAGATGATTGCACACTTAACGCCAATGATTTTATTACCAACATTTCCACCACACTTGGTCCTCGCTCTGAGAAAGTTTAGTGTTCGGTCATCTTCTTTATAGTAAGTTAACTGCTGTAATGACAAATGACAGTTATTTGCTATCTTTATGGGCCTTTAATCCTTGATAAATTACTGAAAAGTAACTAATAACTATAGATGTTGGATAAAAAGTTTAAAAGTAGCATAAATTAATGTACTCAAGAGCATCAAAATTGTACTAAAGTGTACTTGGGGACTTTCCACCAGTGGAAATAAAGAAACCAAAGATGGTGGTTTGGTCATCATCATCATTAGTGGTTATATAAAGATAGAATTTCAACCTGACATTAAAACAAAACTATAAATCACTGTTTCATTTTAACTTGTGTGCTGAGTTTGATTTTCATTAAATTTTTTGCCAAATCAAACAAATCAGAAAGAAAGCGTTCACATCAGCACTTCAATGTTCATCTGCTGGCAGAAAGCCAGGGTCACACATAAAACTGTAACTTATTGATGGTGCAGGAAACTTGATGATCAACATGTATTTACTTCCAAAACTTTATTTTAAAACTTTATGCATGATCACTGCACATGTGGAATAAATCCACTGTATGTGTCACAATGATTTCAAAATAAGGCGTCTGCAGCATGAAGAAAATACATAAAAAATATCTTCCATTGCAGAGTAAAGCCTTCAGTTCACTAAGTGCAGGGTGCCATTTAATGATTAAGTGAAGGAGTGCATCATGTTGAGTCTTTATCAAGTTGTTGATCATTATCTCGTGATTATTATTACTTAGCATGTTGTTTCCCCTCAAGTAGAACATAAAGCTACACAAGTGAAAAATAGGAACTGAAGTTTTTTGTATTGAATCCAGACTTTGTTGAGGTTTTATCATCTTCCTTATGTTTGTTACAAGCAAATCTGTTATATATGAGAAAAGACTGGTATTGGTGGTAATAAACTGCACTTCAGCGAGGTAACTTATCAACTTCCTCTGTTTAGTAATAGGTGGAAATAAACTGCAACACTCCGATGTCCCACATGGTGGAGACAAAACTGAAAAATCAAATAAAATGTGTTAATCTGCAGTTATGTTGTGATAAACAGAACTAATCAGCAGAGGCACTTTGGGTCCAGAACATCTGAATGTAATAAAGTCCAGGTCCAAGTGGAGGAGGTGGCTGAGTGTGGAGCAGAAGGAGTGTAGGAGTTTCAGTGTGTTTGCAGAGACAGAACAGCAGCACCGTTGTGATTCCTCTGTCAGTCACTGCTGGATGAAGCTCTCCTCTCCACTCTATCTCCCAGTAACATCACTCAGTTAGAGACTCTCTACACACAAGCTGATGTTGCTGCTTCAACCTCTCTGGATCATCAGGAAACAGCTGATCCTCTCTCAACACCACCACCTTTCTCATCACTCACAGTGACAGAGATCACTTCCAGCTGATGAGAGAAAAAGACAGACAGCAGAAGTCATAAATCAGTGTTCAGAGACTCCCTTCATCAGCAGAGCTGTGACAAAGATGAACTGATCAAAAGTTTAGTGTTGAAATGAGAGAACAAACACTTTAAGATCAGATTTAATGGTACGACAGTTTGATGAATGAGGACCACTGTTACTATACTATATATCTTATGACGCTGTCAGCTGGAATCCAGCTTTATTTCCTGTAGACATGAACACACCAACAGTCGTCTTCACATCAACTCAAACACAAGGTCACTACAAGCTTCTGGCTGATCTGATTGGCTGACTCTCTCTGTCTTTCTGTCCAATCCTGAAGCCTGTCACCAGGGCTGGACTAGGTGGACCATTATATTATTATCATTGACATTAACTAAATAATCATCATTATGGCATGACACACCTCCCTGCTCCCTTCCTACAGGTCCCTGGTAAGCTACTGTGTTTAGTTCAGTACTGCTGAAACCAGCATTGACTGACTCCAAACCTCTACTGACCTCAGAGTCTCCAGTCTACAGTATGGACTCTCCACAAGATCAGAGAGCAGCTTCACTCCTGAATCCTGCAGCTTGTTGTCACCCAGCTCCAGCTCTCTCAGATGGGAGGGGCTGGATTTCAGAGCTGAGGCCAGAGAAGCACAGCTGATCTCTGACAAACTGCAGTTCCACAATCTGAATAAAGAATAAATGATGTAACTTTGGAAGACAATGTTCCTGCTTGAAATCAATCAATGTTCAATAATCTGTTCAGAGCTGAAGAAGGTTTAGAAAGTAGAAAGCGTATAGAGGACTAATTTCAAATTACCATGCAAACTTGAAAATGAAAATATAATCCCACAATAACTATCATTTTCCACATATGTATGTGTTATTTAGGTAAAAATGAAAATGAAAACAAGCAATCATCCAATTTCCATTTTCATTTTCACATACTTGTGTGGGCATTCTAGGACCATATTAAAATGAAAATGGAAACAGAATTTGACATTTCATTTTCAAAGACTTAACCTGCTCTAAAGTGGGCATTATTCAAATACAGTTAATAAAACAGCTCAACCAGTATATTGCATTTACATGTCCATGTTCTTATGGTCTCTATAGGTCAAAATTAAAATGCAATTTTATAACTATATGAAAATGAAAATGAGAAGCATTTAAGATTTCCTTTTAAAAGACTTAGTCTGCTCTTTAGTGGACTTTATTCAAATGCGATGAGTGAAACAGCAACCCCAGTCCATTTAATTGCATTTACATTTATAAGCAGCTTTCCAAGGGACACAATGCAAATGAAAGTACAATCTGTCAGTCCTCTCATCAAGGCGGGTCTTCAGTTATGACATCACTTCGTCTTCAGTTGGAAGGCCACTTCAGGTTCTCATGGTTTAGTTGTGTATCTACCATTACAAAACACTAGGCTGTAACTTCACAACCAAATAAAATATATCGACCGAACAGCAGGGATGGATCTATACTGACTTCAAACTTCAAACCTGTAAGTTTTTTATGTTGGTTTTCTGTTTTTTTGCCTTTTGAACTTGGCATTAGCATGTTCTATTTTCTATATAAGTTTAACTGATAGATGAGAGTTGTATAAGCTTCTGCTTACCTTAACTTGCTTATACCTGAAAGTTGTAATACAAAGCATTCTCATTCAGAAATATACTTCACATCATTGCAATTCTAGTTTTAGTGACAATACTACAGCTCCGTTTCACTTAAGGTTATAGGCATAGTCAACAGTCAGTCTGTCTATCATCCCTTCTACATAGCTGTAACAGTTACAGCTATGAACAGAGCAAAGACATTGTTTAACTACACACTTGAAATTATATTGGACTAAACAGTAAGTGTTTCCTGGTGACAGGCCAGCAGAGGAATTTCCTGCCAGACTGACAGAAGACAACAGAGGACTCCTCACTCCTCAAGTTTAGGTTTGTATTTAGCTGTTGACCTCATGCAGTACTGCTTGTTAGCTTAGTATCTATGCCTTAACCCTCACCATAAATGTACACTGTCTTATATTTGTCTTTAGGGTAGCCTATTGCAATAGACTGGGGGCACTCTTTGCATTTGAACAAAGTCTTCTAAAGAGCATGTTAAGTCTTTGAAAATGAAATGTCAAATGCTGTTTCCATTTTCATTTTAATATGGTCCTAGAATGCCCACACAAGTATGTGAAAATGAAAATGGGAATTGGATGATTGCATTTTCATTTTTACCTAAATAACACATACATACATCCTCGATACGCTTCCATATAGAACTTTAGAAAATGGAAACTCCAAACACCCGAACCAACAGGATAAAAACTGTAAAATACAAAAAGGTAAAAAGAGCTCTCATTAATATTAATGACAACGTGCTGCTACTTCCATAAAGACGTAGTGACTTCACCTCTTAAACTCTGCAGCTCCACCAGTGGCTCCATCTATACTAACTCATGTTGTGCAGCTAAACACAAATAAAAACTCACAGAAAGTGATTTAAGATTTGAGTCAAAATCCCAAAGTTTCCAAAGATGCCAAATATGTCAGGATGGATTTAGGGAAAAAGTAAACAAACAACATCTAGTCGTAAAATCAAAGTAATCAATTTAAACTATTCAGTCAGTATAAGGAATATATAGCTTCATAACAATGTTAGAAAAAGCAAATACTGAATATAATTGTTATTGACTGACAGTTGACAGATCAATTATTTATTCACTGTATGTAATTATTATATTTTATTTAAAATCATTGAAAAGACAAGATAAAAATCAAGAGTTGAAGAGCTGTGGGTGGTGATGTCGCAATGGATGAAGATACATGCCTTTGGTGTGAGAGACCCGTTTTTTTATCCACTGTGATGTGTCCCTGAGCAAGACACTTAACCCCTAGTGTAAGTTTCATTATCCAGAGCAGATTTTTCTTGTTGTATTAAGGTTTTAAATATGTAGCAGCTCAACATTGCTCTGCCAAGAAGAGAATAGGCTTTAGCATTAAAATACTCAGTGTGGATCAGTTTAATATCAACCACAACTTTCACATCATATTTACAGTATCTCAGCACAGAAGTAAACACTGGTTTCTGACCTCAGAGTCTCCAGTCTACAGTGTGGACTCTCCAGAAAATCACACAGCAGCTTCACTCCTGAATCCTGCAGCTTGTTTCCACCTAGCCATAGCTCTCTCAGATGGGAGGGGTTGGACTTCAGAGCTGAGGCCAGAGAAGCACAGCTGATCTCTGACAAACTGCAGCGCCACAATCTGAATACAGAATAAATGCTGCAGATAAAAATCCATTTATAATCCAATAAATTGTGTTCAGGTTTAAATGAGTAGAGTGACTTTGTTATTGTGTAATTGTGGATCATCATAATGTCAGCCTTCTACAGACATCATCCAAATGTCAGCACAACTTTCATATACCTATTTATGTCAACACAGAATGAAAACATGCTGCTGATCTCAGGCCAGTCTTATTAGAGGAAAGAAAACCTTTATTTATCCTTTAAATAGCTGCATTTGGAAATATTCTTGTTGTTAGTTTTTTGTTGTTGTTCCTCTGTGTGTGTGTTGGTGTGTTTGTTTATTTATTTATTTAAAAGGGACAGCGCATATTATGAACATTTTAGTGTAAATATGTCAGATGTAGCCAAAAGGCTATTTTTTTATTATATATAGTCCCTGGCAGATCACTACATTGCAAAGATCAATTTCAAAGAAGTACAACAAACAATAGAAAGAATAATACAATACACCCACCACAATAAAATCACATATGAATGTGTACTGTAAAGTGCAAGTAAATCTGTTGTAAAGTACAAGTTATTAAGATGTGGCAAAATGCAAGGGATGCAGAGGGGTACAGCATTTATTCAAATGATCTATTAATTATTTTGCCATCCATTTTACAATAATTTTAGATATATTTGGAATAATACTTAATAGATAATAATAATAATTGTGTATGGGTTTTGTTTGGAAGGATCACTATCAAAGATCAGACATTTGTAAAGACACATTGAAGTTAAAAGGAATCGAATAAATATTTCTGCATCAGCAAGTAAACTTGATCAATTTAAAACAAATATTATTAGTTCAGAGGATCTTCAGATGTGACCATTTACCAAAAATTATAAACGTTCAATTACTTTAACAAATACCAGCAGACATATTCTACAGCTTCTGTAGTCTTTTGACTTGCATGGAAATATAAACAAAAGGACATTTACAACTTGTAAGTTGTATGAACGTGAATTAATTTAATATATAAAATCTATAAAAGTAGCAGAAAGTCAGTGAACTGACCCCAAAGTCTCCAGTCTACAGTGTGGACTCTCCAGAAAACAACAGAGTAGCTTCACTCCTGAATCCTGCAGCTTGTTGTTACCCAGTTTCAGCTCTCTCAGATGGGAGGGGTTTGACTTCAGGGCTGAGGCCAGAGAAGCACAGCTGATCTCTGACAAACTGCAGCGCCTCAACCTGAATAAAGAATGAATTATGTAACTTAAGAAGTCAATGTTCCAGCTTGAAATCATTCGGAGTTTAATAATCTGTTCAGAGCTGAAGAAGGTTTACAATGTGGAAGTGCAGAAAACAAAAATGCTTGTCTCATGTTATGTGTGTTATTGCTGCTCTCAGAGTGTTAATAAACCCACTTACTGTTTAAAACCAGCCTGTGCTCCCCAGAAAAGCACATTGTCATGCCCAGCTCCCGCAGTTAGGTTGTGTGTTCAGTCCTTTGTCTGCAACAACTTCCTGTTCTGTTGGAATTTATCATCTTATCTCTTTTCAGGTCTTCGTCTGCATTCCTGCCCTGTGTGATTACCTGTCCACGTCCTAATGTGCTCCACCAATTCCTCGTTGTCTCCCCTGTCCGATTACCCCTTTGTATCTGTGCCAGTTCGTCTTGATCCCCTGTGTCAGTGTCCTGTGAAGATTCTCAGTCATCCAGGTCATAGTTATCCAAAGAAGGTTAAAGTCAAGGGCAAATGGACTTGGTTAAAGATACTAGAAGACATTCCGTCCCTCATCCAAAGGACTTCTTCAGTTCTGACTGACTGGTAGGAAACTAAGCTATTTAACCTCAGTGGGGTCTTTGCCAGGATCGTCGATACCGCTGGTTCGTTAATGTTCCTGGCTGTTGTAACGACTGTTATGGTATACATAACTGTTTTTATGGTAGTTAGGAATACCTGAGGTCAAGACTGAACGACCATCATTGGCATCCTCATCTGAGGCCAATAGGTTACATTTGTTGAGTTTCCTGGGAAATGATGAAAGGACAGCATTGTAAGTGGGGAATAAGTGGTGGCGTAGACCCCCTCCCCTGTTCAGCGATGGCTTCTCAACCCTGGTGTAGATGGCTTCCTTGACACCTCTTTCACACCATCCATCTTCTCTGTCTAAAATATGCACCTGGTGGTCCTCAAATGAGTGTCCTCTGTCCTTCAGATGTAAGTAGACAGCAGAGTCTTGACCTGAGGAGTCGGCCCTTCTGTGTTGAGCCATCCGTTTGTGTAGTGGTTGTTTAGTTTCCCCAATATACAGGTCTGTGCATTCCTCACTGCATTGGACCGCATACACTAGATTGCTTTTGTGCGGTCTTTGGGGTGTACCAGCATCTGTCTTAGCGTGTTCTTGGGTTTAAACACAGGGATGTTGTGTTTGTTGAAAATCCTCCTGAGTTTCTCTGATACTCCAGACACATATGGAATCACAATGTTGTTGCGTTTGATCTTCTTTTCCTCCTCCCCTGTAGTTTTGTTCTTCCTGGATTTTGTGGCTGTTTTTACAAAGGTCCATTTAGGGTATCCACAGGCTGTAAGTGCCCCCTTCAGGTGTTTTTGTTCCTTCTCTCTGGCTTGGGCGCTTGTTGGTATGTTTTCCGCTCTGTGGTGCAGTGTTCTCATGACCCCTAGCTTGTGCTCCAGTGGGTGGTGGGAATCGAAGAGTAAGTATTGGTCTGTGTGTGTGGGTTTTCTGTAAACACCAATTTGCAGGCTCCTGTCCCTTTTCAATGTGTACAGCGCAATCCAAGAACCAAACTGTTGTTGTGGACCTCTTCTTGTGTGAAATTGATGTTGCTGTCCACAGGCGTCGTCCACATATCTGTACCAGAGCCTCGCTGCTGTTCTTTCTGAAAGGAGGCTTTGGTCTCCACTTCTTCCATGTACATGTTCACCACATATATATACCGGTGAGCCCATGGCACAGCCATGCTTCTGTCTGTAGAATCCACCGTTGTACTGGAAATAGGTGGTGTTTAGACAGAGTAATTTGCAGATCTGGTCAGGGCTGAGGCTAGTTCTGTAGTCCAGGGTGTGGTCTTGTGATATCTGTTTCCTTACGGTTTCTACTGCTTCTATGGTGGGGATACAGGTGAACAAAGAAGTCACATCATAGGATACCATGGTTTCATCTGGGATAAGTTTCAGTCCTCGTTTTGGATGTGGTGTGGTGTGTTTCCCACCAAGGGAGCTAAGATGGTAGAAATGTCTTTGGCAAGTTGTAGGTGACCGAGTTAATGCTGCTAATGCTCCTGATAATCGGCCTGAGTGGGGCTCCTTCTTTGTGTATCTTGGCTAGTCCATATATGCATGGAATGGCTTCTCCAGGATACAAACTGTAATATTGTTCACGGGAGATGGTGTTGTCTTTCTGTAGCTGTTGTAGATATTCTATGGCCTTTTTCTTGTATCCGCTGGTTGGGTCTCGCCTCAGTGTCTCATATGTGTTTGTGTCCATTAGTAGTGTGTTGACTTTGTTCTGGTAATCTGCTGTGTTAAGGACTACCGTGCATCTTCCTTTGTCAGCAGGTAGAATAATGATGTTTTGATCCTTGCTCAATGATGTCACAGCCTTCCTTTCTTGGATGGTGAGGTTGGAAGGGGGAGCCTTCGCATTAGAAAGGGCTGCAGATACCTTTAGTCTGAGTTGTTCCGCTTCTGCTTCTGTTAATTTGTTTTTCCTAATGGCCGATTCTGTTGCTGTTATGGGGTCCACTATAGGTAGCTGCTGTGGTGCAAGTTTAATCCTTTGGCCAGAACGTCTTTCTCTGGTTGGGTGAGTTCCCTATCTTTCCACGGATCTTATCCAGGACATCCTCCATATGCAGCTCAAACACGGCATGACAATAAGTGGGTCTGACAGAGGCTTGTTTACAAAGCTTGCCCAGAAATAGAAGTATCCTTTTCCTTGCATCTGTGTTTTTATAGAGGTGGTGCTTTACCCCACCCTTGGTGAAACACTAGTAACAGAGTGTCCATAAATGACACTAAAAAAGGTTTTTCTGTTTGTTTGGCTGTGAAGTGCTGTGAAAACCCCCCACTGATAATGCTGGGAAAGACCTGATTTTTATAAACTGCATCCACAAAATTCAAGAGCAGAATACATGAACTGACCTCAGAGTCTCCAGTCTACAGTTAGGACTCTCCAGTCCAATAGCCAGCAGCTTCACCCCTGAATCCTTCAGGTTGTTGAAGCTCAGGTCCAGCTCTCTCAGATGTGATGGGTTGGACTTCAGAGCTGAGGCCACGACTTCACAGAGACTCTCTGTGATTCCACAGGCAGAAAGTCTGTGATGACAAGAATTTAAAACTAAAAGTATAATAAAATCTAACACTGTATTGTAAAAATAGACAGCAATTTCATCACAAAGAAAAATAACACAAGCTGATGTAACTCAGCTCAGCTATTATTACGTTACTCCATCTGCTTTTTATCTCCCATGAAATTAATTTAATGACTCTTTTATGACACCTAATAATATAACTAATATTAAAGATATTTTTATTTACATTTTCTGGGGTAAAGTGGAGTTCAATTGTTAAACAATAAAATTTCTTCTCTGAGCTTGGTGATGACACAAACTCTTAAGTCCCCAAGTTTCCCTGCTGGATTAAAATAGTTAGTTATTAATAGATAATTACTATAAAACATTTATAGTGTTCGAGTGTTACATTGTGCATGTGTGTAAAGTGTGTTTCTTTACTTGCTTTACGTTGCTTTACAGTTTTTGTAATTGCATCTGGACTTACTGAGCCTTTCTGCAGTTCCTCACAGCTGGAATCAGTCTCTGTCGTCCCTCCACTGATGTGTTGTACTTCTCCAGGTCCAACTCATCCAGAACCTCCTCTGACATCTGCAGCATGTAGGCCAGAGCTGAGCAGTGGACCACAGACAGTTTCGTCTCTGATCTGTTCCCCGACTTCAGGAACTCTTGGATATCCTGATGTACTGAGTGGTCGTTCATCTCCATCAGACAGTGGAAGATGTTGATGCTTCTGTCAGGAGAGGTTTTTGTGTTCATCTTTTTCAGGTTGTTGATGGCTCTCTGGATGATTTTTGTGCTGCTATCTGTCCGACCCAGCAGGCCTCCTAAGAGTCTCTGGTTTGACTCTAGAGAGAGGCCATGAAGGAAGCGAACAAACAGGTCCAGGTGGCCATTGTTACTTTCAAGGGATTTCATCATTGCTCCCATCAGGAAGACATCCAAGGTTGAATCAACATGTTGCTTTTCCAGGAAGTCCTCCAGTACCTCTGTGTTGCTGCTGGTGTAACAGTGGAACATGTAGACTGCAGCCAGAAACTCCTGAATGCTCAGATGAACAAAGCAGTAGACTGTTTTCTGGAAGATCACACTCTCTCTTTTGAAGATCTCTGTACAAATTCCTGAGTACACCGAAGCCTCTGCGACATCAAGACCACACTGCTCCAGGTCTTCTTGGTAGAACATGATGTTTCCTTTCTCCAGTTGTTCAAACGCCAGCCTCCCCAGCTTCAGAAGAACTTTCCTGTCAGCCTCCATCAGCTCCTGTGGACTCGTCTCATGTCCCTCATCATACTTCTGCTTCTTCCTCTTTGTCTGAACCAGCAGGAAGTGTGAGTACAGGTCAGTCAGGGTCTTGGGCAGCTCTCCTCTCTGGTCTGTAGTCAACATGTGCTCCAGAACTGTAGCAGTGATCCAGCAGAAGACTGGGATTAGACACATGATGTGGAGGCTCCTGGATGTCTTGATGTGTGAGATCATTCTGCTGGACAGCTCTTCATCACTGACTCTCCTCCTGAAGTACTCCTCCTTCTGAACATCAGTGAAGCCTCGTACTTCTGTTACCCTGTCAACACATGAAGGAGGGATCTGATTGGCTGCTGCAGGTCTGGAAGTTATCCAGACGAGAGCCGAGGGAAGCAGATTTCCCTTGATGAGGTTTGTCAACAGCACGTTGACTGATGACTTCTGTGTGACATCAGACACAACCTCATTGTTGTGAAAATCCAATGAAAGTCTGCTTTCATCCAGGCCGTCAAAGATGAACAACAGTTTCCAGACAGCGAGCTTCTCTGCTGTGACCTTCTGTAATGTTGGATGGAAAACATGGAGCAGCGTGAGAAGACTGTACTGCTCATCTTTGATCAAGTTCAGCTCCCTGAAGGAGAGCAGAACCAGCAGACTGACATCTTGGTTTTCCGAGCCCTCTGCCCAGTCCAGAGTGAACTTCTGCACCGAGAAGGTTTTTCCGACGCCAGCGACGCCGTTGGTCAGAACCACTCTGATGTGTCTCTGTTGGCCAGGTAAGGCTTTAAAGATGTTGTGGCACTTGATTGGAGTTTCATGGAGTGTCTTCTTCTTGGAAGCTGTCTCAAGCTGCCTCACCTCGTGTTGGGTATTAACCTCTTCACTCTGTCCCTCTGTGATGTAGAGCTCAGTGTAGATCCTGTTGAGGAGGGTTCCACTTCCTGTTTCATCACTTCCTTCAGTCACACATTCACATCTTCTCCTCTGACTTATCTTATGTTCTTCTAAAACCTCCTGCAGACCAGCACTCACTAAAACGAGAAAAAACGTTTGAGACAACAAAATAAAGAAAATTTACGTTTGATGATTGACAGAAAGTAGAGGAGAGAGGAGCTCAGTGCATCATAGGAAATCCCCCAGCAGTCTAGGCCTATAGCAGCATAACTAAGGGATGGTTCAGGACTCACCTGAGCCAGCCCTAACTAAAAGCTTTATCAAAGAGGAAAGTCTTAAGCCTACTCTTAAATGTCGAGATGGTGTCTGCCTCCTGAACCCAAACTGGAACCTGGTTCCACAGGATAGGAGCTTGATAGCTGAACGCTCTGGCTCCTAGTCTACTTTTGGAGACTCTAGGAACCACAAGTAACCCTGCATTCTGGGAGCGCAGTGCTCTGGTGGGGTAGTAAGGAACTATGAGCTCTTTAAGATAAGATGATGCCTGACCATTAAGAGCTTTGTAGCTAAGAAGAATGATTTTAAATTCTATTCTGGATTTTACTGGAAGTCAATGCAAAGAAGCTAAGACAGGAGAAATATGATCTCTTTTCCTGGTTCCTGTCAGAAAACGTGCTGCAGCATTCTGGATCAGCTGAAGAGTCTTAATGGACTTTTTCGAGCAGCCTGATAAAAAGGAATTGCAGTAATCCAGCCTAGAAGTAACAAATGCATGGACTAGTTTTTCTGCATCATTTTTAGACAGGATGTTCCTGATATTTGCAATATTGCGTAGGTGAAAAAAGGTGGTCATTGAAATTTGCTTAATGTGAGACTTAAACGACATGTCCTGATCAAAGATAACGACGAGATTCCTCACAGCGGTGCTGGAGGCCAGGGCGATGCCATCAAGGGAAACTATATCTTTAGATTATGCGTCACGGAAGTGCTTAGGCCCCATAACAATAACTTCAGTTTTATCTGAGTTTAACATTAGAAAATTACAGGTCATCCAGGTTTTAACACCCTGAAGGCACTTTTGAAGTTTAGCTAACTGATGAGTTTCATCTGGCTTGATCGATAGATATAACTGAGTATCATCTGCATAACAATGAAAGTTTATGTAATATTTCCTGATAATATTGCCTAAGGGAAGCATATATAAAGTGAAGAGGATTGGTCTGAGGACAGATCCTTGTGGAACTCCATGACTAACTTTGGCACGCATGGAGGACTCATCGTTAACATGTACAAACTGAAATCGATCTGATAAATAGGACTTAAACAAGCTTAGAGCGGTTCCTTTAATGCCAATGAAATGTTCCTGTCTCTGCAATAGGATCTGATGGTCAATGGTATCAAATGCAGCACTAAGATCTAATAAAACCAGTACAGAGACAAGTCCTTTGTCTGATGCAATAAGGAGTTCCTTAGTAATTTATCACCAGTTCTGTCTCTGTGCTATGATGAGCTCTAAATCCTGACTGAAAATCCTCAAATAAACTATTGCTCTGTAGAAAGTCACACAGCTATTTAGCAACTGCTTTCTCCAGAACCTTAGACAGAAATGGAAGGTTAGATATAGGTCTATAGTTGGCTAAAACATCCGGATCAAGTTTGGGCTTTTTCAGAAGAGGTTTAATTCCAGCTACTTTAAAGTACTGTAGTACATAGCCTGTTGATAGAGATAGATTGATCAGATCTAGTATAGAAGTGCTGACAAAGGGTAAAACATCTTTAAGCAACCTAGTCGGGCAGACTAGGTTGCCCGACTAGGTTTGGGGATTGGGGGCTTTGGGGATTTAGGATTGGGAATTTGGGGATTGAGGATTGAGTTATGTATGCAAATGAGGAGGCGTGCCCCAAAGGCTGCAGGTAGGGTTTGGAAGGGCTGAGGCGCAGAGGCACTTTATGGACTGCAGGGGGAGCTTTGACAGCCAGCACACTGCCATGAAAGCAAGCAGAGGAAGTGAGCAGGTTTGGAGGGAGGACTATCATTTATAATACCATAACTAAAAGTGTGCAGCATTTCTGTCCATGTGACCTCACACACAAAGTCAACAGTGAAAGGAATGCTATCCATCTGATGAGAAAGCAGCGGACAGTACAGCAGGTAAGATATGATAACATTACCAAGTTAGTCTATGAAGATTCTCAGTCATCCAGGTCATAGTTATCCAACAAAGGTTAAAATGAAGGGCAACTGGACTTGGTTGAAGCTACTGGAAGACGTTTCGTCCCTTATCCAAAGGACTTCTTCAGTTCTGACTGACTGGCAGGGAAACTCAGCTATTTAACCTCAGTGGGATCGTTATCCCGGGTCATCGATACCGCTGGTTCGTTAGTGTTCCTTGTTGCTGTGACGACAGTCGTTACAGTCGTTAAGACTACCTGTGGCCAAGACTGAACGACCATCGTTGGTATCTTCACCTGAGGCCAATAGGTTACGTTTGTTGAGTTTCCTGGGAAGTGATGAAAGGACAGCATTGTAAGTGGGGGATAAGTGGTGGCGTAGACCCCCTCCCCTGTTCAATGACGGCTTCTCAACCCTGGTGTAGATGGCTTCCTTGACACCTCTTTCACACCATCCATCTTCTCTGTCTAAAATGTGCACCTGGTGGTCCTCAAACGAGTGTCCTCTGTCCTTCAGATGTAAGTAGACAGCAGAGTCTTGACCTGAGGAGTTGGCCCTTCTGTGTTGAGCCATGCGTTTGTGTAGTGGTTGTTTAGTCTCCCCAATATACAGGTCTGTGCATTCCTCACTGCATTGGACCGCATACACTAGATTGCTTTTCTTGTGTTTGGGTGTGCGGTCTTTGGGGTGTACCAGCATCTGTCTTAGTGTGTTCTTGGGTTTAAAAAACACAGGGATGTTATGTTTGTTAAAAATCCTCCTGAGTTTCTCTGATACTCCAGACACGTATGGAATCACAATGCTAACGAACCAGCGGTATCGATGACCTGGGATAACGATCCCACTGAGGTTAAATAGCTGAGTTTCCCTGCCAGTCAGTCAGAACTGAAGAAGTCCTTTGGATAAGGGACGAAACGTCTTCCAGTAGCTTCAACCAAGTCCAGTTGCCCTTCATTTTAACCTTTGTTGGATAATTACCAAGTTAGCTATATTAGGCTAACTGTTGCTGACATGCATGAGTTACGTTACTGTTGCAGGTTTTAAATGTGGCTATTAACCTCATTGTGGGCTGTGTGTATAAACTGTAAAGATAAGGTGTAGAAGCTGTGTTTATGGGTAATAGCACCATGCTGGGTAGGTGACAGGTGTGTGTTTACAGTGTTTGTGTGCTATGAAAAACATAACAGCGCAGCCATAAAGTCTTAGCCGGCAGACCTTGTATGGTGTTATTACTACTCACATATGGTTGTAACGTTTAAGCCTGATAGACATCCGCTAATCAGAAACAGAGGACACTACCTGCATCACTGCCGATATCATTTGACCAGGGAGTGAATGGTGATTAATGCGATTGTCATGGCCACATGGACAGAAATGCTGTACACTTTTAGTTATTTGTGTTGTGTCGTTCAATGAACATTGAGGGCGCCTCAGCCCTTCCAAACCCTCTCTGCAGCCTTTGGGTCACGCCTCCTCATTTGCATACACAACTCAATCCTCAATCTCCAAATCCCCATTCCTAAATCCCCAAATTCCCAATCCTAAATCCCCAAATCCCCAATCCCCAAATCCCAAATCCTAAATGTATAGATGACTAAATCCCCAATCCTAAATACAAAATGCCTTCTCCTAAATACCAAATCCCCAATCCTAAATGGCTAAATGACTAAATGCCCAATCCTAAATACCAAATTCATTTTCGACTTTTAGTTTTTGATTTCGACTTTTAGTTTCGGATTTCGACTTTTTGTTTTAGACTTTTAGTTTTAGTTCTGACCAAATAATCCCTCCATAACACACAAAGTCCCATTTGCTACAAAACCAACTATGGTGGGGTGAACAGAGAGAGAATTCCAAAAACAGAGCTTTGGATTTGTTCAACCTACCCAAGTTGTCCCACACTACACCGCTCCTCCTGTGTAGCGTGCACCCCCGCACTGCTTCCTGGTGACTTGAATCCGATTCAAGACACTGGGACTTGCCTATCATGCTGCCAATGGCTCCGGCTCATCCTACATCCAGGACATGGTGCAACCAAACACCCCAGCCTGTCTGCTGCCTATCAGCTTGCTACTCACTCACTACGAGGGGGGCCCATCTACCGCTCAACAAAATCCCAACTGTTTGCTGTCCTGGATCCAGAATAGTGGACTAAGCTCCCGACTGACATCAGGACACCAGAAAGTGTACATCCTTAATCCGTGTATGGTTCGTTCTTTAATTATTTAATTTCAAAACCAAATCGGAAATCGGAAAAACCAAGTCGTAAACAGACATTGGTTTTTGTTTTTCTGTTTTTAAAACAAAACGGAAAAATATTGATTTTTAATGTGCCTTATTAGTGTAGCTTTGTGTGTTACACTTAATAAACCTGCACCCACTTGGGCGAGGGCGGTGCCTGATTAAATGTAATTCATTTGAGCTTGAACATCAACATAGGTGGGTTTCTAGTTAGAAAAACAGGAGGCTCACCGTTCAGTTTGTAACTCACTAGCAACTGGGACAGGAACAGAAACACCTCAGAATTTGCCTAAGAATCCTCAGGTTTTTAATATTTCTTCAGTATCAAATTAATTCAGTGATAGTTATGAGTACATCCAATGGTACACAGCAAACATGAACTGTTATTAGTTAAATTGGCAAGCTGTATATTAACGAATCATACACGTATTAAAAGGTTCGGGTAATTTTTTTTCAGCTTCTACAGTGCTTCCACCTGATCTTTATTTTCTTCACGAGATGGAAGAATTTAGAAAGTTTGTAAGCATGTGCATTAAGCACATGGATTAGGCTATGCATAAAACAGGAGCATCAAACTTCATCCAGCCAGGGGGAACGACCACTGACTGTCCAGTGCGCTGGTTCCACTGGCAACACAACACATATTAGGTCTAGCAGTTAGGGAGCGGGGGGCTGGAGTGTACAGGGCGAGGGAGAGGAGGGCACGGGAGCGACCTGGTGTGCTGCGTACGGTCAGTGATCATTCTCTCTGGTTGAATGAAACCCAACGCAGACAGCTGTTGCAAACAACAGGCGCATGTGTACAGCAGCCAGTTAGTTTGAAAACCAGTAGGGATACAACACCGGTCATAGATAGAACAAAATGCAGCTGCTTTGTTTTTCCATTTTGGTTTTAAAACAGAAAAAACGAAAACAGATTTTTGTTTTTTTGTTTTCTGTTTATCCGTTTTGGTTTTAAAACAGAAAAACCAAAAAACTACTTGTCTTCTTTTGTCTTTTCCGATTTGGTTTTGAAACGAAATAACCAAAGAACAAATCATACACAGATTATCCTTCAGCCTGAAAACCTGGGCTAAATGCAGCACTTGAAGCTGTTAATCTTACTTCATGAAGTAATGTGCTTGTATGAATCTTAGGTTTTACCCACATTGTTGAATGCACTTATTGTAAGTCTAAAAAACATTTTTAAGATTTGCAGTCTTACTTTGTACAGAGCTGCTCTGACTGGCTGTCTGCAGTCCAGCTCTTGTTCTGGATCTTTCTCCACACCGGGGACAGGAAGAGTTTTCTGGTGAAGCAGACTGGTCCCAGTATGAGGTGATGCACTGTGTGCAGAACCAGTGTCCACAGCTGGTAGAGACTGGATCCTTCAGGACGTCCTGACACAAAGCACAGCAGGACGGCTGCTCCTCCACAGAAACATGACTCCTCTTCTTCTCTCTGTGAAATAATTTAATCAGAACTAAAATGATTTGTTGCTTGTTGTTAATATCCAGATTTGTCCAACACAGTGTTGAAGCTCAGATGGCCACAATTCAGCTTGAATTCAGCTTTAAGTCTGCAATGAAAATGATTGTCCCTTTTGTTCCTTCAACTCTCCTGCTCATAAACACATCTGACTGTCTGATATTTGTTCTTCATCTTTAGGAACAATATATGGTGGAGAGAATCTGAGCTCAAAGGTCCAATAATTGGTAAGTGGACATTTGAGTTTCAGTTTTCTTCACTATATTTGACATAAGTAGTCAGTTAAAAGTCAAACCATCAACACACAGAATCAAGGTGAGCAAAGCTTCTCTACAAATGGAACATCATAACAGCTGATCTGAGGAAGAGCTTAACAACTTAATACTTTGAGGACAAATTGTATTGAATTATACATTTGAAGCAGATTCTTTTAGCTTTGTAATAGTTGTAAATCTTTACAGTAACTTCAACATGAGAGCAAAAATATCTGAATATTTAAGTTTAAATTCTGAAATGGAGGTTCTAAGGTGTTTCGCTAAATAAATAAATATAGTAAATAAATGAATTTACTCTTCAGTAAAAAAATACTGAAAACTGTATGAGGATCCTTGATCCTTCATAGAAAGACAGTTACAGCAGACTCTGCTCTCTGTTTGTGTGATTTTATTCATATCATATGAACACATTCTTGTCAAGAGTCAGCTAAGTGCAGTGGCAGAGAGCACAGGTGTGGGCCCAAATGTAGACTAAACGTGAGGTGGTTGCAGTTCAAAAATTTACGTAAACAAACTAAACAGGCTTACTTAATAGTCCAAACCAAGGAAACTCCAAACCAAAATATTATCCACATGTTAATCCAGAACCACTGTCTGTACCACAAGCGAGTTCAACATACCCAGGATATGTTTTTGTTATCTGGCTAACAATTGGGATCGGGATAAGCGGTCCCACAAAGCAGGTTATCAACTCAGGGTTTCCCAATCCAACCGTGAGCGCATTCACATAAAACAGGCCGTGTTAGCCACAAATGACCAGTCGCAGACATGAACAAGTCCACTGTCAGTGACGGGGTGGTGATGGCGCAATGGATAAGATCCCTCCCTTTGGTGTGAGAGACCCGGGTTGAATCCCCCACTGTGACCCATCCACCATTCTGTCCCTAAGCAAGACACTTCACCCCTAGCAGGGCGTCATATTTTACAAACGAAGAGCAAACTGTAACACTACAAAAATACATTGTCTGCAAAACAATGTGTGTGCCATTTTACGCCAACTGTCACAGGTAAAATCAGCGTGTGTGGGATATAAATAGCCATGAAAGTCCGACACTAAGGTGGTGGCGGGGTGTTCGGGTGGATAGTGGATGTACTTTACTGCTAACCTTATCCATCATTAATTAAATATGCATGTTATACATGCATCTTTATACATTTTAACTGTTTTAAATTCTTCAGACTATATAATGCTTCAATATAATGTTGGATTTATTTTTAAATGTTTTATTTGTGAATGCAATATTTTTTAAATGATGATAATAAAGAGGTTCAAATATTTAGGCTTGAATTTCAATCTTTTCATAAAAGAATATATTTATTTTTCGTAAATATCTAAAGTCATGTTGTTATAGAAATATTCAACACAAACACAAAATTAATGACTAATGCTTTCAGTTTCGTTATTGCAAAAAAAGTGTGGAAGTAGTTTTGGAAAGGCCCACAGTGAAACAGGACAGAGTGGAACAGCAAGGCAAACTAGGTAACTAGAACAGAAGAGAACAGAATAAAGAATAAACCAAAATGACCAAAAACACAAGTAGACACAGATCCATAAACAAAAGTACAAAACCCAGATAGAGGTAATAAACTAATGTCGAACAGACAAAACTAAAATTAACTAACAGAACAAGAACAAAGCTAAAGGTGAACACCAGACACTGGCGATAACAAAATAATACAATACTCAAGGACGGTCCAGACAAAAACAACTAAAGACAAGGAATGAGAGAAACAGAGGCAAATAGACACATTTGCAAAACAATTGCAAAAACAAGAAACACACAGGGAAAAAAGATACAACTCAAACAACTCAAAACTATGACAGACTAAACACAGAAAAACATGAACACAAAACCAGTCTTCACAATTCTCTAATGAAAGCCGTTTAGAACACAAAGTGCTATTACTGTTATTAATAATTAGGAGGTTTAAAAGTTAGTATTAGTCCTCTTATATGAAATTACAGCTTCTCTATGTGACTGAACACTGTCACAGATCTCACCAATGATTTCTTTGTTTAAAGTAGTGTTACTTTCGTCAGACGAAATCAATAACTTTTTTTCCCTGACTACAACGAGATGCTGATGAGACAGCGATAATTAAACAATGACAGTGACTATCTTAACATTCAGTACTGTTGACGAAAAATGACAACACTAAAATGTAATACATAAAATAAAAACGTTTGATAAAATCTCTCTTTCTTTTTGTCAGTACAAAATCAGAGACAAAATATTACTATTATTACTTATTATAATCTGAGCTTCGTGGGGGTCTTATATACTAACGTTACAAGCGGAGAGAATAAATAAATAAATAATAAGGAGAGAGAGAGAGAAATCATTGCTTATTACGTGATTGAACATTTTCCTCTCTCACACACACGCACAATTGCACAAACACACCCTTTATCGTAGGTATAATATTAAAGTGTTATTATTTTACCACTGCTGGCCGCAAGCACACAGTAGCAAGCATATTATTATATGTAGCGCTGTACTTATTGGAGGATGCATCAAAAAGCCAATAATACTAAACAACAAAGCAGCAGTCAATACATAGTCTAATCCAGTAGGTTACAATACAACTGAGTTGAACATGTCATGGCCTCAACCTGTTAAGTCTAAACTGTGCGCACAATAGTGGCTCATAGTGGAGAAGTGCAGCCGGCCATCCTGTCAGTTATGCAGTGCGCAGTGTAGTTCATTAGGAAAGTAGGCCTATGTTAATTTAAGTCTGTTTATGTTTTTAATGTAAATAATAGTTGGTACTAATTACAATGAAAAATACATTATTTGTGATTCAGTATATTGGTTGTTGATAAATGAATTAGTGAACCCCACAGATGCATGATTTTACTACTTTCATGGGAGCTCAGACCCTCCTTATGGGAGCTGAACTCCCACTGGCTCCCACGCAACTCAAACCCTTATTACTGGCCATATTTTCTCCCTCTAAATTTTCACTTGAACAGTGTTCTTCTTGTGCTTTGCATGCTGGCCGGCCACGCGACGCCTGGTGTGTGAGGAAAACGTTACTGTACTGTGGAGGATGCGAACTCTGGTGATGAACACAACATGTTGGGGAGAAAGAGGCGCTTAGATATTTGGTCCTATTTCAAATACAGTGAGGCGGACAAAGAAACAGAGTGCCTAATTGTATTGGACGGCAAGCAATGTGGTTATAAGATTTTTGCTGCCATAAACTACATCTCCCACAATGCATGTCGATTTTGTAACCCGTGAAGTGACGGCATCCCGCCACTAGATTGCGTTGTTTCCACACCCACTACAGTAGTGGAGATGAGAAATGTATACAAATCCCTAAATGTCCAAGACGAGAAAAACTGATAAAGAAGGAAGGCAATTTCATGAATGGTGGGAAAGTGAATATATGTTTGTGCTTCAAGGCTAGGCCTATGTCTTTTGTGTTATGAGGCAGTATCAGTGATGAAGGATCAATGTTAGTTAAGCCGTGCAGACTACACGACTTTCAGCGTCGGGCGATGGCCGTGCCGTTCACACTGCACAACTTGCCGTCTTGTGACGGGAGTCTTGAAGTCGTTGTGGCATTCACACTACGTGACTGATCGGTGACAGGGGGTCAAACACTACAGCTGACAGCGGCTGTGTCTCCGGACACTGGTCTCCAAACCACGTTTGGTCAAGAAATGTCAAACGGGAAATGAGGCGAACCTACAGACGAAACAGCTGTTGTTTGTTATTATAAAGATAGCAATTATAAAGACAAAGAATCTGGGTGAAAGGATGGATTAGCACACGCAGGTAGCAGGGACTGTCTGAGCTACAGAGAGTTGGAGGTAAGTCAAAAGTGTTTTGCGGTGAAAAAGTAGCTGCCTGTTCTGCCAGCAGCCTGCTCTCATTGGCTGGATATGGATGTCGAGTCGGCCGATATTTGGCATGCGAGATATCTGGCAGACATCGGTGATGTGTCAGAAATATGTCGGGGAGCCGTTTTGATGCGTTGTTGAGTAGTTCACACATAACGACTGGTGACCGCAGATCAACCGCTGATTTACTCCCGATCAAAGCCCGACGGTCGCTGAGCTCTCAAAACGGCAAATCGGGCTAAAAATTGTATAGTGTGAACTAGGCTTTAGGCTTCAGTAGCCTATATGTCTGCATTTTTCCAGGTATTCAAACTGTCTCTCATTAATTGGATGTACCCAGAGGAAAAAACTTTTTCTCAGAATAGTATTTTCTTTAACTTTTGAGAAAACCTCAATCTCAATAGTATATCTTTTTGAGATCACTCCAATCTGAATTGTTGCTCCCAAAACCCCTTAGGAGAAAAGGATGAGATGAAGTGAGATTGAGGTTTTGAGACTTGGGTAAGAGAAATGGATACTGAATTGAGATTACAACAGGAGATTGGAAGTCACAGATGAGATCTCATTATTGTATCTTTTGAGATCACTCCAATCTGAATTGTTGCTCCTAAAACCCCTTAGGAGAAAAGGATGAGATGAAGAGAGACTGAGGTATTGAGACTTAGGTAAGACAAATGGATACTGAATTGAGATTACAATAGGATAAATGAAAGTAAAAGATGAGATCTCATCATTGTATCTTTTTGAGTTCATTAACGTCTTGCTTAATGCTCCTAAAAAGCAGTCAGGAGCTCTGGGGAGATGTTCATGAGCTTGATTGTATTATAATACTGTCTGTATTTGGAGAACCGTGCTGGAGGCCCTGAGCTGGATTTGAACCCCACTCCTGTTGTTCAAAGGGCAAAAACACTGCCGCTGCACTAACTAAAATAAAAAAGTGGAAGACTTATCTTTAAATAGAGTACAATTTTCCTTTACTTAAAAGAGGAGAAATACCATATCCACATTTAAAGTCCTCAAAATTCTACTCAAGTAAAAGGTATAAAAGTATTCCATAGTGAATGTACTTAAGTATCAAAAGTAAAAGTGCTTATTCTGTATGACAGATACATGTTGTATCTCAGTTCTTGCGTGCATTCGGTCCTTATTAAATAAATCTTTAAACGTCATGTCAAAGTATTGGGTGTTCCAGTTATGCTGGCTGTGACTACCTTAACCAATTGGAAAGCATGACAGTTGAAAGTGCATTATTTTCAATGTCAAAATTTAGTTTATTTTTCTCAGTAACTTGTAACTAAGATAATTAACAATAAATACAATAAGGATTTGAAATTAAGGGGAGTAAAAGTACAAACCTCCATAAAAAGAAAATACTCAACCTCAATATTTGACGTAAGTAAAGTACTTGAGTAAAATAGTCCCTAAGTGGGGTCACTAAGACAAAACTGAGAAATATCTTGGAGCTTATTTTCTGATCCACACTCTGGAGACTGAAATTTATTTTAAGTTTTATTAACTTATTTAAGATACTGAGATCTCATCTTTTGATCAGGGTAAGACAGAGATGAGTTTTTACTCCTGAGGCCAATATGAGAAAACTGAGACATATTTGAGAAGAATCATGAGATCGTCTCATGTTCCCCGAAAAGGGTAACAAGACACTGCGTCGGTGACAACACTATGGGAACGCCTCTGGGCGTGGCAGGGCTAAACTATGAATGAAACTACTCCAATCCTATTGGTGTTACTAGAACGGTAGTGTATGACGGCATAAACGGAGGGGTATATAAGCACGCTGGCACACAGGACACATTAGCCCTTTCTATGAAGCAAGGCACTCCAGGCGGGGTGAGGTGTGGCAGACGGACGAAGTGTCTCGTTCCCCTGCGTCGGTGACGACACATTGGGAACGCCGAAACCCCGCCTGCCTCCAGCGTGCAGAACCTGACAGCCATAGATGAAGGCAAACCGTGCACAATAGGCCAGGGAAATAGTCTGAAAGATCCAGTTGCTGATGGTGTGTTTAGTGGGGAGCCCAGCCTTGGGGGACCCGAAACACACTTTCCTCCACCGGGAAGACCTCAGAGTGTAAATACTCAGTGTTCTGACAGGGCAGAGCAGATGAAGTCTCCCGTCCTCCGCCGTCACATGAGGTGGGGGATGAAATGCCTGCAGCACCGTGGACCCTGCCAGTCTGGCCGGAACCTTAGGGACATAACCTGGACAAGGGTGCAGGATGGCCCTGACCCTCCACGGGACAAACTCCAGGCATCGGGGAGAAATCAAAAGTGCCTGGAGATCCTTCACCCTCCTCAGAGAGGTGATAGCAAGGAGAAAGGATGCAGCGTCTCGACTGCTCCTGTCGTCAGGCCCGCCTCCAGGAACTGCGCCCCCTCAGGGGCCAGACCCATAGCTGCCACAGGACGGGGTGCAGGTGAAGGATCCGGCCCTCCGCCTGGGACAGTAGGTCTCTCCTCAAAGGAACCTGCCAGGGCGGGCCCTCGAGGAGCGATATTAAGTCCGAGAACAACACTTGTGCTGGCCAAAACGGAGCTACTAATAGTAGACTGACGCTGTCCTGGCGGACCCGCTCCAGGGAGCAGAGCGACTCGGCCACGTCTGCACCATGGCATCCAGCCCTAGCGGGCGAGAGGGAGAACCACAGGGGACAGTGCGCCGTCTCTCGGGACGCAAACAAGTCTACGTCTATGGGGCCGAACTCTTCGCATAATAATGCCACCACCTCGGGGTGGAGTCTCCATTCCCCAGGCCTCAGCCCCTGTCTCGACAGCAGGTCTACTCCTTGATTCTGGGTCCCAGGGATGTACATCGCACTGAGGGACAGCAGTCTCTGCTGGGACCACAGGAGGATCTGATGTGCCAGTTTGCATAACGGGCGCGAGCGCAGACCCCTGGTGATTCAGACAGGCCACCACTGCCGTATTGTTGGTTCTGACAAGGATGTGGCGACTGCGGAGGGCGGGCAGAAAAGCAGAGCTCTGAAAACAGCCAACATTTCCAGGCAATTTATGAGCAAAGAGAAATTATGCTCCTGCCAGGAGCCTCTTGCAAAGCGGCCGTCCATGGCCGCGCCCCACCCCGTGAGTGAGGCGTCTGTCGAAATAATTGTCCGGCGACATGACACTCCCAACACGGGACCCTGAGGACAGGAACCAAGGCTTCCTCCATACTTACAGGGAACGAAGGCACCTGCTCATAACCCATATCAGACGGAACGGATTTCCCCTCGGGGAGAATCCCTTGAATTTTAACCACCACTGCAGGGCTCTCATGTGCAGCAGGCCAGACGGGATTACACTGGACGCTGCCGCCATGAGACCCAACACCCTTTGAAAGTGTTTCACAGTGATGGTGCGGCCTAGCTTCACTCTGGTCACCGAGGACAAAATGGACCCGACGCGTGCAGGCGACAGGTGGGCCCGCATCGTTGTCGAGTGCCACACCACCCCTTGGAACGTAGTCCGTTGGGCGGGTGTGTCAGCACGCTCTTCTTCGCGTTGAGCCGCAGCCCCAAACGCTGAAGGTGGGCGAGGACGACATCTCGATGCTGAACCACTAACTGCCGAGACTGAGCTAAGATGAGCCAGTCGTCAATGTTTAATATGCGGATGCCCTGGAGCCTCAGCGGGGCCAGAGCTGGGAGGTTGAGCCACAGATGGCGCTCCGTAGCCACCAATGCTGCCATGGAGCAGCCAATGCTTGGTAACAAGGAGGGTTAAGTCCGTAAGCTCAGTCAGGTCCTCCTCAGAGGGACCACCCCCTAGGTCATAGTCTTGAGAAGATCGGCCTGGTACGCCTGCAAGATGGCCATAGTGTGCAGGCTTGCACCAGCTCGACCCGCTGCCATGTAGGCCTTGCCCACCAAAGCGGATGTTTCGTCCGACACAGGTTGGTGGGGAGCGCCGACATCTGAAGGAACGAAGCAAGGGTGGGAGAAAGATAGCTCGCGAGGGCTTCCTCCCCCCAAGGCATCGTTCCGTAGAAACGGACTCCTGAACGGGGAAGAGAGGAGGCGGAGTCAGCAGACGAGGAATGGGAAAAAGCCTCGGCAGTCCCGATGCCCTCGGAGATGGCCATGACCGAAGCCGCCGCACCGCCTCAGCGACTGCCGGGTGCGAGCCATGGGGAGAGCACATCCAGCCGTCTTCGGAAAAAAGAGCCGCACAGGACCTCAGCACCCTCAGGGGCAGGGCCTCGCAATGTCTGCAAGCAGCCCCCTCGAGAGCTGCCTGGGCATGCGGCATCCCCAGAAGGAAACACACAGGGCATGAGTGTCCCCAGCCATAATGTAGCGCGGGCATGGAAAGACACACTGCCTGAACTGCTCACCAGCCATCTCCTCTGCTTCTCCTTCCAGGTAACTAGATCTTCTTGTGGTAGCTTTCTTCTGAGTAGTCTCAAACATGCCAGAGTGCCTGCTGAATAGAAAGAAAGCTAATGTGTCCGGTGTGCCGGTGTGCTTATATACGCCTCCAGTTACGCCATCACATGCTACCGTTCTAGCAACGCCAATAGGATTGGAGTTTCATTCATGATTTCAGCCCTGCCACGCTCAGAGGCGTTCCCATAGTGTCGTCACTGACGCAGTTTGAGTTCCCTCGAAGGGGAACTCTTGTGACTGTGTGAGGAGCAAGGCTTAGAATTGAGTTTTGAGTCGACCTCAGTTGTCTGACTGATCCACCAATAGGCGATAAGTTCACCCCTTGAGACACAGCCCCTCCTCATTTCAATAATGAGGCAGTAATGCATAGAGAAAAAGAGAGCAGACAGAAATATATTCCCATTGTGGAAATAAATAGGGTAGAAATGCAAAAGAAGAATAAAACAAACAAAAACATTAAAACACACACTTAAATGAATACATTTAAAAAATAAGTAAGTAATAAATAAAGTAGTCGATTAGTAGTAGTAGATTATAACGTACAATAAATAAATAAGGTAATTATTACAACGGTGAATAAATAAAGAAGCTAATTAAACAAGATATATACATTTATGTCTCATTGTATAATTTAATTACTGCCTACATTTATTTATCTACTTTATTTTTTGTGCATTTAATCGGATGCTTATTTATTTATTTAGCAGTTATTTATTTCTGTATTTATTTCCCTTTATGTCAGAATTGGTCCTCCATACTGGGACCCTACAATAGACTAGAAAAACCTGCGCTTAATGCAATATATTCCTTAATATGCATTTTTCCTTCCCTGATGAGGAATACTGTAAATTATTATTCATTGTGTGATTTGATATGTTGACATCTGTCTAGATAGCATATCACATAATCAAGAGCGGTGGACTGTATTTTAAAGTAGACGTGATACAAAAACTTTCTTTCATTATAAAGCCTAATGTTACTTTACAATTGGCAAAAGGCAAAACATTACCAGCAAAGAGTGAATGAGTTCAGTTCTCTTACTTTGTGTCTAAGGGTCCAGGTTCATTACTGAACTTTGGAGGAAAGTTTTTTGACCGGTCACTCTTCATAGACAGACAACTGGATACTGGAGACTCTGCTCTGTCCTCCTCTTCCTCCACACAAACTCTCATCTTCTGGACTTCAGTCGTTCTGAGAGGTAAAACAGTGACACTGACTGTGAGCTCAGAGCACAAGAATCAAGATGAACAAGTTTGTTCAAGAATCACAAACAAGACAGAGAAGAGGAAGTAACACACACACACGCTCAAGCACACACATACAGTATAGAGTTTAATAAAAGCTGTCAGAACTCCACCTGCTCACTTTTCTTGTTTTCTTGGTTACTGCAAGTTTAATGCATATTAAACATGAAGTAGAGACTTTGACAGTAAAATAATAAAAATGTTGCATTAACACCCACCCTGCCTCAGCCTTCAGTTTTCCTCCTTCTGCTCTGTCGACTCAAAATGAAGACTGAACTAACTGAACACTTTCAGCTTCAGGTTCCCTCCCAGTTCTCACCTGGATCACCTGGTCAGTGTTGCTCCTCCCCTCTCAATTTGAAGGCACACCACAACTATCTCCTGCTCAATATACAGTACTTAAAAACCCATCACGCACAGCACCCTCCGTGACACTGAAACTTATTTTCACATAACAGATTCATTGGGATTGATTGGGACAATAAACGTGTTACCATTACACAGAAAGAAGCATCTGAGTTTCTGTCAAATACCCAGTAAACCTGACCATCCTTAATAAACCCAAAACATTTCATTTCACAACACTTGCTGCTGAAATTAATGTATTTTCAGAATATTTAAAGACTCTTCTGAGCATAAAGATGAAAAATTATTGAATCAATTATTACAATTTTTTATCTTATATATATATTTATTTAATTATCTGTTGCTCCATAAAAATATTTAAAAATATTTTCCCCAGCTGCTTAAGTTCACAACTTAAAGGACAATATCAACTTTAAAAACCAACAAGTACATTGTAGTTTTAGAACAATAACTCCTTCTCAGATTGTTAAAATCTCCTAATTTCCAGAGACAGTACTGAGGACATGACCTCTGGGAAGCATCAGAGTTAGTGGAGCATACATTTAGGGAGTCAATCCTGGCTGCACCTCAATGATCTATTATTCCCTGTCTGTTTGTTTGTCCTTTGTGTTGTTACTCTGAGAAATCTCTGAGAATTTGAGAATGGCATTTGTTCACTATTACATATAACATTTAATAGACTATTAGACAAAATAACAATTGACAGACTAATCAATACTGACAATCATTGTTAATTGCAGATTTTATATGACAAGAAACTTTAATCACTTTCGTCAAATTATCAGTACTTTTAATTTGATACTCAAGCACATTTTAACATGAAACATTAAGTAGTGAAAATTCAAAGGCAGAACTTTACCTGTAATCAAGTGTTTCTCATTGTGTGGTTAATATTTTTACTTAAAGGTGCAGTAGAATGCTCATTTTACATGTTTACTTGTATTTAGGGTTTCTACTAGAAAATGTTCAAATACTTTATATAATATTTCTCATACTGTCTCCCCGGGTGTGGTAGCCCGCTCTGGACCCGGGGGTCTCTGGCCTCGGACCTCTGGCTTTTGCTCGTGTCTGGGGCAGATGGCATGAAACACATACGAACACACACACACTCGCAGACACATTCACCCGCATACACAGAGAAACTTCCCCGAAGAACAGAAGAGGGGCGGAACTTTATTCACTGGTTTTACCGAAACTGGATCCAATTTGATCATAAATCATCAGAGGGAAAAGCAGAAAATATTTACCTTTCCTTCATAACCATAAAAACACTTTCCATAAGACGCACTGCACTGCACAACCTACAGCTCTATGAGTTCTTATGACTGCTAACTCTGGTGGGCTGGACTATGTAACTTTGGGGGCGTAAACATCCTAGACGTTACGTAAAACATCTAGAGCTTCTTGGCATTTGGCCATTTTTCAGGGGTATTTTGGGTTCGAGAGATTATCAGTTGCATGGCCTGAACTCTTGCCAACAATGCCAAGGGAAATACAGTTTTCCATTGTACTGCACCTTTAATAAGGGTTTTGGAACAGCCTTCCACAGTTAATACTGGTTGTTTAAATAAGTTGAAATGAAAATTGAGAGGAAACTTAAATTGGAAAAAAAACTATCTACCAAAAATCTAGACTGATACCATATGTACCAGTAGTTGTAGCTGTAATCAAACCTCTTCTTAAAAGACAGAGTTATAGCCAACTAGCCCTAACCTTCCTTTCTCTCTAAGATCCTTGAGAAAGCAGTCGCAAAACCATTGTGCCTTTCTACATAGCAATAGTTTAATTGTGTTGTCTTTTATGAGAATGTCTACATTTCTAAAACTTTGTGAAACTTGTTCCTGAAACTGTCATTCTCTTTTAAATTTTAAACATATTATGCATCAAAGGTCATCAAATAGTCATCATTTGATTTTATTTTGTAAATTTCAACATAAATACAAATTGTATTAATCAATCTTTTTTCTGTCCTTTCCCCCAAAATGAGATATATTTTTGGAGCATCAGTCAATGTTTCTGATATTAAACAAAACCTAATAGTGCTCTTATACTGACCTACTAAACTTACATTCTGGGTGGACGGTAGACCTGCCATTATGATCTGTAGAGAATATAAAGAAATTCCTTGTACTCTACCTGTCCCACTTTCTGCGTGTTTTAAACATGTTACATTTAGAGAGAACAAGTGCAGTGCCTGTTCACACATTCGCCCCCCGGTGTGACGCTTCACTGCTCTTTTTGTTCAAAATGTGCGTCTCAGTTTGGTTTCACCTACAACGGTGGTTGGCAAGAGGCAGCCCGTGGGCCAAATTACGTACATACATTTAAGTGTAGTTATGCTATACCTTACAATATGTACAGTGAATTTACAATATACAGATATTATACATACTACTACTATATGGGAATATATATAAAAAAACATATAGAGGAGAAGTGGACAGAGTTAGCGAATAGAGAGTGCAAATGTATGGATGAATATACAGTATGAACAACATCTACGTATGCATAGTATAACAACGTATAAGTTGGTTATACACTTGGTTACAGTGACATTATAACAGAGGGGTTCAGGCTGTACTAAAATATGAACAGTGCAATAACATGTACTGTGTGTAGTGCATTATGAGTGCAAAGGTGCTAAAATTGAAGGTGTGGAGTTCAGCAAGATTACAGCCCTTGGTGCGACAGTGTAGGTTCCTGTAAAGCCGGACGGATGTTAGCTGGGTGAAAAGTCCAAGTTTAGGGTGGGAGGCATCCTTGATGATTTTTCTTGTCCTGTCGAAGCAGTACTTTTGATAAATGTTCTTGATGGTGGGTAACTGGGTGCCGGTGATCTTGTTAGGAAGTTTTCACCACCCGCTGGAGTGCTTATTACTTAATAATGTGAAAATTAACGGCAGTTCTCCATCATCAACAGTGTGGAGGCGCAACACAAAGATATACAGAGACAGATGATGGACTTGACTTTGTGTCTGACAGTGGAGCTGATCTCAGAGCAGTTTAGACTGCAGCACTGTTGTGATTCCTCTGTCAGTCACTGCTGGATGAAGCTCTCCTCTCCACTCTACCTCCCAGTAACAAGGCCCAGTCAGAGCCGCTCCACACACAAGCTGATGCTGCTGCTTCAACCTCTCTGGATCATCAGGACACAGCTGATCCTCTCTTAACACCACCACCTTTCTCATCACTCACACTCTGACAGAGATCACTTCCATCTGATGAGAGAAGAAGACAGGGCAGCACTTTATAATAACTACACACTATAAAGCATTAGTTAAGTATTAGTAAATACGGAATTCATCATTTATAAAGAATTGTTCATACATTAATACACAATAGTAAGTCATTCATGAACACAGTTATAAATGTTTTATTCTTTATTATCTACACACTATGAAGAAGTTGTTAAGTATTAGGACATTTTTAATTCATCAGTTATAAACCATTGTTTATAAATGTCATAAATCAGCGACAGAGAAGCTTCTTCCATCAGCTGTCAGCCAGTGATGCAGCATATGCAGTGTAAAGACTAGCAGGTACTCTAGTACTGTTCAGTGGTGGAAGTACAAAATGTTCATATTTACGTAAAAGTAACATAAAAAAATGTTGCTCAAGTAAAAGTTAAAAGTACCTGGTATTAAAAGTAAAAAGTACTACACATTCAAATCTATTGATCTTACCAAAATGACCTATGTTTTTAAAGTCAGCCAAGACAGGTTTGAATACAGTAGTTTACAGTGAATCACAAGGAAAACTGCGTCGCAAGAGGACAGGTGTGTATTGCCTATACTGTGCGGGGGATTAGCCTGCGTTATTACTCTGCTGCTGTGGTAGTATCCCCTTCAGACGGTCTGACAGACACAGAACGCCATTTGGGACTGTATATTAGGATGAGACAAGGAGGTGGAAATGGAAACTAACTGAAAACACTTGTGATCAGCCACAAATCTCACTACAAATCCACACATGTTAATTTAAGTAAATAAAGTAAATTATAGATACAATTTATATATAATTGTTTTCAGCTCCATCAGACCCATTCAAACTGTCTCCCCCAGGTTTTCTTCAAAACACTTTCAAATATAAAATAGGCTACTATTAGTACAATGACTTTGCTGAATATAGAATGTGATGCTTATTATTAAGAGATGTGCCTCTATAAACTTTGACAGACAGATGATCCCTGTCTTTTATTCAAATGATGTGCACCTTTGAGGAGTGCCATCACATCCGTGTATTGTCTGGACTTGTCCGACAGATGTTCCTTGATAGAATGCACAAGTTTCATTTTCATGCGTGATGCGATAATCTTTTCTGAGTTGCACTTTATCAAACTTAATAAATAGTTGTATTTCACTTTAACATTGGTCAGACAAAGTCTGGCATGCAACCAAGCTAGACAGACCAGGAGATGCGCTACCCTGCAGGGTTAGCAAGACAGACAGACTAGAGAGAGATGCACTGCAGCTTAACATTAGCTCCTGTTATCTGCTGACAGACTTTGAGCACTGAGCGAGAGTCACTTGATCACTATCACAGAATCCGCAGGTGTTTTATTTTATGTAAATAATGCACGCACCTCAAAATAGGACTGCTTAAAACGCTATAATAAACTTTGTGGAGTTCATCAATGGTGATAAAGGATTCAAAGTATATATTTAATGAACATCTAGAGTCGTCAATATTTTATTACACTGAGTATAAGTAGGCTAGCATTCCTTGAGATTCAGCAAAAATACACAGCGATAACTGCATTTGATCAATGTTCACAGCAAAGTGTCTGAAAAAGATGTTAAGAGGTCAGAACAGACGATGTAGACTACCTGCCAAGATTTGCATCCACCACTTGGTGGAAGTTGATTGGCACAGAGTTGAAATTAGCTGTTTTATGTTTGTTTTTCACTACTGCTCCACTTAGATACGCTTCATGTTTTTTTTTTTTTTTTTTTTGGTGAGTAACAAGGTCTCGTGCAGAATGCAATGGAGTTAAATGTCATTGAAACAACAACTACAAATACTTAAGTAAAGCACAGCTATATTTAGGAAGATCTATTGACAGATATGGAATGTAACAACCATAACTATGTTTTCTGTAGTGTATTGAGACCTTACATAATGGACTGTTATGTTTTTATTACCTTAGAATGAGTCATTTCTATCTACATACACTGTGGGTTCTCTTACATAGAAGTCGACATGTTGCATGTTTCTACAGTGGCGGCAGAGATATGTTAAATCTTTATTGCAAAAAGAGAAATAAAGTGTACATGGGACATAAATAAGTATACAGAGCTTTGATTCGTGCAAAATCACATACATATTTTGCATAGATTTAATCTGCAATATGGTTATAATGGTTAGTTTGCTGTCCATGTAGAGTGAATTAGATGTCTGTGTGTTGTTTATACATGCTGAGAAGGCTAATCCAACACATCTTTGTAATAGCGTCCATGTTGATCTTTGCTTTGATGCTCACTGTGTTTTGTAGAATACTGCTGAAACCAGCATAGACTCAATCCAAAACTCTACTGACCTCAGAGTCTCCAGTCTACAGTGTGGACTCTCCACAAGATCAGACAGCGGCTTCACTCCTGAATCCTGCAGCTTGTTTCCACCCAGGTGCAGAATACTCAGATAGGAGGGGTTGGACTTCAGAGCTGAGGCCAGAGAAGTACAGCTGATCTCCGACAAACTGCAGTTCCACAATCTGAATAAAGAATAAATAATGTAAATTCAGAAAGTTCAGAGTTAATTATCCAGCGTAAATTTTAGTTTTTATATTTAGGTTTTAAAAGTTATGTTCAACATTGCTCTGACACAGTCAATGGAATAAACCACTGAAGAAGAAAACAGACTTCAGCATTAATATACTCAGTGTGGATCAGTATAATATCAGCCTTATGTCTGCAGTTTAGTGAGACCACAACTTTCACATCATATTAATCTCAGCACAGATGTCAAAAATTATGTCTGACCTCAGAGTCTCCAGTCTACAGTGTGGACTCTCCAGAAAATCACACAGCAGCTTCACTCCTGAATCTTGCAGCTTGTTGTCACTCAGCTCCAGCATTCTCAGATGGGAAGGGTTGGACTTCAGAGCTGAGGCCAGAGAAGCACAGCTGATCTCTGACAAACTGCAGAGACTCAATCTGAATAAAATATAAATGATTTTACTTTAGCAGACAATGTTTGCTTGAAATCATTCAGTGTTTAAAAATCTGTTCAGAGCTGAAGATCGATCTATCTACCTATATTAAACAGTTTCCTATATACTGGTTGTGTCCCAGATTACTTTACCACAAACCACTTGGGTCCGACCAGTCCTAAAAGAACTGGGACTTGATCTTACCATCCTTGACAAACATCGTTCCATCTCTAAACTGCCTTTTAACTCTAAGATTATCCAAAACATTAATTGAAAGCAGCTTCTTGCCGCTGTGGAAAACAATAGTAGACTTGAAAAGTTTCAATTCAATCAATTCATGCCTCAAGGTTCAATTACTAAGCTTCTCCAACCATGTTTTTATCACCTCAGAAATATTGCATAAATAAGATCTATTTTAAATTTCAAAGATGAAGTTTTCATCTCATCGAGCCTTGATTATACTACAACAAAAACAAGAGGTACGATCACATCACACCTGTTTTACCCTTTTTATATCAGTTTGTTTTAGGATTGCTTTTAAGATCTTAGTGATTACTTTTAAGGCTCTTCATAACATGTACCTTTTAACCTCCTATGAACCTTTGCATGGTTTGAGATCAGGGCAAGAGTCTTCTACCTCTTCCTGAGTTTAGGCTTAAAAGTAACGAGGATAGATCTTTTGGTGTCAGGGCCTCAGGAATTACCTGCCTGAGGAACTTAGGCTACCTGAGCCAGAGTCTTCTTTTTAGTCTCTTTTAAAAACTTACCTTATCAGAAATCCTGATTTTATCTGAGCTGCCTGTTTATTTTATTGGTATTTTTTATTTTATATTTCTCCTCACTGTGGTATTTCATGTCATCTTTCTCTGTGAAGCCCTTTGTGTTTTGTGCTCTATAAATAAAGTGTATAATAATAATAATAATAATAATAATAATAATAAATTATGATTATACAGTATAGATTTTTCTTGTTCCATTAAGGTTTTAAATGTGTATCTCAACAATGCATTTCGGCATTTAGGATTGGGCATTTGGGATTTAGGATTGAGAAGTGTATGCAAATACGTGGGTGTGGCCCAAAAACCAGGCTGTGTGCGCAGGGGCACCTTATTATGGAAGCCCTAAGCGGCCATTGATTCATATCTTTATTTTACTTCATTTTCCCAAGATAACCAACAGATTCGGGGGGGAATCTAGCACACATGTCCTGACGGCTATTTCAAAGGTTCTGAAATAGTTGTCAGGAAATGTGTAGCTAAATGGATTCCCCTGAATGAGAAGCGATGAAGCGATGAATTTCCTCTCCCTGGGAATGATGGGGAAATGAAAAGTCTATAGGTTGATGAATGTGGACCAATCGCCCGGGATGCGCACACTCCAGCATGTGATTAATTGTGAGCATGTGAATCAGTCATCGTAACAACTTTGTTGAAGAGGAATATGAAAAAGTTGTTTTTTTTTAAAGTTAGTCTTCCATGAGAATCAAACTCACAATTTTAAAATTATGAGTCATATATCTTACCAAGTGAGCTAATCGGTGACACTTTGCCCCTTGAAATTACCATTAAGAAACGTTCTTGCCAACCCCCACACCAGTCCAGCATTATAAAAGGATCCTGTTGTCACTTTCAGATATTTAGATGAGGATTTATGGTAAGCCACACTTTGTAATTGTGCTTTTGTGCATAAGGATAATGTGAAATTATGTATTTTAACATTTGTTAATGTAAATTGACTAAATACATATTGAGGTTATTTTGTTTTGAAACAAATAACAGAAACAATTTTTTTGTTTTTGAATTACACATGAATTACATATTATCCAATGATACCCAATCTGACAGCGCTCCTTTCACTGGTGACTTTGTGTGTGAGGCCACACAAATTGAAACGCTTTCATCAAGTTGAAGTTATTACATTATATAGGATAGTCCTCCCTCCAGCGTTGGACTTCAGCATTAAGATATTCAGAATGGATCAGTTGAATGATAATAATAATATAATAATAAACTTTATTTATACAGCACTTATTAAAAAAGTTACAAAGTGCTTTACAAGACCCACCCCAGATTTCAAACATCACAGAGTGTAAGACACAAAGACATAAAATCAAGCAATTTAAAAGAGAAAGATGAGATTATCTTTTCTCTGGAGCAAGTAAGGGTTAAGTGTCTTGCTCAGGGACACATTGGTGGATGTGTTACTATGGGGAATTGAACCTGGGTCTCTCACAACAAAGGCATCTGTCTTATCACTGCACCATCGCTACTCCATAAGTTTGCAAGATTCACACTCAGACATCTTAACCACAGTTTGACCATAAACATGCTAAAAACTTAAAATCCATAGTGGGGCCTAAAAGTGCTAAAAGCATAAAATCCACAGTAAAAATTATGGTTGAGATTGGTGTTTTTTTATTTTGTGTTAACAGCAGTGAAGGCAGTCCTGTAGTGTTAGGCCAAGTAGAGTTGACAGCCAGCTTAAAATCACTTTAGATGTAAGTAATGTTACCAAGTTGAAATGCATGGGTAAAACAAGTGCACAGTAGGATTGTGGTTTAACATAGGATAAATGTTTAACACAGCTTTGCACAGACACGTACCATTCTGACAACAAGAAGAGATTTGTTAACATCAGTGTTATGTCTGCAGTTTAGTGTCACCACAATTTTCCCATCATATTAAGCTCAGCACAGAAGTAAAAAATGGTGTCTGACCTCAGAGTCTCCAGTCTACAGTGTGGACTCTCCAGAAAATCACACAGCAACTTCACTCCTGAGTCCTGCAGCTTGTTGTCACCCAGCTGTAGATCTCTCAGATGGGAGGGGTTGGACTTCAGAGCTGAGGCCAGAGAAGCACAGCTGATCTCTGACAAACTGCAGTCACCCAATCTAAATAAAGAATAAAGAAGAAGAGAACATTACTGCTTGAAATCATTTTATGTTCAATAATCTGTTCAGAGCTGAAAAAGGTTTAGAATGTAGAAGTTTAGAAAATGGAAACTCAATAGGAACTCAAAAGTTATTAAATAGCGGTCAGATAAAATTAATTCTGTGTAAAGACTACCAAATGTTCAATTTCAATGCCATATGCCAGAACAACGTTGAGGGTGTTAAAACAGTGACTCAGTTGAAGTAGTCAGTATGAAGTTGAAGTCAGTATGAAGACTATGACAAAAGCCAATTGAATCTAATAGTGAGACATTACTGAGGTTATCATTGTCAACATCCATATGAATATTAAAATCAAATACAATTGTGACTTTACCTGTTGACAGAACTAAACTTGATTAAAAACTAGAATTGGCTGTAATGTTTTCCAGGTTAAGTGTGAAAGTCTAATGACAAGGCTTTTAACAGAGTTATAATAAAAAAAAGTGAAAACATGAGAAAAATTTGATAGACAGCTGTAGAGACATTTAATGAAGTTTGTGTCTGCACACATGTGCAATGTGCCAATACTAATTAAAGGCACACAGTTATCAGTGCAGAGCAGCATTTTTTCTCTCTGTAGCTGTTACGTGTTTACTGTAACAAACACCTGCACATGAAGAACAACCTGCATTCTGTAATTTTACTGTATTCTGTCCAGAGGCACAGGATCATTTCTACTGTCATATCAATATTCTGATTGTGAATTCCTTACTGACACAGAATATGATCATGGTGTCTTTTTGTGTGTATGTTTGTGGGTACTGTATTGATCCAAAAACACAATTTTAAAAATGAGTTTGAAGTGTTGGGCAAGAATTGTTTGCTTTTGCAAGAGATGTATAATCTTTTGGGTTTTTGGTATAAGGTTTTGTAATTAGTGTGAAAAGTTGTGCAAAAATTGCCTGTAGTTTCAAAAAGTGTGCCTAAGCAGAAAATTATTTTTTGTTTTCAATATAAGATCATCTATACACATGCATCTAAAAAACTGAGGCAGAGCCTTGTTCTGTTTGGACTGTGAGCTGCAATTAACATTTGAAGAAAAACCTGAAGTTAACATTTGTGTGGATTTGAGGTAAGATTTCTGTCTGATTAGAAGAGTTGACAGTTAATAAAAAAAAAGGTAACTGACCTCAGAGTCTTCAGTCTACAGTGTGGACTCTCTAGAAAATCACACAGCTGCTTCACTCCTGAATCCTGCAGCTTGTTGTTACTCAGCTCCAGCTCTCTCAGATGGGAGGGGTTGGTCTTCAGAGCTGAGGCCAGAGAAGCACAACTGATCTCTGACAAATTGCAGCCCCACAATCTGAAAAAGAATAAATGAAGTAACTTTAGAAGACAATGTTCCTACTTGAAATTATTCAGTGTTTAATAATCTCTTCAAAGCTAATGAATGTTTAGAATGTAGAAGTTTAGAAAATGGAAATCCCAAACACCTGAACCCAACAGGATGCAGGTTATCCTGTTGGGGACAGGCAACCTTTTCCAGGAAAAACGCCTAAAATAACATACCCTAAAAGAATCAAGAATAACTCTTTATTTGGCCTAGATGCCTAATTCCGGTCTCCTTTAAAAGGTCAGAAGCTAAGGAATATAAATCCATTGTAACTGTAATTTGATGAAAATAAACTAAAATACAACAGTTATCATACAAAATATACCAGGCGAATGTCCATATTTTGGCAATATTTACTGTTTAAAAGTTGGCTTTTATTAGGAGATATCTTCAAAAAAACCTTTTTCTGTTCATACAACAATGTTCTAAATAACATAGCATTGAAATATTGATAAAAACAGTGAATATTCATCAACATTCTTGTCCCCAAAAGCACACCCATGCTTTACAGGCCTGTAGATTGAGAATGGAACATCCACAGTGTTTGGGGGGGCATCAATTGATCCGGCTTGAGCAGAACTTTCATTGGTACCCTGCATGTCTATGTAGCTCCAATGAGTCGGCCACAAAATGGTGAAAAAGATCATGTGTTCCAAAGCGGCACGTTTCCTGGGCAAGCAGCTCCCAGGTATTGCACAATAATCTGGATGGTGCCCGCTGAGACTCGGACAACAAAATTGGTGGATTTTGGACTTAAAACGGCAAAGATAAAAAAATTCAGTCAGCGATTGTGACCCTACCCCATTGCCGGGGGCGTCTGTTTTCAACAGGTTTTAAAAACTGTAAAATGCTAAAAGGTAAAAAGATTTCTCAATTAATATTAATGACAACGTGCTGCTACTTTTATAAAGACGCATTGACTTCACCTTTTAAACTCTGCCAGCTCCACCAGTGGCTCCATCTATACAAACTCATGTTGTGCAGCCAAACACAAATAAAAACCCACAGAAACTGATTTAAGATTTGACTCAAGATCCCAAAGTTTCCAAAGATGCCAAATATTTCAGGATAAATTTAGTTGAAATGTGAACAAAAGATATCAACACATTTTCTTTAAAGAATAGTGGGGTCATAAAATCAAAGCATCTTCATTTTAAACTTTTCAGGCAGTATGAGCAACAAACTATAGCTTCATAACAATGTTGTAAAAAGCTATATATATATATGAATATATTTGAAGGAGAGACTATTTAATCATTGTATTTATATATCTTTATAATAATTTACTCCAGAAATTGTTAAGTTATATTAAAGTATTTCATGTGTAGCTCAATATTGCTCTGCCATAGTCAGTGGACTAAATCACTGTCCACGTTCACAAGAAGAAATAGACTTCAGCATTAAGATACTCAGTGTGGATCAGTTTAATATCAGCCTTATGTCTGCAGTTTGGTGTCAACACAACTTTCACATTTTAATAATCTCAGTCAGCACAGACGTAGAAAATGGTGTCTGACCTCAGAGTCTCCAGTCTACAGTGTGGACTCTCCAGAAAACCACACAGCAGCTTCACTCCTGAATCCTGCAAGTAGTTGAGACCCAGCTGCAGCTTTCTCAGATGGGAGGGGTTGGTCTTCAGAGCTGAGGCCAGAGAAGCACAGCTGATCGCTGACAAATTGCAAGACCTCAATCTGAATAAAGAAAATTTATGTACATATAAATCAATTTATAATCCTATCAGATGTGTTAAGGTTTTAAATGTGTAGCTCAACATTACTATGTCCTAATCAATGAGCTTTTCCCTGAAATGAGTAAAGTGACTTTGTGGATCGTCATAATGTCAGCCTTCTACAGACATCATCCAAATGTCAGCACAACATTCATAAAATATACATATCCATACATACAGTCAACACAGATTAATAACATGCTGCTGATCTCTGTCAAGTCCAGTTTAATTTTCAAATCAGACCCCCTATTCCTAACCCTACATTTGGTATTTTAATTTTGTGGGTGTCTTCTAATTTATAACAATCATATAATTTTATGAAAAAAATACTAAGACAGATGTTTTCTAGAGAATTGGCCAATATAAAATAAAGAAGAAGACTTAAATAATAAATAATACAAAACTTTACAAACCTCTTTAACACCTGTCCCAGCACTTATGACGCTCTCTGTCACAAATTCTCCCATTCCCCTCTCCCAATTTAGCCCTCAGTATATATTTACCAGTCTCTTTCAATTGCTCCCTGCCAGATTGTCTAGTGCAGTGGTCGGCAGTAGACGGTCCCAGAACTGGCCCGCCAGCACTGTTGTGGACCTATTTTTTTTATAAGACTGCTCACTTCTGTTTAATTTCTCAAATCAGCCACAGCTAGAGAAATTGTGCAAAATCATTGTTCCGCCTGCACAGCCTTCCCAGTGGCATGGCTACTGACCAGGGGCCACACTTTATTTCCATTTTTTGGTCTGAGATTATAGTCTCCTTTTGCAAAAACAAGTGTTGCGTTTATAATTTTGTTCAGTGTATATAGCAATTGTAAGTCGCTTTGGATAAAAGCTTCAGCTAAATGAATACATGTAATGTAAAGTAATGTCCAGTTGCCGGCAGGCAGCCCGGGTGTTGCCTGTCCAGTTACCAGCAGCAAGCCTGGTTATGACGGTTTCCAGCCAAGCTGTCCAGTTGCCCGTTTCCAGCCCGACTGTCCAGTTTCAGTCCTGCAGCCATGCCTCTGGTTCCATGGTCTGCTGGGTCACTGCCGGCATTACTTCCGGAGAGGTCTTGCTTTCATTCATGGGCTCCTGATGGGTTCCGCCCTTTTCAGCAGTGGCCTGCCGAACCTCCAGAGAGGATTCTGCTCGGCCTCCAGAGGGCCCCTGCCCTCACTTTCGGCCCCTGGGCGGACCTGACCACCCAGTGATGGTTCTGTCATAATTTCGATAAATTCTGTTTCAGTGTATTGTCCCTGCATGACTCTTCATTCTGTGCTCTCTGTCTTGACTTGGTCCTGTCTTATAATGCATGCCGTTCTGAGTCTTCCATTCACTTTGTCAGATCCGTCCTAGAGTATTGTTGCATGTTTCACTGATTTATCTTGTTATCTTCAGTTTCTGGTGCTGGTGTCTAGCTTTGTTCCTGTTCTGTCTAGCTTAGTTTAGTCTTGTCTGATAAATTATAGTTTATCATCTCTGTTTAGTTTATTAAATAATTTCTTTGAACTGCATCCTCCTTGACAGTGTCTCCATTTGGGTCCAAGTCTCCGTTTTCCTGCCTCTGCATGAATGTTGAGGAGAGATGAACCATGGAGGAGATGGAGAGAAAGCTTGATTCATCCACCCCAGCCCCTTCGTTCGTTTTCAAGCCACGCGCGAAGCGCAGCGACCTCAACTTTTCCTCGTTTCCAACAACTTTCCTTGCATTTTATTTTCTTTTGGTTTTGTTTTTTTTGAAAGTTATCAGTCCGTTAAGTTACACTGGTTTAATTCAAGAACGACCAAGTTCTTTTTAAGCCTTATCCGTCGAACTAACTTCCACTGATCCCTCCTCGGACCCAGCCACGTGGGCCCGCCAGCAGTAACAAAGAACGACCAAACTGCTAACTCGAGCCAGGGTTGGCCCCACTGCAAGTCTCTTCAATAAGCCGACAAAAGCCGGACCTCCGGAGCAATTCCCTGGCAGAGAAAGCGACTGGCCGACGGCTTTAAGCTGTCCTAACGGAGAACGCACGGATCTCAGCCAGTGTGAGGCTGTTGACCAGCACCCGGCTGGGAGAAGCAACACGCAGTAAGACCAAAACCTGCATTCTGTGATCAGTGATGTCCCATAGTCTGTTAGTCCAGTATATTTAATCATTGAAACTCCTAGACAAATTTAACCGAGTTATCATCTAATTGCATTCATTAGCTACCATATGAGTCAAATACTCCCACAATAGAAACCCACATTCTCATTGTTTAGCCATTGTTTATTTCTTTGATGTATATGTAACCGCATTTATAGTCACCTTAGTTAGTTAATAAACTCCACTGTAATGTTTGTATTACCTGTCTCCAAGTCCCTGACAAGAGAATTTACCCCTTTGAAATGAGACTGACTGATTGATTTAAGATAATTGATCGATTATTAGCTAACTGATCACTATGTATGTATAATTATGAACGCTACCCAGAGGTCCAGAGACTCTGGGTTAATTAAAACTTCAGTGGTGTCCCGCAAAACGAGAGATTTATGGATTAATATTTTCTGAATATTAAAATTCATAATTTGGTATTAATTCTCATAAATTTATTAAAACACTGTAGTCATGCAACATGGGTTAATGAAACGTTACGTTGAAACAGATTTTCGTGAGTTTGTCTGAATAGTTCTTTTCTGGACAAAGTCGCTTGTAATAATTCACACGCATTTGCTTAGCTTGAGATGTTGCTTGGTCTTGGTTTGGGTGGAGAATGCAAGAGCAAAGAAGAGATGGGTGATGTGATTTATGTTTAGTTCCGCTCTTGAAACTGCCGAGTAGCTCTACATAAGATAAAATTAATCTGGGCTTGGACCTTGCTGTAAACCAGTCCATCTTTCCTGTTTTCTGTCTTCAGTTACACATTTATAACACCTCATACATTTAATAGTCAAACAATTTTAGAAGTTGCAATAGTTTGCTCACCAATCTTGCTTACTACCTCTCGGGCTAGCTAGAGGTGAATCCGAGGGGGCGGAGGAGACAAACGTCTCACTAGGCAGGTGGTTAAAAAAATTGATTCTTAGATGCATAGAAGCCCTCTGAGTCATAATCGAATCGTGAGGTGCCTAGAGATTCACACCCCTAATTCATACCATGTCTCTGCTTCATGTGAGTTTGTTTTTAGGTTAGTCGTGCTGCCTGTGTACTTTATGGCAGGATGGCATATTTTATTTATTGCATGTGTCTTGTCTCTAGAAAATCCAAAATGTCTCCAAACATTTGATTTGTAGGAATTTGGAGGAACATGTAGTGCTTCCTCCCCCATGTTAATCTAATGTAACACACCTCTGTCTCTGTCGTAGCTGACAGGGTGCTGGCAACAGTAGAGATGAGTGTAACACTTTAGGAGGAATCAATGTAAAAGGAATGTAACCATTTCTAAATAATAAAGGCATGGGACTCTACTAATATTTGTATATAAATAAATCAGATTTTATCGATGCAAAGATGTTAAAATAAATTCCATCTCAAACTTTTATGCCGGTGCACCAAAGTGAATCAGTACATTTTATTAGCCCTAAAAAAATATACACGTTCCTGTAAAAACACTTTCTGAAGGTTATGCATGACAATGCATTAGTCCTGAAAATGTGTTGAACTTTGAATATTTTATATATATATGTCTCTCACATGTAACAAAAATAAAATTTTGAAATTTGCAGCACATTGTAGAATAAATCCTACTGAATCCAGTTCGATTACAGAAGAAGATCGAAGCCAAATTGTTTAGACTGAAAAAAATTTAAAAAGAGCTGTTGTTAGTTGTTTAAATATACACTCTACAAGAGTAGAATACTTGAACTCACCTCAGAGTCTCCAGTCTACACTTCGGACTCTCCAGTCCAGCAGATAGCAGTTTTACTCCTGAATCTGGCAGCTTGTTGTGACTCAGGTCCAGCTCTTTCAGATGGGTGGGGTTGGACTTCAGAGCTGATGCCACAACTTCACAGTGACTCTCTGAGAGTCCACAGTAGGAAAGTCTGTGAAGACAGCAGAACAGAAAACATTATTTTTTACTGTATAAAAAAATCTGAGACTTTATTATAAAAATATATAATAGCTGGTCAGCCACTGATCAAAAGGTTTGTGGTTTGAAATTTGCATTCTTCCTTTCCACATGTCAAAGTGTCCTTGTGATTAACAGAGTGCTATGTCTGTGAAGGTTCTCAGTCATCCAGGTCATCAAAGGAAGGTTAAAATCAAGGACAGCTGTTATCCTAACCTTCCCTGGATAACAGGGTGCTATGTTTGTTAAACTTTTAACATGATGTTTAATGAGCTGTAAAAAAATATATATACTGCAACTGCACTGTGAATTTATTTACCTCAGCCATGTACCTGGGTGTGTTTTGTGCATCTTTGATGCATCTTATGTCATTCCATCTACTTTTCATCTCCCATGAAATTGATTTAATGACTCCTAATAGTATAATTAGTACTGAATTTTGTATTATTATACTTGTATGGGACTTTTTTGGGGATGATAAAATCCCTCCACTGAACTGAACCTACTGAGCTTTCTTCCTCTCCTCACTGGCAGAACAAACCTGGACGTCATGACAGCAACTGACTGTGTAATGAGCTGCTGTGTGAGGAAATTAGTTTAAATACACAAAGACTGTGGCTGCAAATTCAATAAAAACCACAGTGGAATTGTGTGCTGCTATTTTCTCTGCATATCTTACCTTTAGTGTTACTGCTTGTGCAGAAAGACACATTGTCTGACAGTTTGTATTTGCAAACTTATTACAATAATTATCAACTGTAATTTCTCACATTAAGATGACCAGATGTAAAATCAGTAACCATTACTAATGTAGCTTTGGAACATACCAGTTTACAGACCAGTCCATTAAAATCCTACCAGGGAGAGAGGGACAGAGAGAGAGAGAGCTTCTTTACTGTTTCTAACTCAAACTCATTTCTAATGTGGCAAAACATATAAAAAGACATTCATTGCTGGAACTTCAAGTTTGTCCTTCAAGAAGGAGGATCGCCTTCCCTCACATCCTCTCAAATCATCAAGCAATTTTTAAAGATATTATGGAAATTGTCAAAATGGACCTAACAGTACTTCATTATCATTAAATAGCAAAAAAAATATGATAGCAATAACTGCATGGTCGCATTCACAGTTTCCATGGATGTTAGTTTCAGCAGATCACAGATATTATATATCTGTATGTCTGTCTATAAAAAACATTAACTAAACATTAACATAACTCAGTGCAGACACTGTATGCACCATAACAATAAACACGCTATTGTTATAAATAGATGACTGCCAAAATGTTCTCAGGACAAACTCTTTAGTCCTCAAGTCAGGAGTATCCATTAATGTCAGGAGTGGCTCTGCTTTCTCCCCCATCCTTTTGTTTCTTGTGTTTTCCCCTCCCTGCTGTCCTTGTCTGTGTGTGTTGTGGGCGTGCCTTTCTGGCTCCCTCTCTCTGGCTCACCGCCTGCAGCTCCACTTACCTGAGACTCATCAGCAATCAACCCACTCTACAAAAACCCCAGCTCTTCAGTCACACCCTGCCAGTTTTTCAGTTAACCTACCTTGCTAACATGCGTTCCAGTCCTCTTAGTTTTTGCTGCTGTTCTAGTTACTCTTGCTTGCCTTTTTTGCTAACGCCTGTTTCCCTTTGCCTGCCTACAGTGTGTGAGTTTGGAGACACAGCCTGCCAGCCTGTTTTAGCTTTATGTTGCTTTATAATTTTCTGGATTTACCGAGCCTTTCTGCAGTTCCTCACAGCTGGAATCAGTCTCAGTCGTCCCTGATCTGATGTGTTGTACTTCTCCAGGTCCAACTCATCCAGAACCTCCTCTGACATCTGCAGCATGTAGGCCAGAGCTGAGCAGTGGACCACAGAGAGTTTCTTCTCTGATATGTTCTCTGACTTCAGGAACTCTTGGATCTCCTGATGAACTGAGTGGTCGTTCATCTCTGTCAGACAGTGGAAGATGTTGATGCTTCTGTCAGGAGAGGTTTTATCACTGTCCATCTCCTTCAGGTTGTTAATGGCTCTCTGGATGATTTCTGGACTGTTATCTGTCCGACCCAGCAGGCCTCTTAAAAGTCTCTGGTTGGACTCCAGAGAGAGACCATGAAGGAAGCAAACAAACAGGTCCAGGTGGCCATTTCTACTTTCAAGGGATTTCATCATTGCTCCCTTCAGGAAGACATCCAGGGTTGAATCAACATGTTTTTTTCCCAAAAAAGTCTTCAGTACCTTTGTGTTCTTGTTGGTATAACAGTGGAACATGTAGACTGCAGCCAGGAATTCCTGAATGCTCAGATGAACAAAGCAGTAGACTGTTTTCTGGAAGATCACACTCTCTCTTTTGAAGATCTCCGTACAAATTCCTGAGTACACCGAGGCCTCTGTGACATCAAGACCACACTGCTCCAGGTCTTTTTGGTAAAAAAATATGTTTCCTTTCTCCAGATGTTCAAACGCCAGCCTCCCCAGCTTCAGAAGAACTTTCCTGTCAGCCTCCGTCAGCTCCTGTGGACTCAACTCATGTCCCTCATTATACTTCTGCTTCTTCCTCTTTGTCTGAACCAGCAGGAAGTGTGAGTACAGGTCAGTCAGGGTCTTGGGCAGCTCTCCTCTCTGGTCTGTAGTCAACATGTGCTCCAGAACTGTAGCAGTGATCCAGCAGAAGACTGGGATTAGACACATGATGTAGAGGCTCTTGGAGGTCTTGATGTGTGAGATGATTCTGCTGGACAGCTCTTCATCACTGACTCTCCTCCTGAAGTACTCCTCCTTCTGGGCGTCAGTGAAGCCTCGTACTTCTGTTAACCTGTCAACACACGAAGGAGGGATCTGATTGGCTGCTGCAGGTCGGGAAGTTATCCAGACAAGAGCCGAGGGAAGCAGATTCCCGTTGATGAGGTTTGTCAGCAGCAGGTTGACTGATGACTTCTGTGTGACATCAGACACAACCTTCTTGTTCTTGAAATCCAATGAAAGTCTGCTTTCATCCAGGCCGTCAAAGATGAACAACAGTTTACAGACAGTGAGCTTCTCTGCTGGGACCTTCTGTAATGTTGGATGGAAAACATGGAGCAGCGTGAGAAGACTGTACTGCTTATCTTTGATCAAGTTCAGCTCCCTGAACGAAAACAGAATCACCAGACTGACATCTTGGTTTTCCAAGCCCTCTGCCCAGTCCAGAGTGAACTTCTGCACTGAGAAGGTTTTTCCAACGCCAGCGACACCGTTTGTCAGAACCACTCTGATGTGTCTCTGTTGGTCAGGTAAGGCTTTAAAGATGTCGTGGCACTTGATTGGAGTTTCATGGAGGGGTTTCTTCTTGGAAGCTGTCTCAAGCTGCCTCACCTCATGTTGGGTATTAACCTCTTCACTCTGTCCCTCTGTGATGTAGAGCTCAGTGTAGATCCTGTTGAGGAGGGTTCCACTTCCTGTTTCATCACTTCCTTCAGTCACACATTCACATCTCCTCCTCAGACTGATCTTATGTTCATCTAAAACCTCCTGCAGACCATCAGTCACTAGGAAAAAGAGAATAAAACTATTAAAGACTAAACAGAAAGTAAGAAACCAGATAAATAAAAATGTTTTTGGATGTATGATATTCATGATAACATTAAAAAAAAACAAATGTCCTTGTAATTAAAAGTCCTGTTTTCAGACATGACGACATCAGCAGACAGATGTCCAGTCTTACTTTGTACAGAGCTGCTCTGACTGGCTGTCTGCAGTCCAGCTCTTGTTCTGGATCTTTCTCCACACTGGGGACAGGAGGAGTCTCCTGGTGAAGCAGACTGGTCCCAGTATGATGTGATGCACTGTCTGCAGAACCAGTGTCTACAGCTTGTAGAGACTGGATCCTTCAGGACATCCTGACACAAAGCACAGCAGGACGGCTGCTCCTCCACTCCACTCTTCTCTCTGTGAAGACATTTCATTAGAATTAAAATGATTTGTTGCTTGTTGTTGAAAAACACTGTGTAGAATCAGCTCAGATGGTCACAGAGAACAGTGAAAGTGTTGTTACTTTCCTGTTTGAATTCAGCCTTTAGTCTTTAATGAAGACTAAATGAATGAATGATTGTTCCATTTATTTCCTGCTTTTATAAACACTAATTGCATACTTTTACTATCTGACTGTCTTATTAAACATTTAGTGATCTGCCTATAGTTTATTAACACAAACTCAACACGTCCTGCAGCTCCTTCGCTGTTTTACAGTCACTTTGAGCAGCTTAGTTTGAGTTAGTTAGGTTTGAACTGAGTCTAGAAGTCGTCTAATTGTGGTGGACCAGCAGTCTAAAACACATAGCATGTAACAGTGCTGTCACATATTCAAGTACAGGCGGTTTTGTATGTCATTCTCTTTATGTTTTTGTCACTCTCTACCAGGGAACAAATTGTTATGTTAACAATTCTCAAATAGTCAAGGATTATAGTTACATTCCATATTTCTGCTGTCAGGCACCAGTGACTCAGTGTTTACAATTTTAAAGTGTTAAGATATTTAAAATGACACATGAAGAAACTGAGTGGCCAGTTGAAATGTTTAGTAACTTGCCACAGTGGAAAAAACTTCCTGAGCCTGCACTCTACTGTCAACTATCAAATGAAGGCATAATGCAATTCAAATATTCTAAAAAAGAGAAGTGGTCCAAATCGTCTAACCATTTTCTGATCTTTTGTTTATCTGCACAAGTACTACCTATGGATGTTTGTTGTTGTACAAGTTTACTAAGTAAGATAAACCCCTTGAGATGAAACATCTCGTTTTTGAGGGCGTCCTACTATACAATACAACACAAAACAAGGGACAAATCAAACACATTACAATCATAAGAAAGACAAAAAGAAAACCACAATCAACACACTACAATGAAGGCAAACAAAGAAACAACAAAAAAAGAAGTACTTACAACCACTTGATAGCCACAAAGAGGCTGTGAACAAATAATTGCCCAGCAAAAACAGAGAATAACGAATATAGTGACTTGTAAATTGTATATTAAAAGTTGTGTAATATTTCTGAGGATTCATTGACAGAAATGCAATACAATATTTATAACTATGTTTTCAGTGGTGTATAAAGACCTTAAATAATGAACCATTATGTTTTTATTACCTTAGAATGAACCATTTTTATCTACATAACCGAGGGCAGCCCCTTCCATGGACGTCGTAGTATTTTGTCGTTATGCTTCTACAATAGCCGACAACAAACAAACAGCGCTACAGAGCGCATTTCATCATCACGTTCTTCTTCTGCTTGTATAATTCCGGAGGTGTAGACGCTGCCACTACATTAAATGCGTCCGTAGAAGAAGAAGAGGAAATAATAATAATAATAAACAGTCTCTGAGTTTCTGGTTTATTAGAAGTAAGAAGAGAAGTGACATTTGGACAAATGAACAAGCACGTGTTATTTAGTACGAGACCCGACAGCCTGTGGATCTTTATACCATGAAGCCAGAGGAGTCGGGACAGATGCAGACAGCTGGCGGCAAAAAAATCACGGACATAATCAGTGTGGGTTTTCCCAGATGGAAGGCTTTGATGTGGGACAGATGTTTTCAAAGTGGAGCTGAAGTTGTCTGTTTTCAGATTGCTTATTTAATAAATTAAGCAAAGCCAGAGGAGCCTAGATCCTTACCTGACAATGCCTTTGTGAACTTCATGCATTATGTGGTTTGTAATGGACCTTGGTGCAGAAACAATGAGGCTTACATTTTCCTGTTATCTGTCAGTGGCCATACTTGATGCTCTAGATATGACAGTGTTTCTGAGATGTGAGATGTCATTTTCTTTGGTATAGCATTCCTGATGAGCCAACCCTCCCAATTTGTAAAATACTGTATTACAGGAGTATGAGACAACATGTAGCACTTCATTTCTTGATGTGACAAATAATAATCTTCATTAAAAAAAAAACATATGGTATTACTGAATAAAAAAGTAAATATAATTTCTTAATATATCTATCTAAAGAAACCTGATTTCTTGACTGGCAACTTTCTGCTATCTAACAGAGGATATATTTTGTCCTGTATAAGGCACTGGGCTTTTATTTGCTAAAATCATTAAATTGACCCTGCCTATATTTGGGACAGGCCTTTAATTCCTTTTGCACAAAACTGAAACTACTATGAAACAGTTTATTATTTATTATTAATATATTTATTAAACAGAATATTACGTGTATAAAACTTATCCAATAATATCAAATAGGCTACACGTCCTTCATTTGATCTAGCTCCAATATGCACTTTTATTTTGAAGTAACATCACAAAAACAACACGGTGCAGGATAAGAGAAGTTAGCAGACAGAGAATGATGGACTTCACAACAGGATTTACAACTTGGAGTAATTTTTGTTAAAAAACTGTTCTGATTCTTTTGATCGGTGGACCTTGACAGACTAAAGGAATATAAATAATCAAGGAACGGACACATTCAGACTCGGAGTGGAGTTAACGAGGCTTCAAAGGTAATGGCAGTGAGCACTTTTTTTCCTTTAACACCATTAGTAAGTTTTAAAAGAGCAGTAGTTGTTGAATGATTGGGTCTAAAACCAGATTGAAATGGTGAAAGGATATATTATTGTTCTTCTCGATTGCTTAAACACATTTCCTGAAATTATAACTCTTTTTCTCGAAACTCTCAAAACACAAATCCATAACTTCTCACGCAATTCCACAAACATCCTATTTTCAGGTAAAAATGGAGCTCTCCACTCAAAACTATTCTTGCTGAAAAACTAAACTTTGCCCTCAGACGTAACACACAAGCCCTCAAAAACACACACACACTTCTGACACAGTCTTACACACTGGTGAGATAAATTCAAAACAATACTAAAAAAACTGGTTATTAGTAATGTTGCGTGGCTCTCCCCCTCAACAACCTTTGTACTGTGTCGTACTGTACAGTGTCTTAAGTGAACTATATTGAGTGTCACTGCTTTCTCAATGACTACTTGGTGTAGTCAATGAGAAATGAAGGGATTTGTGTGTTGAGTTTAGGGAAATGGATGTGCTTTTTGAAAAATGGAGTTAAGGTTTAGAAATTTTAGTTTAAAAGCCTGGTTACAGTGTTTAAGCAATTGAGAAAAACTGTAAGATACTGTGATAACTGATTAAATATTAGTTTCTCAAATACTTTAGCAATAGAACAGATTATCTATAGTCTGTAATTATTAGGATTAAGACTGTCAACACCATTGTAGAGTGGAGTAATGCGTGTATATTTCCAGATAGCTGGTAACTCAGGAGTAGACAAAGACATATAAAACAGGTCAGCTAGTAGAAACATTAGAATATGAGAAGCTAATTTAATATATCTGGATTCAATTGTATCAAGTCCTTCACCACTGCTTAAACTGAAAAGGTACTAAAGCAGACGAAGAAGAAAAATGCTGACACAGCACTTGGGCAATAGATGAAGCGTCAGAGATTATTATATTGCCATCTATTAATTGATTAATGGGACATTTGTCTGAAGAGTTTATTGTGGCTTTTAAACTGTTCCAGAACTGTTTAAAATGATTAGAGAGACATTTTTATAGTAATTTGCATTGAGGGTCATGGTCTTAGAAATATTTCTTGGTTGCTTATATGATTACCATTAATTTTTCTTTGTCTGACGATATGTAGCCCAAGCCTTGTAAAGAGACTTTGAAATTTTCCAGGGAGCACTTCTGTCGATTTGTAATTTGAGTAGGTTCCATTATAAGTTTACTTGTTCTTCATCTTTAGAACAATATATGTTGTAGAGAATCTGAGCTCAAATGTTCACTTACTGATGTTTCCTTCAACTGCAAGCACAGAAACATTAGGAAGTTGACCCTTGAGCTTAAATTTTCTTCACCATATTGATAAAAAAGTAGTCAGTTAAAGAGTAAACTTAAACCATCAACACACAGAACCAAGGTGAGAAAAGCTTTTCTATAAATGCTTTTTCACCTTATGTTGAACAATTATTCTATGAACTGATTAAAGATGCATCTGGCGGATCGTAACAGCTGATCTGAGGAAGAGCCAAACAAAAATATGCAAAAAAGAACACTTTCACATTTTGAATGCATGTAAATCTTTACAGCAACTTCAACATTAGAGCAAAAATATGAATATTTTCTTGCAGTGTAAATTTGAAATGGAGGTTCCCCTTCGAGGGAACTCGAACTGCGTCGGTTACGACACTATGGGAACGCCTCTAGGCGAAGCAGGTCTGAACGTGAATGAAATCACTCCAATCCTATTGGCTTGTTGCTAGAACGGTAAGGTGTGACGGAATAACCGGAGGAGTATAAAGCACACCTGTACACACTCATCATTAGCTTTTTTCTATTCAGCAGGCGCTCTGTATGTTGTTTGAAGAAAGCTCCAGTCCTACAAGCAGTGTGTTTTACCTGAAGAAGAAGTCTACCAGCATGTCCGGCAACCAGATGTACAGAAGGTGTGTTTTTTCTTGCCCTCGGTACATCACGGATGGAGATTCTCATGAGATGTGTGTCTCATGTTTGGGGATGGAGCACGCCCGGGCAGCTCTCGAGGGGGCTGCCTGCGCCCGTTGCGAAGCCCTTTCCGTGCGGGTACTGAGGTACAGCATGGCTCTCTTTTCCGAGGATGGCCGGATGTGTTTTCCCCGTGGCGCGGGCCCTGCGGCCGCTGAGGCGGCCCAGCGGCTTCACTCATGGGGTTCACAGCGTGATCTGTCGGAGGATTTCGGGACGGCTGAGGCTTTTTCCCGACCTTCATCCGCTGGCTCCGACGCTTCCTTTCCTCGTTCGGGAGCCCGTTCTCGGCTTCTCCCGTTCGCGGTTTGGATCCGGAGACGCTGCAGCAATCCGACTCCGAGGAGGCGGACGTGCTCAGCGCAGTGGACGATGACTTCCGGGTGTCGGGGCGGCGTCATCTGGCGGCGCCCGACTATGACGTGCTGCTGGAGGTGGTGACTAGAGCCGTGGCTAAGCTCAACATCAACTGGCCACAGGAGGAGCAGACACCACAGGCTAGTGGTAGCTTGATGAAAGGTTTCTTAAGCACCACACGCCACCTCCACGCCGGTCTCTGCCATTCTTTCCTGATTTACATGATGAACTGAGTAATCATGGGGCAGACCCTTCTCTACATGGCTTTCCACACCCCGATCACTGAACTACAGTAATGTGATGGGGGTTAGGGACCGTGGTTATGGGAGGATGCCGCGGGTGGAGGATGCGCTTGCGAGCTATCTCTCCCCTCGACTTGCGTCCTGTCCTGGAGAAGCCGGCGTTACCATCCAAACCATGTCGCACCACATCCACGCTCGTGGGGAAGGCGTACATGGCAGCGGGCCAGGCAGGTGCGAGCTTGCACACCATGGCGGTGCTTCAAGCCTACCAAGCCGACCTGCTACAGGAGATGGTTCAGAGGGGGGGTCCCTCTGAGGAAGATCTGGCCGAGCTTCGCAGAACCACGGAGCGTTAGACGCCGTCTGAGAGACGCGATCTGAGGACCGTCATCCAGTCCCGACGGAGCTCAGGGAAGACTGGGGTAGGGGAGTCTTTCTCTCTTCGTACTCTGCTGAGGAAAGGGGCCGTGGAACGTGTCTCCCCCCCCAGACAGAGACGCCGGTTCTACAGCCAGTACTTCATAGTCCCCAAGAAGGACGGAGGGCTGCGTGCCCTATTTTGGATCTGCGGGTTCTAACCGGTCTCTGAGGAGATTCAGGTTAAAGATGCTCATCATCCCCGCCATCATGACGCACATCCAATCTGAGGATTGGTTCGTCACGATAGATCTAAAGGACGCCTATTTCCAGGTCTCCATCCATCCTTCTCACAGGAAGTTCCTGAGGTTTGCCTTCGGGGGTGTGGCTTACCAGTATCGGGTTCTTCCATTCGGCCTGGCACTTCCCCTCGCACATTCACCAAGTGTATGGATGCAGCACTGGCCCCGCTGAGGCTCCAGGGCATCCGGATTTCAACTTCATCGACGACTGGCTCATCCTAGCCCAGTCTCGAGAGTTGGCGGTTCGGCATTGAGATGTCGTTCTGGCTCATCTGCGGCGTTTAGGGCTGAGGCTCAACGCAAAGAAGAGCGTGCTGGCGCCCACCCAACGGACTACGTTCCTAGGGGTTGTATGGGATTCGACAACGATGCGGGCACAATTGTCTCCGGCACGTGTCGACACCATATTGGCTTCCGTGAGAGGGGTGAAGTTAGGCCACGCCATCACTATGAAACACTTTCAATGAGTGTTGGGTCTCCTGGCGGCTGCGTCCAGCGTAATACCATCTGGACTGCTGCACATGAGACCCCTGCAGTGGTGACTAAGGAACAAGGGTTTTTCCCCGAGGGGAAATCCTCTCCGTCTGATTTGGGTTACGCGCAAGTGTCTTCGTTCCCTATCAGTTTGGAAGGAAACTTGGTTCCTGTCCCAGGGGCCCGTACTGGGAGGGTCTTGTCGCCGACTGGTTATTTCGACAGACGCCTCCCTCACGGGCTGGGGCGCGGTCATGGACGGCCGCTTTGCAAGGGGATCCTGGCAGGTGCATCAATCCGAGTGGCATATCAACTGTCTCGAGATGTTGGCGTGTTCCAGGCTCTAAGGAGTTTCCTGCCCGATCTCCAAGGCCACCACGTCCTGGTTCGTTCCGAAGAGAACAACACTGTGGTGGTGGCCTATCTGAATCACCAGGGCGGTCTGCGCTCGCGCCCTCTGGACAGACTGGCGCGTCAGATCCTCCTGTGGTCCCAGCAGAGGTTACTATCGCTCAGGGCGATGTATCTCCCGGGGACGCAGAATCAGGGAGCAGACCTGCTGTCGAGGCAGGGGCTGAGGCCCGGGGAATGGAGACTTCACCCCGAAGTGGTGGAGCTCTTGTGCGAAGAGTTCGGCCCCATAGACGTGGATCTGTTGCGTCTCAAGAGACTACGCACTGCCCGCTATGGTTTCTCTCGTTCCTCCATCCCCGTTGGGTCTGGACGCCATGGTACATTCGTGGCCGAGGCTACGTCTGTACGCTTTTCCCCCAGTCGCTCTGCTCCCGGGGTTCTGGAGCGGGTCCGCCAGGACAATGTCGGCCTACTGCTCGTAGCCCCGTTCTGGCCAACCCGGGTGTGGTTCTCGGACATCATGTCGCTCCTGGACGGCCCGCCGTGGCGGGTCCCTCTGAGGAGAGACCTGCTGTCCCAGGCGCAGGGCCGGGTTCTTCACCCTTGCCCTGCCATATGGCGACTGTGGGTCTGGCCCCTGAGGGGGCACAGTACCTAGAGGCGGGTCTAACAGCCGGAGCAGTCGAGACCCTCCTGAGCTCCAGGGCCCCGTCCACACGGAGGATGTACGGCCTGAAGTGGAGTGTTTTCTCCACTTGGTGTAGGGAGCGGTTGATGGACCCTGTTACCTGCCCGGTGGTTCAGGTACTTGAGTTCCTCCAGGACCGGTTCTCTGCTGGTCTTTCCCCTTCCACCCTCAAGGTGTACGTGGCAGCTATTTTCCACACCCCTCTGAGGGAGGGGTCCTTGGGGAAACTTCCCTTGGTTGTACGTTTCCTCCGTGGTGCCCGGAGGATGAGACCTGCGACTCGGTCCAAGGTTCCCACTTGGGATCTGGCAGTGGTTCTTGGGGCGTTGGCTGAGGCCCCCTTCAAACCCCTGGAGTCAGCTGAGGCTAAGCACTTGACCCTCAAGATGGCCTTTCTCCTTGCTATCACCTCTCTGAGGAGGGTGGGGGATCTCCAAGCGCTTTCGGTTTCCCCGCAAAGCCTGGAGTTTGCCCCGGGGAATATTAGGGCTATCCTGCACCCTCGTCCAGGATACATCCCTAAAGTGCCTTCTTGTGCGGCAGGGTCCACAGTGCTGCAGGCATTTCATCCTCCACCTCATGTGACGGCGGAGGACGGGAGACTTCATCTGCTCTGCCCTGTCAGAGCACTGAGTATTTACACTCTGAGGTCCTCCCGTTGGAGGAAGGCTGACCAGCTGCTAGTGTGTTTTGGGTCTCCCAGGGCCGGGCTCCCTGCATCCAAACATACTATTAGCAACTGGATTGTTCAGACTATTTCCCTGGCCTATCAGGTGCGCGGTTTGCCTTCACCTGTGGCTGTGAGGGCTCATTCTACCAGAGGCATGGCGGCCTCTCGAGCCCTCCTTTCCGGGGCCTCTTGCAGGATGTTTGTTTAGCGGCTGGCTGGGCCACTCCGCACACATTCATTCGCTTTTACAGTCTTGACCTTCCTTCGGCACCTGGCACTCGTGCGCTCTCCTCTTAGTCGTGCCACTTTATTGCACACAGGGGCAGGCGGGGTTTTCGGCACGGTTTAGTGGGTATCTCGTTCCCATAGTGTCGTAACTGACGCAGTTCGAGTTCCCTCGAAGGGGAACGTCTCGGGTTACGTATGTAACCCTGGTTCCCCGAGAAGGGGAACGAGACACTGCGTCGGCCCGCCGCACCTCTCTCCGCCTGAAGCGCCTGCTTCATAGTTAAGCTAATGATGAGTGTGTACAGGTGTGCTTTATACTCCTCCGGTTATTCCGTCACACCTTACCGTTCTAGCAACAAGCCAATAGGATTGGAGTGATTTCATTCACGTTCAGACCTGCTTCGCCTAGAGGCGTTCCCATAGTGTCGTAACCGACGCAGTGTCTCGTTCCCCTTCTCAGGGAACCAGGGTTACATACGTAACCCGAGGCGTTCTCATTTGTTTTACTAAAGAAATTAAAATAAGATCCATTCTTTTTTTTAAACAGAATCTACACTGATAGTTCTGCATTATAAATATAAATCTTTTAGCACTTTGTCTTGATCCACAATGCATCATCTTTCATTAGGTCAGTTAACAGTAAAAACAGTCTCTTACTTTGTGTCTGAGGGTCCAGTTTCATTACTGAAGTTTGGAGAAAAGTCTTTGGACTGGTCACTCTTCATAGACAGACAGCTGGATCCTGGAGACTCTGCTCTGTCCTCCTCTTCCTCCACACAAACACTCATCTTCTGCACTTCAGTCAGTCTGAGAGGTAAAACAGTGACAATGGCTGTGAGCTCAGAATAAAAGAATCAAGAAGAACAAGTTTGTTCAAGAGACACAAACAAGATAGAGAGAACAGGAAGTAACACACATAGCTGGTTATTAATTTGTTAAATTGACACACACACACACACACACACACACACACACAGCTGGTTATTAATTTGTTAAATTAATCCAGGGTTTCCCAATCCAGCCATAGCAGCTACGAGAGGATGTGTGAAACGGACTTGTGAGCAAATTAAAAAACTAAAAACCTGTGATAGTGATAGTGAAAGTGATAATTAGGCTTACTGTCAAATCTTCAACATCTATCTTGTACAACAAGTAGCGTAGTCTACAAGGCTTGGCTGCTCTGGAGCAGGTTAGGCAGCATAAGTTTCAGCATAAGTTACCAAGGCGATGTAACCAGATAACAAGTGAAGTCCTGAAGTCACCTCGCTAACCTCAAATGCTGCTTTGTAGCTCTGGTCACTTTTCTTTAAATCTGTGCTTGTTTTCTTGGTTACTGCAGGTTTAATGTGTTTAATTCAGCCAGTCACAACTTTGTGTACACAGATTAATCAAACTGTTGAGTTCACTCTAACACTTCTTTCCTCTACAGTCCACGGGGAGAAAACTGACTCAGAGAATATTGGAAAATATTGTATTAACACTCACCCTGCCTCAGACTTCAGTTCTCCTCCTTCTGCTCTGTCAACTTAACATGGAGTCTGAAATAACTGAACACTTTCAGCTTCAGGTTCCCTCCCAGTTCTCACCAGGATCACCTGAACAGAGTTGCTCCTCCCCTCTCCATTTACAGGAAATCAGGTGGGTTTGTGTGTGTGTGTGTGTGTGTGTGGTGCTCACACAGATCAGCTGTTTAACATGATGTGTTTATGAGCATCTCTCTTGGCCTGAACAGACTCAATTAAAAACAAAATGTCGGTAGGCCTTAAATAAACTTTAAATGATAATAAAAAATAATCCATTTTATTTAATCTCCAACTAAAGTCTTTTAAACTAAATGAACGAAATGTTCTTTTACACAAAAAGATGTAAAATTTACTCAATTCCCAATATGTTTATATATATACTACTATATTGCCAAAAGTTTTGGGACACCCCTCCAAATCATTGAATTCAGGTGTTCCAATCACTTCCATGGCCACAGGTGTATAAAATTAGTACACAGACTGCTTCTACCAACATTTGAGATATGTGATCTCTCTTTGGAGTTCAGTGAATTCAAGCGTGGTTCAGTGATAGGTTGTCACCTGTGCAATAAGCCCATTTGTGAATTTTCCTCTCTACTAAATATTCCACAGTACACCACAGCATAACAACAAGAACAGCAGCTCTCACAGAGCGGGCTGCAGGAAATACTATACATGTGTACAAACAGCTGCTGTGGTCTGTCAAACCTAACAGTCAAGTTAACAAGTGAAATCTTTTATTTTCATTCAGTCACCAAATGCCTCATTTACCATTAGTGAACTGAATGGGCTGAACATAAAAGTGGTTTCTGATAACAGCATATTTTTCAGATCATATTCTAGTACAAGTATCACAAATACTGCGTTAAAAGTTATAAGTCCTGCATTCAAAATGTTACGTGACTTAAAGTACAGAAGATTAAGTAAAAGTGCTCATTATGCAGAAAAACCCCTGTCAGTTTTATTATGTTATTGAATCATTATTATTGATCATAGTACTTTAATGTTGTAATTTGTCATGGTGTTGGCTGGTTTTATCTATTGCTTCGTATTTTATAAACTGATCACACATTTGTATTTAAAACACTAATCAAAAGCAAATGTTAAGGCTGATTTGAGAAATGTGCCAAAGCGACTATAAAGTAGTAAACTATCAAGTACTCTGAGGGAAAACAGTGGAGATGCTGACATCTTCTGGCAGAAATTAGCAGGAGCTCCAAAAGATGAACTGCTGATAACGACTGCTTCCACACAGATTTCTGTTTGGAAAAAGCTCCACAGGTTGACTTTGTGTGTCTGTGTTGATTATGTGATGTGAAAACTAGCGGTGTCGCACATAAAACTGATGCTGCAGGAAATATGTTTTTACAACTTTGGACTTAAAATGTATGTATGATCACATGTACAAATAATCCAAGGTCACTTTTTTCACTAATTTCAAAACAACGCACCTGCAACATTAAGACAGTAAATGAAAAATATTTCATTACACGGTAAAGCATTCAGTTGCAGGGTGTCATTTAATTTTCAGTGTTAAGTAAAATAGTGCATCTACTCAAAACCAACTATCATTTCACGCTCAGAGTCTCATGATAACACATTTATTCATGGACTCTGCTGCTTTTTAAGGCTGCACAGAGGAATTATAAAGCCTCAGGTGAGTCTAGCAGATGCTGAAAATGAGCAAGACTTGAATCTTCTTAAGTCACAAATAAAAGTCTGGAAATCCAGGGAAGCACCAACTGGCCTTCATGCACACCAACATGCAGGACATTTATATTTATAGAAACTGCACAATTGCTGATTCATTTAACGTCAAAAGAAACATTTATATATATATAAAGTTATTAAAATGTTCTGGTGTTCAGTGTGTGACCAAGCTTTAAATAACCTTTGTATAGGTTTCATCTTCTTGTTTCTGTGTCTTACATCTAAACAAGCTAACCCTAGGTGGTGAGCCGGTTTCTGGGCAGTGTTGATGCATAACTGGGCTGTAATAACGTTATGCCTTATTAAATGTCACATAATTAGCAAAATAGCTATTCAGTCGAGTGATTGCTGACAACCCAACTTGCCACTCAAACACAGTAACACAACAGAATATGACCCTCATGCGCAGACAAATCAGTTTACATTCACTCAAATTTTGGTTCTCAAGTACAAGTCACTGATTTCTGCATGTGCATCACAAAGAGTTTGAATGAAGATTTTAAATCTATCTGTAGATTGTGTTTTATATTTGTTTGTTTTCATGAGGAGTTTGTTTGCGGATTTTGAATCTATTTAGATTGTGTTTTGTGTTTACAACTTGTAATATCCATTTGTGACCTATGGTCTGTTCATTTTCAATAACTATGGCATCATTTTACCCCCATACCTGTTACACAACAAGGTGTTTGAAACACCACCCTTTTTGTTGAAATAAACGTTTTTCTACGTTTTGTTGGGCCTGAACTCAGTTCTGGTGGGAAAAAATGCCACAACTTAACCTCCTCATTGGCAGGTTTTATTCAACAAACATCTCTGTTTCCTCCTCTCCTTCCTAATTGATTCAGTCCATATTATATTATAGCATTTTACTGACTTTTGCCAAAGAATCCTAGATGTAATATCTAAATAACTGTCATCTCATCTTTGCTAAAAAAGACTGATACTTATCTATTTGTTGTGGCCAATATCATTAATCTTACAAATACAAAATACCTTAATATACTGCAGTTTTTTAATCTGTCAAACAACTAATTTTTTTTCCTGGTAACATGTTTTTCTTAGATACAATGGATGTTCTGTCAGTTGAAATCTAGTATAAGCATTTCTTACAGTTATCTGAAGTTGGGCTTTTTAACAGATTACACAATCCACACTAAATTTAAAAAACAAAGCTTTTTTCTTTATCCAACGAAGGTTAAAATCAAGGGCAACTGGACCTGGTTGAAGATACTGGAAGACGTTTCGTCCCTCATCCAAAGGACTTCTTCAGTTCTGACTGACTGGCAGGGAAACTTTCTTCTTAGTCAAGATACAGAAACAGTATAAATATTGACAATTTTCACACAGGCATACAGCTAAATTGATAAGCAGTTTTATTAATGATAGAGAAGCCGGTTGGAGTCTGAACAGCAGCAAGGGAGGGGAAAAAGTTGCTCAAGGCAACTTGCATCAATATTACAGACTTTTCTTTTGTGCTGCTGTTACTTCTAGCTGAAGGCAGCAGTGATGATGTCTGCAGCAGGGGTAGGAGCAGCTAATCTAGGCCTACTCTTAATTTCGCTACATTTTCCATTCATACCTTTTACAACTTAACCAGTCTGTAATCTGCATTTTGCTTCATTAACTGAAATGAGCTCATCCAGGCTGTGTGTGCGCAGTTGATTGATTGAGATGTATTAAAAGTGTCCTGTTGTTGACTTTGGACATAAGCCTGTTTATTTTCTTTAATACGGTTCCTATTTGTTTTATAGCGATGTCCGAGGGTGAGTCCAAACAGACTCGCCAGTGAAACTAATCTTTCACTCAGCAGCTACCAGCTGTTATTTTTTTTTGAGATGCACAGAGAGAGAGAGAGAGAGAGAGAGAGAGAGAGAGAGAGAGAGAGAGAGAATATGGTGGATTAAATAGTTCTGTTGGGTTTTATGCACGACGCACAGCTTCCTCTGTATGCAGCCTGTGCTATAGCAAAGCAAGCAGTTAGGTTGGCTACATCTCCATAATAAAAGGCACAGGCAAAAAAAATTGGCTGGGCAGCAAAAGTGATATTTTAAAGTGATCTTATAAACACCTTCATGGAGATTTAAAAAGGAAAGTAATTGTAGAAATAGAATTGTAGAAACAGCTAAATGACAGATAATCAGCTTCTTCACTGCTGTTGGAGCTATATTCTTATTTTGTTTATTTTGGGTTTGAGTTAATTTATAGCCTAATTTATTTCTTTTCTTTTCTTGTTAAAGTTAATTTGGTTTATTTTGTATTTATGCTTTACTTGTATTGTCGTTTGTTGGTCACATGATGTTTTGTTCATTTGCATAAGTAGGTCAAGGTGAGAGGTGCTGCAGGCATGAGGGCATATGGTTTTTTTACCAGCGTGAGAGAGGCACCAGAAATGTCTGTAAGCTTGCTTATGTGTGTGAATAAACCTCCTCAAACTCAATCTTGTTATGGACATCACTTTGCTTTGGTACCTCTGAACCTGCGTAAAGCCTAACCATGACGTAGCCTCAAGTGGCCATTTGAGAAGTTTGTTATTATTTGTTTTGTTTAAGTTTATGGACAAATAGCCACTACATTAAGTAAAAAACCTGCCCTGGATATATTGTTGGTTTGCGTGGATACTGGACTTGTCGTTTGCTGAATTGCCGTTTCGAAAGTGGATTATTCATGGATGCAGTGCAAACATCGAATAATACGACCCATCCGACAGTGTAAAATTTCCCTGGACACCGTACTGGATAACGATGAAGCTACTGGAGCGCTGGAGCTGCACTACGGAGTGGAGGATATTATTTGCTGCAATTTGAATTCGCAAAGGCCCAAAGCCTTCACAGGTGATGCGCACAGCCGCGCGCAACAACAGCTACTGCGTGCATTCAATTCCGTGCACGAAGGCAACCACCGCAACAAACAAAGTTCCACAAGGTATGTGCTTTACACACTCTTTGCAAGCAACTGTGTGTACATGACCGACATCAACAAAGGGTAAAATGTCTGACGTTGCATCTAAAGCCACAAGCGACACGGCGCTTCCTACAAGAAGACGCGCAAGTTTTACTGCTAAAGGAATGATGTTTTTTATGCAAACGTGTCAGGAAAAGAGATCGGCGCAATGCAGACGAGCCAAATCGTACATGAATTAGATGGATAAGTTGATGCATTCTGCAGACAATATTGATGCAGTCAAGTCTCTTTTGGATCAAATAATAATATGTGTTGATGAGGCAAAACAACATAATTTGTCATTTGTGTCACTGGACATACCTCAGTAGGAGAAGGAGAAACAAGATAAATATTTTGAACAAAAGAAAAAGTGTTTTTCAAGCTTT